ATTGTCAATTTGTGACGTGGCAAATACTACATGTATCTGTACGTAAGCTTTCTCATAAAAATGGATCAGGAATTGGGAAGATATTAAAAAAAATATTTAATATAATTTATTAATTTAATAAGGCTTAAATAATAAAATTATTAAATTTATGAATAGAATATATGGCGGCATATAAATGATATTCATTGTTCATTGTCTTTTAATTATCATCAATAAGTTCTGTTCTGCGGTTCTGGTTAATTATACAATCAAAGAATTGGCTACATATTCATATCGAAACGTATGCAATTTTGACAGATTACACCGTACCCTAATACGGAAAATTTAAGTATTCTCAAGGCAATAAGCGAATGCATATCTACATTTCAGTAGGTACTCGTGGATACATTCCACAAATTGTACGGTAACAAAATCGTAAAAGCCTCGTAAACTTCAGTCCGTGTTCTTTATGGCACTATGCTGCTAACTATAAACTTTTGTGCCGTAAAATGCTTCCAATTAAGAAAATAGTAAATCATCGGTTGAGTGCAGAGGCGATTAATACAATTATTAAATTTGAAATAGGTCAAATAAAATATACTGTTGAAAGGTTAGTTATTTTATTTTTTACGGATAATTAGTGAATGGTGTAACCACCTGTGCTCTGTGGTATTCACTAGTAGGACATCCGTGGAGGATAACAGGATGATGTTAAGTCCAGCGAGGTAGCGAATTCAACAGGTTTCCAAGAGTTCGTGGAGGTAGACCTAACAAGGTACAATGTAATGATTCCACTAGTCCTCGTCACTAACAATTCACTTTCCCCTTTTGTTTGTTATTAAGGAAAACTTCTGATATTGATAGCAACTTTCTGTGTTTAAACGACATCCATGTAGCTGTTTGAAAACCTTTGTACTTAGTTCTTTATTAAATTCCTGAAGTGTACTAACTGATCTGACTTTATTCTTATGTAATCATGTTCCAATAATGCTGTCAGTGCATGAGGGAGCACCATGTTATTTATTATCAACCAAGCGGTAACGATTTATACTAAGACTAACACAGCAACAATAAAAAGAGAGAACTCTAAAATTTAGCTGAATATAAAAAAAAATAGAAAGCTCGTAATTTTGTATAATTAAATGGATTGAAATGAGTTATAGATGACGGGGTAATCTACTTAGTAATACCTACATAAATAACTAACTCACTTTTTTAAGTTGCTTGAAATGAAAATAAGATACGTAGGTACCTAATATAATATCTCGCGCCATAACTAATGCATCCGACTCGGGAGAGCGGAATGAGAGACGCTTTCATAAAATATTAGCTTTCTGTGAAGGTAATCTCACTAATGGGAGCTCGGGACGCAAGAGCAGCTAATTACTCGGGTGTCCTACGTGCGCAATAATTTACTTTTTTTACTTCCTTTTTGTTATCTAGACAGTGATGGTCATGTTTCGCAAGGGAAACATGTCATCTGAGACTCTAAAGGGGAGATTACACCACCAACTGATTATAGCTACAGTAGGTAGATACTTATAACTTCCTAATTATGAAATGTGGTAGCTACTCCAAAACTGACTTGGATTCCTTATAACAGTAATAAAACAAAGACTAATTAATAGGTATTAGTATTTCTGTCAGTGGCTTAATGCTTATAACAACTTTTAGGCCTGTAAATTGGGAATAGAATAAAAATAATCTTTAATAATAAAAACAACTAAATCTCAGGACAATTCACACAGGCCATCTCGTCCCAAGCTTAGCAGAGCTTGTGTTATGGGTACTAGACAACTTTTATAAATACATAGATACCCCTTATATTATTTCTTATGTAAGTTAGTCTAGTCTATAAGGCATTTAATATGGGTCATGTAGCTTGAATTAAATAAATATGTAATTATCTAAAATTATTATTTCTATTAATTTGCATATAAATTCGTTTAACACACCTAATTCTTATCAAAACCCAAAAGATTTTTGTCCCTATATTACATACTTTAAAATATGCATTTATAAGAATAAGTTTTGAAGAATATGCCACTACCCTTAATAAGATTAACATATAAGTAGAACAATACTACAATACAAGTACTGCTAACAATTATTCCCCCAATAAAATGGTATTCCAAATTTGTCTGATTCGCCAACAAATTGCCTACTACGTATTTCTGTTGACACACCCGACAAAACTGTGACAATAGCTGGCCTTGAATCACCCCAAAGCGGGCAACATAATACCTGCACGCAATAGAATTTAAACAAATGGCGATTACCATGCATTTATTTTATGAAAAAGCAGTCGATTTTAGTATGAGAATATATTTTGCACAAGCTCGAAAGAATTTTTTAAATTACTTTAAATATTTTACGTGTGTCGATCTTTTGCACAATACATATCGCTGATTAAATGCCAAAGGGCCACATGACGCCAAAACGGTAAATTTTACAGGAGAGCTCATTAAAATTCTCACTGTGATATTTTTACTTTTTTTACGAATCTATAAGTGGTGGTATATATATGTTAGCTCTAGAATCATGGGTGTCTTTTTTTAATATAAAATTTGTAACGATTTAGATACTGTTTTTGAATAAAAAATAGTTTCAGTTTTTTTGCGTTGTGACCATTTGGCATTTAATCAGCGATATATATCTGTAAAAATCTAGAATAGAATAAAAATATTCTTTAATCAAATGAAAATAATTTTAAGCATATAACCAAATACTATGACGGAATTTATGGAAAATGTAGCTTACTTACTTGTAACTTGCCATAATTTTGCTGCCGCTTATGTATATTTAAGAAATGATGTCTGTTAATTATCCAATAATTTACATTTTCAATAAGAAAAAAATAATTTATTTATTGTAATGGATAAAAGTATAAAAGTTATTATTTTATAATGTGACAACTTACTCATTATACATACTTATATATACCATTTATACAAATGAAACAAGTAAGGTACATATTGCAGTTATATTCGATTTAAAATGTATACTGACATTAAAACTATGGATAAATTATAAAAATAATAACATTTTTATACATTATTAAGTTCTTGTGCCCAGTTTGTACAATTCCTAGTTCGATGTATCTAAACTATAAAATATAGCATTAAAAATGCGACTCGCGACTCATTAGAATTATTAGAATAAATAAATATGTACTTATTAATAAATAAATAATTTAAATTACACTATCTGCCACGTAGACAATACAATTGTAGAGAATACATTATAATATTATTTTTATTCAAAAGGAAAAAATATGGCGTATTCTTATTATAGTATAGGCCATTCTGTATTGACTCATTCCAAAAGTGAAATAGCAGGAGTTACTGCTATTAAATTTTAAAGCTTCTGTACTTAAAATAATTTATTAATATTATATTAATTAATTAGTTTTTATTTATATATACAGTTTATTGCACCAGATACAGAAATATTAATTCAAAAATTTAATCACGTTTGTACGTGTCAGTTTTTCTTTTTCTATCGATCAATTTATTTTTGCACATACACAAATAAAACTATATGCAAATTTATTTTTTATGTGTCGACATCATATCGGTTAATAAAATATTTATTTTTACTATAGGCGACGGCATACAATATGTAAAAAAATATACAAGTCCCAACCGAATAAGGAATTTTACGATCTAGGCACGTAACAAAAGTAACCCCTATTGTATTGTTTTGACTATCACAATGGTCAGGCTTTAAGAAAACCTTTTAAATAATTGCAGCATACAAAAACAGGGGCCTAATTATGTAACGATGTTATTTATTTAATAACATTCATGATTGTAACGGAATAAAATTGGTATAGAAAATTGCAAAACATTTAATTTTCTATGAACAATTTGAGAGTTGTACGATTCGGTATTGTAACTGTCAAATCTGTACAAATATGCAAATTTTTGGATATTAATCCATAAAAATTCTGAATTATTGATAACATACTTAAATTATTAAGGCCCATTTCTCTATCACAATTATTAAAGATCACACAAACATACCAATAATAAATCACAGATCCGCGCACCTTGAAAATACCGAGCCAAGACCGTCATTTTCAAACAAAATTTTATAATATATATATTTTTAGAAATATTAATATTTGTGATGGTAAATTAATATTCCCCCTTACAAATATTTATATTATTAAACAGGCTAATATAAGATACAGAGGTCTACAGACTACATAATACAGAGAGTAAGCTTGAAAATAAGTGACATCTGGAAAATAGTCCAGTCAAATAAAAATACATATATATGAACATCCTCATTCCAACAATGATATCTAGTTACGAGAATTAGCACCGACTGAAAAGCTTTCACTCTATATATGTAATATTCTACGGTTATGTACCACTAGGTGTCCAATTTCTCTGGTGGCTAATATAAATAATGATGACTAATATAAAAAAAAATATTATTTACATTAATTGCCAATTTGGCAACCTCCTTCATTATTTATTGGTTACGTTGTGAAGTACCCATCAGATAGTTTATATTATTATGTTTTATATTTAGTATTTGAGTATTATAATGATTTTATGTGCACTAATGAACACGTAAGGAAATAAATCAAGTATATAAAATAAATAATTACAAATATTTCATTTAATATATATATATATTAGATATTTTTATATTACCCGTATATTGTGTTCGACTTATATTATTCACAAAATATTTAATTGACAAATAAAATACATTTATTTTGAAAGTACAGCTATTAGCTAGCTATTTCATTATAATATGTAACAAGCGACGTGTGAAATACGGTCGTTCTTTATTATAAATATTCTGTGCTATTCAACAATTCATTTTTTATAAAAAAAACTACATAGGGATGTGGATCATTAAGAGTGCTTTATAAGAGTAAACATTAGAAACTGCACAGTCACCGGCAATAGATGTAATAAAATGAATTTTCTTTCAGAATAAATATGTAGAAATATTTTTACTGAATTGATATTGTGACCATTTACAACATTTGCAACATGCTGCGTTGCAATGTGATGAAAGTGACTACACATTAGTCAATCTTTTCGTCTTCTTTTTATTTTCTTTTATTTTTGGAAAGAAATTTCTTATTATGCTCGTTGATACGACTTTGCATCACAACATTGTAATGTGTAAATAATTTTTTTAAACAGAACTTATAACGATAAAATTCTATCTAGTTACCTCAACGAGAGACGCATTTTAACGTACCGTACGTAACATAACGTGCGTCAAATTAAATAGTGAACTACTAAAATGCAGAATAGCTTGCCTTTAGTATATTTGAACCTATTTTATAATATAAATATAATTATTTTACTCAATTAATTAATATATGATTATCTATAACTGATTCCGTATTTAGCAGCTACTTGTGGCGTGTGAGTGGTGGCTACAGCTAGTAATAGGGGAACGTCATTTACGTCGATATTCAGGGATTTGGTGAGCGTGGCAATGTCACAGAAGTCAGTTGACATCAGCATATCGGCTAGAGTTTTTGATAGAACGCAGAACTCTCGTAGCTTCCCTTCCAAAAATGTTATACACTGAAAGGAAATAAATGGTTGAGTTATAGTTACTATGTAATGGCTACTTTAGTAAGTTAATATAATCTTTCATGACATTATTTAATGGCAAAATAAAAATACATGATGCACAGCTAGTAAAATAACGGAATAAATATATAGACATACAGACAAATTAAAACAAAAAAAATATATATTTTTAACTTGACTTAGTAGCTAGGACTTTAAACCGGATTTTTCAAGGTTTGTAGGTGTACGACGTGTGCATGTGTCTAGGGAAATTATGAATGCATTACCTGGTGTGCTGGAACCCTAGCACGATGCATGGCGGGTAGTGCATCCAACATGGCACCCACTAGTGACGACATGCCCCCCGCGCCTTCATACCCTCCACCCCCCGCGCGGTGCTCCCGCCCAACAATACGAACCTCCCTGTAACAATAACAACATGAATATCGGATTTATGGTAATAGGGCTTTGACCCTTTGCTGACAATATATCCCATTGGGGGAAAGGAATTATTTATAACGTGAATAACCCCATTGCTAGTGAGGTACCTACCTCACGCGGTTCTCCTTGGAAACTATCGTGGTAAAGTACCATTTGTCAAGATGGTTTAACTGACCTGACACTGGTGTCCAGCCAGCGTTAACCTAAGTTTATAATCTAAGGTTTCCTAACCCGTTGTCCGCGTACCCTTGGGGGTCTGCGAGAATGTGTATGGTCGTCAGCCCATCGTCTAATCTATGGACATTCAAATCAATAAATAAATGACATCAAATATTATAATTGCTATGCTTACAATATTTAATAGCACTCAGCTTAGTAATATTTTTTCAGTACTAAAATAAATTATTCGAAATTTATTGCCGTGTTATCTAATAACGATGTCTTTAAAGTTGTGTTTGATAATCAAGAATCCGTGGACTCAAAGAGGTCGAGATTCGCTGATAATGTGTCTTACCATTTATTAGTATCTCCTATAATGGCGATGGTTTGAAGCGGTGACTCTTTGATTTTGTTCAGGTACGAGGTCAGGTCCAAATCTCGCCTTAAATCTGTCTCCCAAATGTTCGACTTTGCGATTGTTCCTAAAATATCAATACATTGTTATAAGTAATAAGTAACCTAAAGCAAAACAGTCAAAGATTTTTTTATTGTATAATAAATTACGAATATAGCTTCCTTTGTAAGCTATATTCAACGCGAATGAGATATGGTAGAGACGCTATCAGGGTCCGGCGGTATAACAAATTAGTCCTTAGTAATGACTATGCATGAGAACTACCAGAGTAACGTATGATAACATGTGTTCGTGATGCATAATGTGTATAGGCGTTAGTTTTCCCTTACCATCAGGTGGATCTTTAGCAATGACATACATATCTAAGATATAAAATGTTAAGTGTAACTTTATTCTATTTATTTCAATATTACCTTGTATTATTAAATCAGGTACATAATGGTCTGTAATTCCACCGAGCAGGGAAGCATCGAACCCGGACCTCGAATGATCCGGCACCGATCGTAAGCGCAGTGACGGCAATGGAAACTCTATAACCTGCTTTACTTCAGGTGCGTTATCCTTTTCCTTTACTGTCACTGGCTTCTTCACTTCTCTCTTTTCTTCCGCACGTAACATTCTCGTATCTACAGGATTCACTATTAATGTGTTTTCTATCCGCCTCCTAACAAAATTCACTGGTGGCTCCTCTGTCCGATCAACTTTGTTTTCAACAGTTTCTTTGGCATATTGTGGCTCTGACTGTCGCGGGATATCATTCATGTACTCCATTTCAGAAGCGTTCGTCGGCGTTTGCAGCATCGATTCCATTAACTGACATTTGTAACAAGTCTCGCATCTCTCCTCTTGAATCGGAGGCACAACAGTTGGGTCAAACTGGAAATTGTCCAACTTCAAATTCCCCGGTTTACCGATATAGTGTCTATCTAATATCTCTAAATTTTTACTCTTCATATAATTAGTGACTATCTGAGGGTACTTATCGAACTCGAATTTAAAACCGGAATGTTTAATTGGTTTGGAATGTTGAAGCGTTTGCCCGCAGCATTTCGAAGGGCTCTCTCTATTCTTTTCATAATTAGGACTATCTTTGGCATAGACTTCTTCCTTCTCGTCGACCTCCAAGTTGATGGGTTCATTGTGTACTTTGGATGACTTCTTAACACTCTTCCCTCCATTCGATTTATTCTTTAGTCCAACCAGCTGTTCATCTTCACCCAATACAAAAACAACTTTCTCATCGACTTCAGGCTCCTCTGGATTAGAAGAATTTAGACTAGAGTCCGAGGACGCCCTCAGAGAAAGCATCATGGTGGGATTCCTTCTTAGCACGCAGCCTGTAGATTTCACACTTGTTGAACTACAATCTTCCACAGTAAAGTCTAAATTATTAGAGAGCTTTTGACCGATATTGGCTAAAGTGGATGACCGTTTCATACTGGTCTGACTAGCCACGAGCGTACTGACACTACTATCACTATTCTGAGTATTAACTATCGGCACTTTCAGACTGTCTTTAGACGCGGAGTCCACTAGATCATTCACTTTACTGGCAGTACTGGTAGCGTCTGAATGTTCCGCGTTCACACTAACAACTTTATATTTATCAACCACACAACCATCAAAATGGTATTCGCTTCTTTTAACATCACCACAGCGGACGAAATAAGTTAACACTATTAACAGCCTGTTTACGAATTGAGGGTTGTTGGTGCCACTTATGATGGTTCTGGCTGACCGTGGCGGGAAGCCTATGTTGCCGCAGAGATCACTTAGTTGGGCCCATAGCGCGTTGTACGCTCTCCTGGGTTCAGTTGCCCATGACGATTGAGTTTGCAAGTCAGCTGTGTCATATGGACTAACGGTGGTAACCCAGCCGAGATGGTACGTCAGGACATGGGTTAATAATGTGCTGATGAAACTGAAACAATAGAAAAATAATGCGTTTAAAACATGTTCAACATTTACCATATAATGTTTTACGCTGAATAGTTCATTAAAATAACTCTTTAAATTGTTTCTAACTGCATTTTTGAATTGGCTATCTATTATTAATACTGAAATGATAACCTCTCTATAATTACAACAAAGAAAAATAACAATTTGTGTATTATTTATTTATTATTTATTTCGACCTGAAAGAACGGTAGGCTCTCTTGTCACGCTGAATTCAACATACCCAGCGAATATTAGCATGGACAATCTAGTATTACAGTTGTAAAGGTATATTTACTTATACTTATATTGTCTGCTTACGCAAGGACTCACAATAATTTATTAACGTCATTCCAATCAAAAAATACAAATCACGTGAGCACGTAAGAATTACATTTAAAAATGGTTTGCCAAAATGTTACACCACAATATCTACGTTGCGTGGTTATACAACGCTGTGGGCATCATATAGAGTTGTTTATCATAGGTGAAAAAAAATCAATGATAAAAATAACCACGTACAATTTGATTCAAAAAACATTATTATAACTGAGTGCTCATGTGTTGCCATTACAGAGGAGTAAGATGTCATGTGGCCTGATACTTGTATAGAGTATACCTTGTAATTTCACCTTAAGAAGAGGGTGAGATACCGAAACACGTCTTACAAGTAAGTGAAGCGGCGAAAATAGGTGAGTCAGAGGTTCCCACGCAGACATCTTTGTGCAGTTTACCTCAGTAGTTATTAAGATAAACAGATAATTATCATTCAACATGTCTCTCATAATTAACAAGTTTAGAGGAAGCCAAAGTGTTATGCATGTTTTTGTATAACGAAGTCATTAATCGCTAAAACGTTGGATATAATCCAGAAGAAGCCACTGAACGTAAATATTCTTTGTTGGTATTTGTAAAATCATGATTAATTATGTTAAGAGGAAACTATCAATGAAAAAATATTACATACTGTAATAACTGATTACAGTATGTAATAGGGGGAGTCCATAAATTACGTGAGATGTTTAAGAGAGGGAAGGGGTCGAGTCAAATCTCTAATCTTACGTTGAAGAGAGGGGATCTCGGCAAATATCACGCTATTTTTTTTCTGATTGAAACAAAAAAAATATACTATTTTGGTCCATTTAATCCAGATTGTACATGCACTTGTTGTTACTTGTTATTACACTTTTAACTCTCAGCAATATTGATTACTAGTCTTAAAGAAAAAAAAATGTGCTTTTATTTACGACTGTAAATAAAAGCACATTTTTTTTTTCTTTGAGTTTACGTAAGAAACCCACATTTTGAAAAATCTCACGTGAGATTGGGGTTTGAGGGAGGGGGTTGAATAAAATCTCACGACATCTCACTAGGGGGTTAGGGAAGGATAGAAAATTAAAAAAACACCTCACGTAATTTATGAACGCCCCCATACTATAGAATTTAGTATCATACATTGACAAATTATTACCTAAACAACACGGTTCCTTAAAGACATTCAACTTAAAAACTGAGACCATATTCTTGTTTTGGTCATTAAAATTAAAATACCTTAGAAGTATTTACTTATTCCTAGAGTTACAAAAAAAAAACTATAGAATGCAATCAAATTCTGACTCGTAAATATTTAAAATAAGACCTAAATTAGACACTACATAAGAGTACTGCACGATTCAGATTTACCGATAGAAACAACACCTAAAATTAGAGTTAAAAACAGTTTCTAATTACATTTCTATTCAGTGTTAGCCATTCAACTTATGTAATTACCATATCCATATCAGCCAAAAGTTTCAGCCTAGAACATCGGGCTTAGAATAAGATAGTTGCTCTTCGACACACGCCTAAATCTACATACACTAAAAATTTAAATTAAATGTATGAGTATATGTAAGACACTCGATATATTGTTAATTCTTACAAGGGTATTAATAATGTTAATATTGTACATTCATTTTCGAAGAAATGTTATAAACATTATAAAGGTAATGCAAAAAGAAAAATATATTCGAATTTCATAAAACGTACATACTAAAAATATTCGAGTAAAAATTGAGAACGAACACATTCATAAAAGTTATAATCAAAGAGCGATGCAGCTTTCCCTTAAACTCATGTGACTTTCCGAGTTATCTAACTGACAATAAACTTCGTCACATGATTATCTCTGTTTGTAGCGAATATACGTGGTCGTGTAGTATTTTATAGACAAGGTGTCACGTGCAGATCAGACCAGACCAATTCGCACATTTTTGTATAATAATAGACATTTTAAATAGATCCCAATTCTAAGTCAATAAACAAGCATACACCCGTAAACTATTCGATGCGGTGTTAATATGAAAAATATATGTGTGAAAAATTTATGTTTATACATATTTTTAGATCTGAAGTCCAATTTTTTACTTATACTATATATTTTATGACTTCATTATCGTCTACATTTTATCGAATCAGTTCATTTCATTAATGGATTTATATTTTTTTTTTACTGTAGTCTCAATAATGGTCGGAATTTATTCACCAATAGAGAAGGTCGTATCGCTTCCAGTAGCGGTGGTTAGGTTTCCGCATTGAATATTTGTGGTCTCACACATGGTAATGGTAGCAACAAAATAATATTAAATAATATTTTTGGACGTCGTTTAGAATATATATATAATGGTCAGTTTAGAGTTATAATTTCTTTTCAATTTAGGATGTCATACGAGTCAAGCAAGAGAATAAAACAATATACTAGTGAATGGAGAATTCAAAACCCTCTCAAAAACGTCAACATCTTCTTCAATTATAATCTGAATAGCGATTTCAATCCAAATCGACTATTTGCCATTTTTTCGAAAGTAAATTAGAATGTAAGGTAGTTCATTCAATGACAACAAAATGTAAACCTAATACTTTGCTAGTATACAATTTAATCTCAAACTAAGCAGAACTCGTATTATGTCCCAAATTTGAATTTAAAAATGAATCTGTATTATTGTAAACATGTACAACATTTATTTGACAAGAATACGAGCTGAGTTTCTTGTAGTACTGAGTACTTCTCATCTCAAAATCATTCCGAACTAACGGTAGATTTGACATATCATAAGAGTCTGTAATAGACCTACATGAATAAAGATATTTTGAATTTGATTTTATGAATACTGATACCTAAATATATTTTAATATTATATATTGTAAACCCACCGAACTTAGACCGATACAAACACATATAGTCATGAATACAAATATTTGTATTGTGTTGGGGTCGAACCCGCGACTGTCGACTGAAAGGCGGTCATCAGATATAATGAAATATAACTTAAATTTAGTATGTAATTATATATTTATGACGAGCATTATCTAAGGAGCTATAGAGTTTCCACTCTCAAATTATGACACCATAATAAATGTTGATCCAAAGCCAGAGAAGTCACTAGAAATATCCGCATGTGTGAGTTCATGTCTCTCAATTAGCAAGTTACTTATCACATTATCAATATTATAACAATTGTTTTATGTTCTATTATGATTGCAATAAAATAATTCCGTATATGAATGTGTACACGTTTTCCATTTATGAAAACATATATTAGATACCGTTGTTGACTTAATACGTTATCAGTCAGAGATCACTGCCAACACTATTTTTATGAACATGCGATATAAGAATAGATTTCTGATATAGCTATACATTATTTATTAGCTTTTTTGTCAATGTCGTGATAAGTAAACGTTATATTTTATTTATAGGCAAGTGGCGTGACTTTATAATAATTTTACAGTATATCGATTCCTCTACACGTATATCGTTATGGTTTAAGATATTTTATTCATAACTATTTACTACGTATGCATGACGCTACTGGAATGGCAGCGCATGAACGGTACCACGTGAGTCGGCCGTCGGTTGTCATTCCAGTTACATAATAAAAAGTCTTAGGGTTACATTTAACGAATATAAAAACAGGAACTATTTGAGTTCTTTTTCATACCTTGCATTTATACTATTATTATTTGTAATCGGTGCAGTATATCTTCTTCCACTAATCCCTGTCAGTCGTCATATGTGAGTCTCTCTCCATACACTTTTGATAAAGAGTTGTAATGATGAAGATGTAAAGTTACTGCAATTATTTAAAAAGCAACACCCAAGTTTCTTGCTCGTTGCTTTCCTAATGAGCGGTAGATTAAAAATAAAAAGCATGACTACTCAAAAAAGTGCGTAAATTTAGGTTTATTTGTATATTTTTTATTCTAGTAATACAATACTGGATAAACTAACATAACATTTAAATCAGAATTATAAGTTAAAATTTTAGACTGATTTTCGAAAATTTGTAATCCAGCATTGTACTAGGTGTGTATTACTAAAATATATATACTCACAAATTAGTATGTTTAGTGTCGGCCACAGATAAAACTGAACAGAGATCAGATAATAGAGTATCAGCTGTCTTATTGGCAGTGCGCCGGTCACTCGTCACTAAACTCAACCAAACTGGCTGTAGTCGCGGCCCATGCATTAGATCTGATAACCTGAAAAAAAATGTTCCGCAAAATGAACAGACATAAATCTAAAAGAAAGAGTATATAACCAATATATGTGATAGATTCAAAATTACCAGACGTTACGTAACAAACAAAAAAATATTCGATTTTTTTTATAAGATTTCGTCACATAATTGATTTTAAATATGAAAAATCTTGCTTTTTATACAGAATGAACAGCATTTTCTTTTAGTCATTGTAAAGGTTAACCTTTGATGCTACTAAGAAAACTACATCTAAAGCCAGTTTTTCTAAAAAAAACTCAAATATGTAAACACAGAATAAGGGGACGGAAATTTCTTCTGCAAGTTAGACAAATTATTACTGTTTTCTGTTGGTCCTATTGTTAGCAATAGGTCACATCATGACTGTATCCAAATTTATTCTTTGAATCTTTGCTCGTTCATCTTATGATAAGTCTGCTTTCCGAATGAGTGGTAGAATAAAAAAATATGGCTATTCAGAAGCACTTGTTTGAATAAAGATTATTTCTATTTCTATTATGTAGTAATGTAGGATTACATTGCCGCCCTTTCACCAGTAGTGTAAACAGAATCACTATTTTCATTATCATTGTCTTGTCTTTATTCCATTATTTTGGTTGGCGCAGTACGTCATCCTCTTCCACTGATCCCCATCGACCGTCATATCTGAGCATGCTCTCCGTTTATACATATCATCTTTCACACAATACACCCATATTGTTTCAGTCGTCCTCTCCCTTTCCAGTAATTCACACGTTATTCACATTCAGGTTATATACTTTCTTTAAGAAATGCAACGCCTTATTGAAGAATAATGTCAGCCACTTATATCAAATTCACTTAATAACTTCCATAACTTCTATATTCCACATGGTCCTAAGGCTTGACTGGTTTGGTTTGGTACTTCGCACAGCATGTCTTACTTCTTCTATTATAACAGAATCAGAATTTTATCATACATAAGAAAACATATTGTAAAATTATTTTTGCCAGTTTCTTACACATTAGTTATTCACTTACCACCTGGCAGCGTCAATAGAGGCACGATGCAGCGTCGATACGAATCCTCCACCCGATACTGCGGTCAATGTTGCCAGCCGTAGTCTACATACTAAAGCTTGCAACTGTGGCGAATGCTCAGCGCATCTACGGACTAGATCCCTGCGAAAATGTACCTTATATCAACACAATTAGAATCATCGGTTCAGTATAAAGGATAGAAACTTAGTATCATAGTTATAAAGTGTTTTTAAAACAAATACTATAAAATGAAAGTACAGGAACAGTTCATTTCGACGGCCTTGATGGTCTATCAATTTAGCACATTGCTTTATTTCCGATGGTCGTGAGTTCGATTGCTCTCACGATCCAAACATTTTTAATCATGAGTATAATTGTTTTTAAAAGGCTGGGTGTTATCTATGTATATTACGTATGTATTTAAAAAAAACTGCATGTAAGTACTTCTATCACTTTCTTAGTCAATCACAATCTCTACTTATCTTAGGACTAGAGGACACTATATGAATTGTCCAGGGTTATTGTTATTATAAAAAAAAAAATTTAAATATGAGCAGAGTCTAAAATATAACATGCTACTGCTGTCCAAATATACACGTCAATTGATTACTCCATTTAAAATCATAATCAAATATTTGGATATTGTACGAAATCCTGAACTAACATCTCCGTAGCATCCGCAACAGTGAACAGGAGAGCTAGTCCCAACTTGTTCTTCCTCTGCGCCGTGGATGAACCGGTGCTAATTAGACTATCACTCGTGCCACTCGCAGAACTACTGCTATACATCTGTTTAGAAACAACAAAATATTCCTAAATGCATCACATTATTTCAATTTATATTCAAAATTACATTTTAAGGAAAAATAAATAATAAAATAGCACCCTATTATCCTCCTGAGCAAAGAAGCTCCCTTTCCTCTGCAGTGAAACAATAAAAATCATCTACTTAAAATATCGAATTCCTAAATATTTGAATAAACAACAAAGAATTAAAATAAATATGTCAGGAAATAAAAAAAAATCAAACAAAGATAATTGACCCAGAATGATACGTGCTTTTGTGCACATATAATTCTAAGTCACAGATTAGATTATTCTTTGGCTCTTGAAATACTAGTTGTAAAACATTTACAAATTTATAAGCAATCCAGTGTTATTTGATAAGTTTCAAATCCTTGAATCTTATTTATTACTAGCGACCGCGGACCATTATTAACGCGATGTTTGCTATAATTTACGGAACTACTAATTCAATTTTGTAAATTATTCTAGTATTAGATTTTTGTGGAAGGCTATATGCCATCACGATTTAATAGTTGCGAGGAGTTTTGAATCAGACGAAATTTCTACGTCTCCCAGAATATAGGTAGATTAACAGAACAAATACCCCTAAGCAATTGTTTTTAAATCGATTCGATCGATCGTTGCGACACAATCTCTACGAGGTACCCAGATAATAAATTATTACGAAATGTATGGAACTTTTACATTTACATATACAATTTATCTTAGTTAAATAAAATTATAGCTTGCACAGCACATCTCATCAGCACGTATTAACCCTTCGAAAGAATATTATAGTTCTAGTAGGAAGAATTCAAATACATATATTTAATTCTACTAGCAATGAATTAAAGGTTGTTCAAGTACTCTTGGAATGCTTTAGTATTGTATGGTTTAATAATTGTTTGAAATGACTAGAACTTTGGTACGACTAACATAAAATAATTTCTTAATAAGACATAGAAAATTCTTTAGGAATACAAGAATGAGAGTGGGAGAAAACAGGATCAGAGTACTGAAACCGCACTATAAATAGCTAATGAATTGATATTCAAATGTAAATTCATATTGACGTCTCGCTAATTTTGCGGTTTAGCACAGTGCCTTTATTCCGATGGTCGTGGTTTCGATTCTCGTCAGATACAAATAGTCATTAGTGTGATTGTGTGTATTGTTCTAGGTAGTCTGTATGAAAATATTATATATTTATCAAAAAAAATATATAGGTGGAGTTTCTCGGCTGTTTACTACCCATAGTATAAAACCTGCTAAGTTTGAGATAGGTTAGAAGAGATGTGTGAATTAATCAGAATTTTAAAAAACCAACATAAGAAATTATGTATATTTAATTTTACTATGACTAATGCAAAGGTTATCGTAGTAAATACACTGATAAACTCGCACATGATTATAGTGATCGTACAGAATGAACACCTCATGTGATGCATCACGCGGTCTGAATCAGACAAATTACAACCGTATGTAGAGATATCCAATATGATCTTTTTATACGTAATAAAAAACAAATAAACTGATGACCCACCTGATGGTAAGTGGTAACCGTCGCTTATATACATGAACAGCACTACGGACATCAGGTTACAACTGATAACCTGATGTCCGTAGTGCCGCTCATGTATATATATACGCGACGGTTACCTCTTAGTCACGTGTTACCGTTCATATGTTATTATTCCAGAGGACTAAGAGTTATGCATCTTAATTGCCTTAATTGCTTTGTAATTTCACTGCTAAATTGCATGCTACAGCTTACAAAGCGGCTGAGGTACTGAAGCGATTTTTTAGTCATACATCTCAGCCTGTATGAAACTAAAAAAATACATTCAAGAACTTACGACATGCTTATACACGTTATTTTAATTTAAAAGTTAAATATATGTATCCATTTTAATGCAATTTCTATGGGCCGATCAAGAAGTATAATATGATTAAATAAAAAATATATTTTCAAAACTGAGTATAAATGCAGGATATCTTAGATCACAATCAAAATAGAAAATAGAATTATCTATTTTACCTCTTAGTTTATTTAAGTCATCATGCATCTTCTGAAAAAAAGTGTACTTAGTTTGCCATTGATTCGAAAGAAGTAGATTCAATTGATGAAAGCACAGTAATTACCTGCGAATCGCTGCTAGTCACATTGCTGGTGGCAGTAGGCAAATTCAGATAGTTGGTGCTCTCCTGACCAAGGTTGAACCTCGTCGCCAGGTTCTGGAAGGTGCGTCTTTGCCAGCTGCCGTTACTTGATGTACTTATTTTGCGTCCAGATGGTGCTATAAACATTTATACTCTTAGTTGTAAGACTACTAACTCGTACTCGACATTTATCCCCTACTGCACCCACTTCCAGATTATTTTTCAATATAAAAACTAGTATACATCCATCCTCGTGTTACAATCTATGTTCATATCAAATTTCAATAAGATATAATTAGTCGTGAAAAGATTACAAAAAGTTAGAAAGACAAATATAGATTAGAACAGAATGGCTTGCTTTAAATTTACATCTATTTATTATACAGAAAATAACATGTGCATGTTAAATAATAGAAACCATGGCAAAACGTATCTACATATGTTTCATATAGTAATCTAAAATATAATAATAATATAAGGAAGTGTGTCTGTTTGTAATTTTTTCACGACTAAATAGCTGAATAAATCTGCATGCAATTTGACGTGAACATAGAGAATATCACGTGTACAAAGCCTATTATCTCAACAAAGCTGAGGAAGACGGGATTAAAAGATAGAATTAAACAATTTAAAATTAAATCAACGAATCCGAACTTTTTACTTGCCAAAGTGTCTCAATATAAAAGCCTGCCTGTGTAGACTCATAGCGGAGGCCGAAGAACTATTCCTTCATACATTTAATAACTTCTAAATGTGGGATGAAACAGATTTTATTGAGATGCAGTGCCTTAAAAGGCAAATTGTCTTTACGCTTATGTAATGAATAATATTAGGAATGGTGCACTCTCTTATGTTAAGTGTAAACTATGATGGAAAAAATCACCGTAAATTGACCATGATCGCTTCCAGGATGGACAGCGTGGTACCCATCCTGATGATACATGCAATAGGTCTTTTAGCCCGTATTAGTAACAATCCCATGAAATGCCTGTACGTTAAAAATAGAATAGCTTCTATGTCATACAGCAATTCCGTCTAATTGGCATCATACACGCAAAGGCTGATCCCCATTTGGTCGGTTTGTACCGGCCACCATTAAGAATTAGAATTTAGCAACAGGCACTTGTGCAAATTACAGTAATGTGCTAACTGACCTTGCTTTATTTAGTTTGATCCCATTTTAATACCAGTCCAATAGTACGTATCTACATAAAATTTATAGAACAAAATAGTTTTTTTTTAATTTAAGCACTTTTGTAAAGTCATTTTTACTTTTTTAATCTACTGTTCATTCGGAAAGTTGTCGCATTACAAGAATAACGATCAAGAAACGTGTGTTGCTCTTAAAGGTGGTAACTTTACATTTACGTTGAAATGTGTGAATACAAAACTACTACCAAGCACTAATTAATTGGAGTCAAAATATTAAATGCATAATAAACTAAATAAAAAAAAAACAAAATACTAAATACCTACGTACAATCTCGCGTCTTTCAATCCTGCGTGCTTCAGCACATTTTATAATAATTAATTAATATTTCAAAATTACGCACACCTATCTATGGAGCAAAGACACAATAAAGTCAAAGTCATTGGACAACAATATGTATATAGTAAAAATTAAAACACAAACCAAAGTAAAATTACATGAGAGTTCATAACACAAACGCGCGAAAGAGAGAATATAAAAAATAGAATTAAATGTAGCACTCATGATTGCGCGCGCTCCTGATCGCACGTAAAAGAACGGTCGTATAAAAGCAGCTTATTACAAAAATGTTTAACCTACAGTACGCTAATCGGCAAACAACGCTTAGTCAAATCACCCCACTTAAGAAACGAAACAACGACCGTGAAATAATAACCTAAACGGAAACAAACCTAACGGGTAATGCGACCGTTAACTACTGTCACCACGTACTAGCAAATAGGAAGTGATGTCATTACTTACAAGAGAAAGTGAAGAATTCCTCTTGCGCTTTACTTCCATCCCATATATCAAACATAGATACGTAGTCGTAGGTGGATCCGACGCTGCTGTGAGGGGTGAGATCTCCATAAAAACCTGTTGATAAATTAGCATATATGAACATAACAATAAAGTACAGTTTCGTAAATCTAACCCTAGATATGGTAAACAGAAGCAAACAGAATTGATTTGTCGACATTATGACTTACACAACCCTCAATTTTCATATTTGAATACCACGAGAAAGGATTACTCAGTCTCTAGAATTAATTTGGTTTGATACTAATAAAATATATATGTAATACACAAAAATAGACATAAAAATTATAGGGCTACTTTAAACCGCTATTAAACTCAAAAGGGAAATTAGGATAAAATATGATTTATTTGATTATATGGAATTATAGAAGATAGGTACAATTAATTACTAAACTAAACATGTGTTTAAATACAGCAAAGAAAATTACACTGTTTATTTCAAATTAAATCGTATAGAAATGTGATATGATATTCATCATCATTAACGCCATTCTTCTGGGGAATGATCTCTTCTTATAGCTAAGACGAAGCTTTACATTACCGCGATTGGGAGACGGCTCCATTTTAAATAATTTGAGTGAAAAATTGCCTTACACCAATGTAATTACTGTAGATTTGTTATCTTAGTAGCCTTTATCGCCAAGCTAGGGGAAAAATAAGTGTCAGTATGACGTTAATTCATTAGACCAACTATACCTGAATCACCCCTATCCAGGGAGAAACTCAAAGACACGCCTTCTTCTTTCAGCAGCGGTACATTTAATGGCGTTGAACTGTTTCGCAATTTAGCAGTACTGCATTCAGTTCTTCGGTCTGTTCGGCTGATTCGGCGGGAAGTTGGTACACAGAACACCTTAGTACACATCAACCTAAATTGGAAAAAATATCGGTCTTAATTTGTGATATTCTTTTTGTTTGGAAAAATGATTCTTACCTAAATACCACTGATAATTTTAAAATACTAAATCATCAGTCGCTTACTTTAAGAAATATTTTCGTTTAAAGTAATCTGGATAACATAGCTAGCAATGAACCATGTTTGGTTAACCATCTTAATAAATTCCTGGTAAATTGTACGCTAACTGATCTGATCTCGGATTCATCTTATCATTCTCCGCTGGTGCACCGCCAGTGTAAACCATCAGCACAGGCGAAAACACCATTGCATTAACATCGTTTTTAAAATAATATTTGTACACTGTGACAAAACCCCACCTACAAAAGCGTAGCTCTTAAATTATGAAAGATAATAAATAAATACCTATACCCATACAACTCTATTCGTCTTTGCGAAGCTGGCTGGGTCGTTACTTACTTATATTATAGATAAAGCTGTACCTTCTAGGCTCTTCCATGATGTGGATCTTCAATGAGACACTCTTGCAGTTCATAGCCACAGCGCCGAATATCATCTCACCGAGAACGCTGGCGTCAGCCGATGGACCCTTGTACTGGACAAATAAAGAGATGAATTTCTTAGCATTTCACGATTACACCGTGTGGGTGGCGGGTTCATCGTGTGGCAGAGAGGGCAACTCCAGGCAGTTCCCGGGATTCGTGACCCGGGTATACGATTAAGGGGCCTTTGCCGACGTACGCTATCTATATATCGCTCATGTTTCAAACAATGTTTACAGGGTCAGCTAGTATAAGTGTTAATCTATGATTAATGATAGTATGACGCCTGAATAAACGGAAACATGTACTTCTACCAAATGAGTGACGTGCTGAAAAAGGGCCAAGAAAAAAGTACTCATAACCGGCGGGGTTGTATAAATAGACTATCGAATGCGATGGCTGGATTAGGAGAGTATTATATGAATCAGAATATTTGCCTTCCTATTGGTTTTGCCTATCCTAAAGACGTAATGTATGTATTTACTACTACTTATTAATTACCTATTTATGCAACTCCATAACATGGATTTTCAATAATTACTTAGACTGTATACCTACTTAATATTACTCATATTATGTATATATACGAAATCGACATAACTCACATTTACTCTTAAGACAAACACCCTTTAGCAAAATTCGGTAACACTATGCTACTGATCTTGTTAAATTGCTCTTGAATTGCATACGGATCAAAAATAAAAATAACACATAAAAACATAAAGATAGCGGCTTAAATACGTACATAATTAAAAAATACTAGAAATACATGGTAAAACCGATATATTTTACTGCCCTTCTGCTGGGATCTGAACCCAGAGTGTAAAGTAGTTCTCTCCTTATAAGAGATTTTTCATCTCTGTATTGACGTACCTAAGAGTATTTATTCTGTGTTCCCATAGTTCATTCCTTCCTTTCTCAAAACTATTTACTGATAATAAATTAAAAATTCCGCATTTTTTCATAAACGGTTTAGTTTCTATTACGAACATACATACGAATATACACAATTGAAACAAAGACATGTGATGTCCGTTAATTAGGCCGGGCGAAAATGACAATCCCACGAAGTGGATCATTATTTCCACTTAAAGAACTAAAGGCTAAATACGATACGAGCTAAATTTAGAACGAGTGCGAATAAACGAGGGTCGGCAGTCATGTGATCACACTCTGTCAATTGTAATGTTTATTTTTAAACTGATATAATGATAAGGATACGTGCACACAATAACAATGGCCAACTCGTAATCAGTACAAATGACTTCGTCTTGAACTCGTGAGTCATTAAGAAGAAACGTTGTAAAAAGATGTTATTTTTAAACCACTCATAAAAGAGGTAAAATTTAATTGAGAAGCTATTTTTTATTTGAGACAATATCTTCGTCAAGAGTTATATAACTTTTTTCTTACCTAATTAACAATTACATTCGTTAGAAAAATATAAGTATTTAGTATATTAAAACGCGTATCTTACTACCATGACCATGACCATCTAATTGACCATGATGAAACCTTCCAGGGAGCATAGAGTAGAACATGACCCTTGATAGGCCAGGCTATATTACTGGTAAGTGGGCCAGTGGTCTACATTATTAAGGTACGTAAGAAAAAAAATCAATACAAAAATTAGCTAGTACCAATATTAATAAATTATTTTAACGCTTAAAGGGTGTAATTTACTTTATATATGATATACCATAGGAGTTGCAATACTGATCTGGGTTATCTGTGGCTATCTGGTACTGTAATATTGAAATAATTAAAAATTTAATTAATTATTTATTTATTTGATTAATTAAATTAATTATTTGATTAACTATCCCCCACTTTAGGTTACACTAATTTTACATAAAGCATATCACTCACCATATATGTAAATCCCTCTGACACCTCCACAATATATGGGGCATCATTGGTCTGTCTAATGTTGGGCTTGTCATTTTTGCCTGCTGGAACTTTGTCAATACTCGATGAGTCAAATAGGAGCTTCCTACCACGCAAATCACACTCTTTGAATAGAAGCAGCCTCACTTGCTCCTGGTTAATCTGAGAAGACCTGTGGACAATATTAATCTATTTTTATATGGACAAAGTTGTCTAATTCTGCCACCTAGCTGTTTGCTATGTAAGCTGTGTTGCAGTTATCCTACAACTGATGATTAGATAGTAAAATTACAGGATAAGAACCATGATACATTTCAGTCCTCTGGAGCATGGGTGTCATAGTACAATATTTTTTGTGTTCATGTATTGTATAGTGGTGACAGTTAACATAGCAGTGCTGCTAGTCTCAAGTATATAGGCTACAGTTATCAATTGATATTACTACTACTATAGGTAGGTCATAAGCTTGTTGGCCATCCCAATTACATAAAAAAATATATAAACACAGCTCTTGAGGTACACTGCACATGTCTTGTTGGATCACAAAAACAACAGACAAGAAAGCATGTGTGTCATTAGTAAATGATCAATCAGCTTTACTGACACTGTAGCCTACTAGAGCCTGAACTGGATGGTAGGGTTCAAACCAATACAAAAAATTTACTTGCATAACCTGATAAAAGATCATAAATGATATTGAGTGTAAATTTCAATTGAATTATTGAGTAATTGAAAATAAATTCGTAGGTTGAAACTGTCTTAAGCTATAACAACTAATACTTAGTTTAATACCCAACACTCAATTAAAGAAACAAATATAAGACATAATATATATATTATTGGTCCTATACAATTGTTAAGTGCGAATATATCATTAAAATTTGTTACTTATGTTTATGTTGCCCCCATCATCATTTAAGAATATTATGTATGTATATTTTAATTGATACAAATTAAATAAATAACTGAGATATTTGTTTCTTAATTTGATCTTGACTTTAGTGACCCACTTACACCAACACCATAATAACACAAGATTTATTTATAATCAGTATAAGTTAAATTATTACAATATTATATACTATTAGAACTACCCTACATAAATTTTAATATTCTATACACCACTTACTAGGACATGTTAAGATTCTATCAAGAGATGAGACATAAAAATAAAACCATAATTTACCTAAATTTCATTTTATTTCATACTCGCATCAGCTGTTGACAGTTGTTCAACAAAGCAAACTGTCAGCAGGGAATACTTCACCACTTGCACTCTCAATCCTATTATGCAGCCATAGTTTTCACTTTAAATGCACATCGAAGTTCGAATAATTATTTCTACCGTCCGTAAGGAGTGGAATGTACTGATGTACTATCGTGTTTGAATGTAAATAATAAGTAAACATTGTCGCCCCGCCTCTTCGTCAGTGACGTGAACAACGAAAGCGGGGCCGCCCACGCTCGCAGCTCGCAGTCATTATCACTCATGTCATAAGCTCACCGCTCGCCGTGCTGCCAGCATCTCTTGCGTCAATTTGCTCCCAAAGGTCCATCGAACGCCCTCAAGACGTTCTCAGGCACATCGTGCGTCAAGCTTCACATGTCACACGGAACAAAAATAAATTACAATGAATGAAAGGCATTTAATGACGTACCTGATGGCATTATGTAGTCCGCGAGTATTATAGTCGAGTTTTCTCTTAGCAGGGAAAAGTTTGTCGAATAATGCCATTGCATTAAATGTGACATTTCACTGGATTGTTTTGACCTGCTATCATCTTTATTGTCTTCATCTAAAGAAAGTTCCATAACAAATTAAACTACTTTCTCACACTTTTACCATTTTGCAAATTTTTTATTGTAGGCAAAATAATTGTAAATAATACTGTTATCTGACAGATCACGTGCTAAAGTCATATGATTTTTCATAGACAACAGTATTTTTTTACACTGAGGTCAAGGTCATTAAGCGTTCAGTAAACTGTGTATACTATTTTGTGATCATAAGCGTGTATATAATAAAAAATATTAGTATTATTATAAATAAAAATTGATTTCAATATCGTAATAAAAAGTAAAGTCCATCAAACATGTTTTTCTATTATCTTGTATATTATATTTATATCAAAATTTCATCTAAATATTCTGTATAGATATATCAGTTTATATATGTAGTTAAATATTTGTACTCAGTTTTAATTTCTAGCCTAAACAAAATGGTTTTAATTACAGTTTTAAGCATACTCTGTATCTGTGTCTATGACTCAATACAGAGCTCTAACCTGTTAGTTGTCAAAATTACACAAATATCAGTAATGTCAAATTTAGTAAACAAATATTTTGTTTTAATAAAGAATATATATAAATAATAATAATATTGGATATTTTTAAGTATGCGAAATTATTTCTTTCATTATATAATTATAAGAAGACAAATAGACGAAACTTGTAAGTTTAATTGTAAAAAGATACTTCATATTTTATACATACTATAAATACTCATATTTACACAGGATCCAAATTTTATTAATTCTAGATGCTTTTTTTAAATAGTACCAGTTTAGATCATACTATTTTTATATTATTTAAACATGCGTAGTGTCGAAGAAATTTATTCAGAACTTGAATCATATAGAAAAAGTGTCCAAGGCTCTTTTTCAGAGATTTCCGAGCTGGATATGTCCTGTAAAACTATCTTGAAGAATTACTTAAATAGTACGAGTACCACAAATCCAGCAGTCAATATAAAAATACAAGCAGTAATTGATTACATGTATGAAAGAGTCAATATTGGTAATTGGAAAGAGGTGAAACTTTTCTTAAGAAAAACTATTACCATAGCATCATATTTGAAATTAATTTATTTGGTAAAACTAGCAAAGTTTATAGATAATAATTTTATAAAAGAATCATATAAAATAATTGATTTTGGCATTTTATTTGGATGTCCACTAGATAATGAGCCTCAATTGTTACAAAATTGTGCATCTTGTTTCAATACCCTATCCCAAGAGTCTTCTGATAATGACAATGCGATATTGAATATACAAGAGAGCATTATAGTTGAAAGTAGCAAATATAATACTCAGCCTCTCGATATTCTTGATTGTCCTAGTATGGAACATTTCTATAGAGATTACATTTTAAAAGATAGACCTGCCATTTTGAACAATTGTATCAATCATTGGCCAGCCCTAAATAAATGGAAACATATAAGTTACTTCAATAAAGTTGCTGGTTCAAGAACAGTGCCTATAGAGTTAGGTCGTGTTTACACAGATTCTGATTGGACACAAAAACTAATGACAGTTGGTGAATTTATAAACAAACACATTTATCAATCCCATGGAGCTACAGGTTATCTGGCCCAGTACCAGCTGTTTGAACATATTCCAGAATTGAGAGGAGACATTTCTGAACCAGAATACTGCTGTTTCTCAGACAATGATGAAGCTGTAGATATAATGGCTTGGTTTGGCCCAAAAGGTACTGTATCGGCTCTACATCATGACCCCAAAAGAAACTTGTTAACACAAGTTGTTGGTGAAAAACATATATTTCTATTTTCACCCAATGATTCAGAGTTTTTATACCCACATGACCATGAGTTATTGAATAACACAGCACAGGTGGATCCAAGGGAACCTGACCTAGAGAAATATCCCAAATATACTAATGCAACTGCATATTACTGTGTCTTACATCCTGGTCAAATGTTATACATACCTCCAAAGTGGTGGCATTTTGTAGAATCACTATCTATAAGCATATCAGTGAGTTTCTGGTGGAACTAAAACCATGTTAATATTAAGAAAGAATATCGAATATCACTTCAGTCAGCGATAAGAATATATTACATACTTTTACATGTGATAAAATTATACTTAAACTTGATACTAGGGAATAATTACCAAATATTTATATGGCGTTTGTTTTTTATTTTCATGTGATTTGAGCATTAAGTTTGATATCCTGAGTTTGATTTTGGGATAGTGCATAGCATATCCTATAATTCTTATTGATGTATTCTAAATTCAAATTTTTAATTCTGATATATAATTTATTGATCCTATATTATACCAAAATTATTATAAGGTTTTTTTCATTTGTTCCTAATCTGAAAATAAATTATGTTGACAATATGAAATTACTGTGGATTAAGCACACTTAATATTTATTATTATTAAAAAAAAACAAATTTAAAAGTGTATATTTATTTATAATATAAAACTATAATTGAATAAGCATTTACAGTTCCGGCAGTTAAAACTGAGTATGTTCATAAGTTAATTTATTTATACATAAGTTTATAGTAGACAGAATAAACAAAAAATAACCAACTAGTCAATTATTGTGAAGGCCACACCATCTAAATTCACAATTTTTGACTCAAGGTCTACAATGAATGGCTAGTTGTTATTTTATTTGTAGATTGTGTATATGATTATAGACAGTATAACATATAACAGCTACAATATTGGTCAAATAATTATGCTTTATATACAGAGCCACACTACTCTTTATATGAAAGTTTATACTACAGTATATCAACAATCTCTGTGGTCTAGTAGCCACTGTTGTTGTTCATTATGGGTTCCAGTTCTACAAAATAATAGTACTGAATGAATTTCTAAATTATTTATGTATTATAACAGTAGTATTACTATTGCATTAACTACATTGCCTAAAAATAAGAATGCTGTCATATACATATATTTTTTTATTTTTATAAATTTATAAAGCTATGTTAAAAAAAATATTAATTTTGTACCAGCGCCATTTTTAGACAATTTAACATTTCTAAGTATTCTTCCTTTTGGGTAATTTTGAAGTGTAGCTGTTACCACCTCTTTCATTCATCCCTATCGCCCGTCATACTGGGGCTTAATGAATAGGTACTCTTATTCTAAGTTTGTTTTGTTCTTTTATAAAAAAAACATAGGTCTCATCAATATTACAATAGTCTTGTAGATTTTCTGTTTATTATGAGTTTGTAGTTTATTTTGTAAAAAATAATTTCTTTCTTAGTCTATTTCTATTGTGTACTTCTAATTAAAACTACTTAGTCTTAGATAACTTTCAGAAGATATTTTTTTGTCTTTGGTAGAGTTTAAAAAATAATAAAATGTAGTTTTCTATTTATATTCGTTGTTCAGAGCTCTGCCAATCAGCATTCTTCGTACTTCTGATGTACCAGCGCCTATTTCGTACAATTTGGCATCTCTAAGTATTCTTCCTGTTGGGTAGTCATTGATGTAACCATTGCCACCTTTAAGTAAAAAAATTACATTACTGTAATAAGTGTCATATTATATTCCTTAAATTTTTAGAAATTAGACTTTAAAGATATAACTATAAGTGGACTTTCCTTTTGTTTGTTGATTTTTTTTGAGATAAGCCTGTATAATACTAGATGTATATATAATAATGTATTTCTATTTAGCCAACATTATTTTACATGCACTTTCATAACATCCTCATAATTTTGGAGCAAGGTTTATCATCCAGGATTATTTTTTTTTATACAGAGTAGTATATTGAGTAGTTTTATACTGAAATAGTAAATGACTGAATTATCACATACAAATGGATACTAGTGAATACCTCTTTTGTATTTACAATAACATTTTCATTAATACATTACTCTAATTTAAAATGACATGTATATCAACTGCTTTTGTTAGCTAGTCACTTACAGCTAGCCAATGAATTTAGGCCATTTATACCATACCTAAAATCTGTATCGCGTCCAAAGCGACGGAAGTCGCTTTCTCTGCGCAGTACAGTATCACGCCGGCACAGTCTTTACTATTTACGTGGTCATCATCGCAAGCTTTCGCGACATTATACAAGTAACTGCGGCAAGCACTTAACGTTGTATACATATCAGCCATTTTGCCCTGAAACATTGTAAACAATTATCTATTTTACGAATTACTCCCTAAAGCATAACTTTAAATCGTTGGTAATTGTTATTGGTTAATGTTTCTTAAAAAATATTCCCAAATTATCTATATCTATATCTATAGTAATTATCTGTTCTTATTAACATTTCGTTGTAGTTAGTTTTGTAAGTCCTTCATGTCATGCAAGGCGCTTGTCACCAGGGAATTGTTCAACGTTAAGTTAAACTAAAGAATAAAAAAAAATCAGAACGAGTTATTAAAAAGTATCCCTTACTCTTCTGCGCAAACGGTATACGCAGGCGGGACACCAATGCAGAATGATTTGATGATGATGTGAGGTCAGTCAGTCCATACTGATAATTTTTAAAAGGACCGCGTGGAGGTCTTCCTCCCATTGTTAGGGACCGTACAAGTATTACGTAAGCAGTATGCCTTTGCTTTGCTTATTTTGGATGACATGTGGGGGTGGGGGAGTCTTGATGACGATTACGTCATCAGTAGTTATTTACTTTTTACACGAATGGCAACCCTCACATTGTCTTTGCTAAAAAAGCAATACATTAAATGAAAAATATTTACATAAGCATGGGGGAGGGGGTAAAAGCTTTTCTTACTTTTGCTGACAAGGAGGATGGAGGGTAAATAATTGTAATAAATCTGATGACGTAATACTTGAACGGCCCCTTAGGAATAGGACTAACAGTCGCTCATTATTAACCATCACCTTCCCGCGTCTGCTGCGTCCTAAGATTCAGGGACTGTAATAAATAAGTCCTTACTTAAGTGGGTAATCTTACCTGCAACAACTGAAATTCTCCAATATACTGTCCAAACTGTTTCCTAGTGTGTGCATACTCGAAAGCAGTGTCAACGGCAGCCTGCATCAGACCAACGGGACCAGCCGCAAGCACCAATCGTTCAAAATCTAATCCCGACATTAAAACGTACACACCTTTATTTTCTTGACCTAGTATATTGGTCGCTGGAACCTAGATGTGGAAGTAAACAAAAGGCAAATTTACAAGTAGACATTATAATCAGGTATCAAATATTTAATAAATTTTGAACGTTATGAGTAAATATGGCGGAATGATTATGGTAGAAGATACAGTTGTTTGTTATTCTGGATGGATGGATTTTTACTCTTTTACGCAAAAACTACTAAATGGATTTTAATGAAACAATAATATAGCTTAGGTATACCTACATCAGAATAACACATGCAATAAATTTCACGCGGGTGAAGTCGCGGGCACAGCTATTAAGAAATAATTGTACGGAGACATTCATCTGTTATTTGATAATGAATCAAATTACAGATGTAAATTTATAACTACCAATTATCTAAATGAAGGTATATATTTTTAATGCATGTCTAACATTACATAAAAGAACCGAACAGTACCCAGCATATCAAGCATTATGACGGTCCGTACCTACAAGCACGCTGTAAATCATCTACCAAAGAATTAACAAACAAAACCACTTTCTCAAATATACCAGAAATGTAAGTATGTACAACCAACTAGAGGCCATATAGGAGTACCTACAAATATTATTAAGTAATTCATTTGTCTAGTACCTATATTGATATATATATATATATACATTTCGTTTGGTACCTTGCAATCTTCAAACACCAACTCGCCAGTATTAGAACCCCTCATGCCAAGTTTATCCAGTTTCTGTGCTGTTGAAAATCCAGAGAAATCTTTTTCTATTAGAAAAGCTGTTATCCCATGCTGCGGTTTGGCAGTTGCATCTGTTTTTGCATATACCTGAAATTTTAATTACTACTTATATAATAAGGCCGCGACGCTTTAGTGCCTTAGCATATTTTTTTTTGCTTCCGATGGTTACAGGTTCAATTCATGCACAATACGTGCATTCATCATAGATATTCATGTTCATTGTACTAGTGAGTGTTTTCTATATGTATATTTACAAAATTTCTATCAGTTGTTTACTGATGTAGTGGGCTATTATCGCTGTATAGATATATATTATTCAACCTGAGCCTAATAAATAATAGGCATAAAGGTGGTATGAGAAGTAATCTACATTTACAACTGACTGAAGAAACAAAAGGTTCTCAATTGAATGGTGTCTTTGTATTTATATGCTACGGCGAGATGGACCATGTCATTTCCAAATAATAAACCAGATATTATTCCTAATTTAGACAGGTCATTTACTACCGTTGTATTATTCTATCCTTGATAGTTGATTACAGTAGGTAGGTACTTATTATATTCTACTCACCACTAATACGTCTGCGTCAGGACCGTTGGTAATCCAGAACTTGTTACCATTTAATACGTAATAGTCCCCTTTCTTCTCGGCGCGCAATTTCATGGACACCACGTCGCTACCGGATCCTGGTTCCGACATGGCCAGAGCACCAATATGTTCTCCTGAACACAACTACAAAGGAAATCAATTCATAACCAAGATTTGATGATCAGTTCAGTCGTATAAACTGGAGCATTACAGAATCAGTGTAGGTAACACTGAAGTTCGTTGTTTTCTTCTCGAGGTTTCTTTATACTGTTTAATTTAGGTCCTTATAATTTTATGCTATATAATATTTTTATAATTAATAATTTAATATTACATAATTATTAATTTGTTTATGAAATTATATTCATTTTCGTATGGTACTTGAACGGGCATCTAATAAGAAAGAGAACACGTGTACCTCAATTAAGTGAATTCGGTTGAACTTTGTACTTACTTTTGGCAAATATTTACTCTTCTGTTCGGGCGTACCATTTCTATTGATTTGATTTATGCACAAATTGGAATGTGCACCATACGATAATGCGATACTACCAGATCCCCTGAAACAATAATGTAAAATGGAACAATTTCTGTTTTGTTACATATAGCTGTACATAACTTCGACCGCAGAATGTGGTCGTACCGAAGGATTGAGATAAAAGAGACCTGTATTGTTTCTCTTTGTCAAATATTCACTTGCCCCAATTTCAGACACTCTCTTCTCTTTCAACAATGTGATTAATTCTTGATTTGAGATCATGCTCATCTTGTCATCCTTCACTGGTGCTCCACCAGCGTATACCTTTAGTAGCTGGTTTATAATATTCCTAAGAATATTTTTCGGTACATTTAATTTTGTTAACGTTCTCTACAATTTAATTTATTTTTTACAATGTAATAAAAATATTGTGTACCATACCACCTTATCTTATTCAATAAATATCAGCATATTCAATATAAGTACATACCTTGAAATTTCTTCCATAATAAGACAATGGTCAGAATATTTTCCACCTGTACCTCCATACTCTGGACTGGCAGTTATTCCTACATATACAAACAAAAGTGTGTCAAATACATACTTCAGTTTTTTAATTACTAACAATAATTAAAGAGCAAATTAAGATAAGTAAGTGGTAATAAAATTGTATATATAATAATAATAATAAACCCTGGACAATTCACACAGCGCCATCTAGTTCCAAGCAATATAGACAGAACTAGTGGTGTGGGTAACAAAACAAATGATAGATTTTTTTTAGTACATAATGTACATAAAAAAGATTATTTCTTCTGATATCTGTATGTTATGGTCTTATGACCATAACATACACATATCATACTCATGAATAAAAATGTTTGTATCGAGGAGAAATAGAACCTGCGATCTGTCATCGGAAGTAAAGCGGTATGCTATACTACTGAGGTCGAGTGTTAAAATATACGTTCTTTTGTATATCTTATGTAGATAACACTTTCTACCATTGCACTAAAATCCGTCATATTCATCCTACTGGAGCACAATGCTCGAAGTGCATCAGGAACTCCATGAAATTTTGGGTCCTTTATCCATAAGATCTTCTATAGCAAACGACCACGTAGTATAGTAATTACTTATGACCACCAGGCGGACTTAAGATAATTACGTGTACTGTCCGAAGACTGATAACTCTATTCTATTATTTACAATGATGATATGTTTGCTTTGTACATACGGATGCGGTATATTCAGTGCCACTATAATAAAATAAAAAATTGAACACAACCCTATATTTTTATATAACTCACAGTAAATGGTAATTACAAGAAGTTTGTACAAGTAGACAGGTGTTTTATTATTCATATGTATGCTAGTATAGGTATATGTTCTGATACATTGTCTCTATGTAAGTAGTTATACATTTGTAGTAATTAATTTACTGAACTCATAATCCAAAAAGAAATGTCCCATACATCTATCAAGGGTCAGTAAAAGCCTTATTCCTTTGCTCAGTCCCAAAATATTTCATTTTTCTTTTTTGGACTACTCTATTGCTGTTGTCATATAAAGCTGGCCTTAACAGCTTCACCGGATGATAAGGGGCGAATGCAGATTGCACTCCAAACCCGCGGAAGGACTTATGGAGCGATATAAAGGCCAACTCTCGCCTGACGGATAAGACTGTAGTCTGAGGGCACCGGTAGGCGTTCGAACCTCACGACGTCGTACTTTTGATCGCTGTTTGTATTTTATTAGTGTCATAAATAGATAAATAAATTCTTACCTAACAGACCCAATTCTCCAAGTTTCCGCCAAAAGTTTCTTAACTCTTTAAAATTGTTTTCTCTGTCAATATCTGCCGCTTTTGGTGCTAATTCTTTTTGTACAAAGTCGAACACTAACTTTCGGAGCTAAAATAAATTAAATTACCTTTTATTAAATATACGAATAAGACGATAGCATAAGCGACTCTCCTTTTTCTGGAATATTTTTAAAATGTATTCAACATAGCTAAAGAAACGATGCTACGACCACATTTTCGTTTATAAATAGGTATACTATCAAACACGACCACGCGTTGCTGTGGATAAAGTTCTTGAATAAAATAATATTACGACTATAAATTGAAATGTAAGCTATTCTATCTTTCAAGTTGGATCAAATTGTATACAATGTGCAAATCAAATTTGCAATCGGTTCAGTAGTTTAGGAGTCCATAGCGGACCAACAACGTGACAGGTAATTTTTATATATAAAGAAATATATCTATTCAAAAATAACGACTATAATACGAATGTAACAATACATATATAACACAAAAATTCTAACAAAATTGTTTTTACAAATTTTGTCTGTTAGTTTGTACGGTTTTGATCTCAGGATCGGGCGATTTGTTTTCACTAATGTAAGTATTATGTGGTAAGCTTCAGAATCATATAATTTTATACGTTTTGTACCAGTCAGTTAACAAAGAAAAAAGTTATACAGGTACAAAGTTAGAGTTACACAGTTTATAAAAAAATTACTTACCTGTTGCTGTTCACTAGACAGGCCGAAAACATGTTCATCTATCGGGTAGTGTGATATACAGCGTGTACCGGTTTTGCTGCTTCTGTATAGTAAGTTTCTTACGCATGCTAGCACCATAATGTCAATATAAACGACTTCTCGACTCAGTAACTAGCAATATACTGAATGATTGCATTAACAATGATAACTTATCCTATTGACATTGTAGTTTAGTGCTTTATGTCCTATGGAATTAAGTTTAAAATGAAATACAATACATTTTCTTCAACACACGACATGACGTATGCATTATGATAATTATTACTATTCGTGATAAGGCGAAAGTTTATCACGTTTGTTGATACATTTATATTTAGTTTATTTTTCATTGATTATACCTTAAGTTAAATATGATATTTTAATTCAAGCTGTGTAAATTTTATAAGGACAGATAATTTTTCGTGGAATCAGAAAGTATTTTATAATGTGATCAGAAATATTATTCATACTAATAAAGTCTGAGGTTTATTATAAATTCTTCCTGTCTAACTCTTAAGTTCTCACACCAAATATAAGTAGAAGGTATAATATATGATTATACTGCATAGCAATATAACACCAACACTAGGTACAGGTGATCAAAATCATTACGATCCGAGCTGAGGTTCAAATCCCTAACGGTGCCTTAAACTGAAATCGTATCACGCAGGAGTTTTATTTATTTTCACAACAATTGCGTATTCATAGTTGTTACACATCTTGTAACTCTCGTGATGTACACAGACTAGGTACACACAAACAATTCCGTCAATTTCTTCTACTTGATTAAGAGTGGCAGTGCGAGCAGCGATGCTTTGTTTAGGTAACAAGTTAAGTCTTCCGCAAGGTACCGTTAGCAGCTTGAGCCTTGTTGCTGCCCCAAATAATTATCTGGTACCCTAAAACCCATTAAACCCAGCATAACAGAATTGCTCATTTTACCTCGAAACACTATAAGGTAGGTATGAGAGAAGAGTCATTTCCATGCGTACTCGTAGTGTATTTTATTCCACCATGACCACACGAACAGGGTGGGTAAATCGAAGGATAAAAAGGATCTACTCCCATATACAGAGTTAATTTTTAGCCAATCCATATGTCCTTTCGCAAATTTTAGTGCCTTTTTAAAGCCCAGCTACGACCAACAGCATTACAATAATTTCAAATCAAAACTACTACAAATAAGAAAAAAATAATTGTACCATCACTGTAACTAATATCGGTTATAATATACGCAAGATTGACAGTTGCTTTTATTTGGTTTTGTTGTCGCGATCATACTATTCTCTCGGTATACCTTACTGATATGTTAGGTTAAATCTTTTAATATACACAATGGATTGTAATGCAGTTTTTAACAATGAAATAATGCTTCAAGACGATAATTTATATGTATAATAGGCACACATAGATATATAGGTACATATGTATAATGGGATAGGAAGCTAGTATATTATATGTATATACCAAAGATACTAAAGATGTAATCTAAATATACCAAAGATGCCAACATAGAACACTTTACGAGACATAAATATGAGCCTGAGAGTAATAAATATTTATGTTTTTTATTCAAGGAAGGTGTCATTTATAATTTCATTATCAATATAAAATGAAAAATACAGTTTGTACATATCATATTTAATTGTATATCAAATAAAACTATCAGCTTTAAAAGCACCATATTACACTAATTACAACAATTTAATGTTAAACCTCTTAAAAATTAACCATATAATAATAAAAATATTAACTTTTTATAAGGAATCAAAGTAATTATTCAATTTAAACATACTTTTCAAGCAATTAACATAAATCTTAATAATTATAATCTATCTGCAATCCGCACTGCGAATTTTTCCTTGTCTAACATGGAATTTCCATGTCTAATATTATTATAAGAAAATTGCGCAAAAATAATCCATACTAAATTTAAGAATAGTGTTTATATGTCTGTTTGTTAACCTTTTATGGCTATATTATACTAATATTACGAATGTCAAAGTTTGTCTGTATTGTAATGTAATAAGTCGAGGCTACATCACATCATAACAATAAATATATGCCCATTTAAACGGTGGATTTAATTGCAACTTGGCAATTCTTACTTACATACTTCTTACAAGATATGTTAGTTTTCTGTCACATGTAAATCTAACTGCCCAAGTACGAAACGTATTCTAGTAGCTCTTGAAAATTTTCAGAAATACAATGCAGTGTATTTTTGTATTTTTTCAAGGAATATTTAAATGTATCGTACTTAACATTATATAAATTACAGTCCATTCCGTACATAAATTTCGTGCTTCGGAATTACATGATAGCAAACTATTATAAAAAAAAATGGAATGTGTAAAACATAAATACACATTTTTCCTTTTGAGGAATATAAAAAAATATATATAAAAATAAACATGAAAGTCAAAAGTATAAATATTATGTCAAACATGTATCTAAAGAATACTCCATAAAATATTGCACAATGCTAAGCAAGGAGACAAGCAATTTAAGTACTTACAGATGTATTTTGTTATAGAATACAATAAAACTATAAATTAATCATGATAAGGGACAAAATTCATTTAAAGTTATTATGCATAGGTCAAACCTAAGTCATAGTTATATAAAGATTTTTTAAAATATAAGGATAAAGTAACAGTCATAATTTAATTTGTGTCCATTTTAGATTTCAACGATTGGTAATATTCAGACAGGATCTTCCATGCAGTCGGTGCCATAAAACCTTTAGGAGGTTCCTTGCCGGATTTAGCAAGACCTGTAAAAAATAAATTATGTATACAAATATAATTAAAAAATCTTTCATCTATTTTACAGCAAGTTACATTGATACTACACACAACTGATACAGAATATTTAGGAACAATTCTAAAGCTGAAGTGCAATCCAATTAAATTAAATTAATTAAGCCTTAGATACTAAGATAGTACTAAGATGCGAACGTACATGTTATTATGTGATATTTAATAAAATATTAACGTCCTTTATGAGCCTGTTTAATACACGCTATATTTATTAATTACGAAATTAAATTTAAAGTTTTTGGTTGAATGCACCCGTATAAGGTAGTGAAATTACACAATAAAAGGAATAAGAATCTTATTCCTTCGTAGTGACTACGCATGACTAGTGTCAGGGACGTCGTAAGACAAGGTAATGTTCGTAATGCTGTTCATATATACAGGCGACGGTTATCATTTAACATCAGGTGCGCCTTCAGCATTAGGTTGCTATTCCAATTACAGAAAAAATAACTTAAAAATTATGTCATGTTAAAAGTATTATTAACTTGAGTTTGTTTCAATACATTGTATAAAAATATTTTTTAATTAAATTAAATGCTTTAGATGTCTCCTAGTATTAAAGCATTCCATAGTCCATTGTTTCTGCATGCCTACCTCACAATACTCAGGCGCGACGTATGTATGAAGTAATAATAATTTTAGAAATAGTATATACAATGCGAATTCATACAAATAAATAAGAATATAGCAAATAAATTATAGTATTACCTCTCATCCTAGTTCCAGAAATAAAGTCAAAGTCTTCCTTGCGCGTTGGATCAAAGAACGCCATCTTGCCAACTGAAGTGTCGTAAGCGGCTACGCGGAATGGAATTATCTAGAAAGTTTGTTATACATTTATTATTTTCGTAATAACCTAAGAATAATGATTTTGTACGCTAAATCCTCAAATTAAGAGGCATAGAATGAAACGTTTAAACAAAGTCGTCTATTATTTTATTTATAAATCAATTACCAATATTAAATGGCGTATTTAAAAATGAAGAAAAAAAAATACAAATTTTCCTTTTAATTTCAAAACAACCATCAGCATTTACTGACCTCGAGGTCAATAAGTCCGGGAGCACCCTTGAGAAGCATGGCGCCATGTCGGGGGTCGTAGAGATCGCCGCCGCCGTCGGGGTGCGGAAGTCCGGCCGGGTCCCGCCCCACTATGTAATGATTCGCGCCAGCATTCATTCGGCATTTTGCGTGCCATTGTACCTACAAATACAAAAATCCATGTAGAGTCGAAGTCTTCCATAATGACGACATAACGGCCTCGGTGATCTAGCTGTTTAATTTGCCTTACTTCCTATTGCCGCAGGTTCGATTCAAACACGGTACAAACATCATGAGTATGAGAATCATATTAATGAATACAAATGTTTGTTAAAAAAATATACCTATTATTTATATCTGTTGTCTAGTACCCATAACATAAACTCTCCTTAGCTTGGAAATTGATGGCGCTGTGTAAAGAGTCCTGAAATATTGTATATTATATATATACTTTTAGGACTATCACACTAGATAGATTAGTCAGAGGCATTCTCAACTGTTTATGTCAACGTAACATAGATCATGTCCACATTTTGTTTAGGTATATTTCAATCCAAAGAGGAAGAGTTGAGACAGAATCAAAATCACAACCTTTTGCTCCAAGTCTGCATTATTTGTCATAATTTTGATATATTGAAGGCCATTTCGATATATTTTGGGTAAAAAAAAATGCGATACTCCTTTTAGAATTTGGTAATAGATATTATAGATATGTAAAGATTTACCTCAGTGGGTCCGGCGTACATCATAGGCGATGGGAATATTGCGAGTATGGTGGCATTTGGATCAAGTACACCTTCACTCAACACCGCCAGATGTTGGTTTATCCTCACTTCAAGAGGCACGTCGTCGTCCTTTGTCCAACCGCCTAAAATTCCATGCAATTAATAAAAATAATAATCGAAAGAAAGTACAGAAAATTATTGTAGTATATATTATCTAATTTATCTATTACTTTTGTAGTTGACGTTTATAATGTATTCTGTACCTAGATTTTACAGAAATGGAGTCTGTATTGTGTAATGAAGGGAACAGCCAAAATAAATGTGAATTTGCTTTTTATTTAAATTACTATTAAAATATAGTAAAACTATAATTAATATTAATATATAAACATATAATAATTTATAATAAGTATTAATTTATTTGTCCTCACAAACATAGACGGCAATTATACAACACGAAGTGACAAGATTTATTGTTACCCATCAGTTTTAGAGAACATTAAAGAATACATTAAGACGTCCGTGTCATGAATGGCAAATTCATGAGGGCTGCAATAGTTTGCCTATGTTGATACTAATTTCTCTTCCATTCTCATTCCGTTCTTTGAACCAAAATATGCAAGCACACCTGTTGGTTTATTTTTAAATTGTTTTACGTAACTAGAAGGTATACAAGCAAGATCATAAAAGTACATACTGATTTTTTATATAAAAAGTATACAAACCCAATGGATGCAATAATAGGACAGGTTTCTTATAGCCCCTCTCTATCAATTGTCGTTGAGTATCCTGCATCAACAAGGCGTGGCCGTTATGAATCGGGTTTCGTAACTGAAAAGTAATAAAAAATGTAATTATTTTATCTGTAAAATTATAAGTTTAGACAAAATTATTGATAACCAATAATGAATAAGAGAGTAATTTCAATCTATACGAATATTATAAAAAAGTAAAGATTGTGACTTTTGAATGTTTGTGATAATCACCGGTGCTGACCGATTTTAATTTTTTTTATTGTTGGATAGCCTATTTATCGAGGAAGGCTACAGATTATATAACATCCCACTACCAGCAAGATGGTGCTGTGTAAATTATTCACATTATTATTATTATTCATAAACTATCGATACGTTGTTTCCTTACCTGGAAAGCAAATACAGCATCAGCTTGTAACTCCCTAAACTTCCTGCGGAGCTCATTGGGTGTAAGTCGATACGCGTCGAGGCCGTCATTCCAACGGATACGTTCAAATACTTCTAAAGTGCCACCGACAAGCCAATCACCAGATTCTGAGATCATCTGTAGAAGAAATGAACAGAGAACTGAATTATACATTTAATTATGGTAAACAACATCCATATAATAAATTCAACAAATACATAATAAGCTAACTTAACTAGCTTAACTAGGTTCTCGCCCCAGCTTCGCACGGGTGTACATGTGTTATATATATAAACCTTCCTCTTGAATCACTATTAAAAAACCGCTTCAAAAACCGTTGCGTACATAGGGACGGACAGACAGCGACAGCGACTTTATTGCATACTATGTAATATATCCACACTAATATAATACATGCGAAATTGTGTCTGGTTATCTGTCTGTTTCCTTTTCACGACAAAGCGGTTGAACCGCTTTTAATGAAATTTGATATGAAGATATAAGGTATTACGAGGATAAACATAGATTATCTTTGATAAAAAAAAATAATCTAGAAAGGGACGAAAGTTTGTTTGAAGTAGCGAGTAAAATCGTAAATATAATAAGTAGTATAATATAGTACACAATTTAAAACTACAGAAGTCAAACGTTCCAATTACGTTATTACTCTAGTGTATCACAAGATCACTCATTAAAAATCCATTCTGCGGCTGCAACATTCTAGATAATAGAAATAACCACTTTTGAATAGTCATATCTTTTTATTCTACCAATCATTCGGAATGCAGGTTCATAACAAGAATGAGCATAAATATGTGTGCACTGTTTGAATACAAACTGCCAAATAACAAAATTGACATAAATAAATAAATAGTTACTTAAGTAACAAAATAAATCAGTCAGAGTATCAGAGCAGACGAGTCGCTTCAAGCAGCAACCGTTCACAAGCCATCACTATGCTGAAATATATTAAAAAAATATATATAATACCTTGATATAGGGGTGTCCTGTGTGATATATCCCGAACTGACGGCAGCACCTCTCCTGCTTCCTGTGCGGGTAGAACTCCGGCGAACGCAGTATGGCCACCGAGCGACCGGCGTGGCGAAGTGTGATCGCCGTAGCTCCAGCCAGCCGATCTTTTGTTGCCGTATCCACTGGTAACACCACTGGCACTGACTGGTTGACGCTTGACCCGTCGGCAAGGGTCAGGCAGTTCGAGTGGAGTGCCTGTGTATTACCACATAGTTATTTTTGTTGTTTTTAATGGCCATATGCGTGAACAGGGTTTCCTCATAAGTATAGGTTTATATGTATTCCGGCACAGACTTGTTGACGCTTGACCCGTGGGCAAAGGTTTTATTTTATTAGATTCGACATTAAAAAATGCATACAACCCTTTCACTTGTCTACCATCAATCTCTATTTTTTTATAGTGATATTAATTTATAAAGTAAAACAACGTTTGCCGGGTCTACTAATTACTTATAAACAATGATTATCTTACCTGAAGATACTCATGTTCCCTCATAAATCCTTTTAGTGGATAAGCCCATCCTTCCGAAAGAACCTGTAAAGTAAAATAACAAATCGTTAGACCATCACGACAAATAGAATCACGATATTGCAAAACATCGAGTGCTTTTGTAAAGTTTGTTTCATTTGGATCTATTATACTGTGGCAAATATAGCGAGAATAAAATATTCTTTATATATAAAAATTACGTGTCATGTTGTTTATCCGCGATGGACTCCTAAACTACTGAACCGATTGCAAATTTGATTTGCATATTGTGTGCAATTTGATCTAACTAGAAAGATATCTATATAACCTACATCTCAATTTATAGTCGCAATATTATTTTATTTAAGAACCTTAGCGGCTGCAATGCGTGGCCACACATTGCAGTCGCTAAGTAAGTAGTACTCTGCTAGTAATATATATTTCAAACTAGCTTTTTTAAGTTTGTGTATACATTTAAAGTAAATATCATTTCCTTTTGAGTTTAATAGCAAGGTTAATGTTCTATGAAGTTAACAGTCCACTACAATCGTTAATATGAATTGATGACAAATATTATTATTTACTATAGGATTAAAATTTACAATAACATAGTGTAATCGCAAATAAGTGATATTGGTTTTTAAATAGGGATTATTGATAATCGTATTGATATAATAAGTACTCGAGTACGCAAGTGTGGGAAATTTATTATAATAAAAACAAATTTCGTGGCAGTTGCCAACCGGTAATACACATACATAAATATACCGACTGTACCCGCGACTTCGTCCGCGTGGAATTTATATGAATTTTTCTAAAATAAAAGTAGCCTAAGTCACTCCTTATTATATAAGCTACCTACCAAAAAGTTCCGTCAAAATCGGTCCAGCCATTTCAGAGATTAGCCGGAACAAATAGATAAACAGACGGACAGACAAAATTTGTAAAAAAAATTTTTTTGGTGTATGTACCCTATTTATATTCATATGCATGTAGTAAAAAACGATTATTTCAATATTACAAACAGACACTCTAACTTTATTTATATGTATAGATGTATAGATAATACACGTAAAAAGAGAGAGAGTGTGACGGTCTAGTAGGTACTAACATAGTCATAAAAAATTTTGATTTATTTTATCATAAGAATTAAGATCACATTTGATATAATAACAAGAGTCCCAAATTGCTAATTTTGATAAAAAAATCTGGCATACTGTAAACCAACATTTTCCACGCAGAAATTGATTAATTGACAATAATAAAAAATATCACTAATCCGCGGGAGCTTTATTTCGCACTAATTACATTCATATGTTGATTAAAATAATTTGATATTAAAATATAATACTACAGAGAGAAACGTAATTAATACAGATAAATAAATGCAATATTATTATTTCGCTGGAAATAATAGTTTATTAGTCATTGAATGACGGTTCATTACAGTGGTGAATGTTTGCTAACAGTCTTACTTAGCAAAACCATAGATATATAATCAATTTAAAAAGGAAGGATATTCTCTGTTTAACTGTTTTTGTGTTACATATATAATATAACATTCTTGCTAAGTCTGACTATCATAACTTGACTTCTAACAAGTATTATTTCTAGTTATTTTATTATTGTCTTCAATCATATTTGTAAGAGTAATCGCAGAAGACAGTGAAACATATTATTTATTATAAAACCTTCGTTACTTCACAAATAAAGATTTTGAATTATTATTAGTTATCCTTTACACTACTGTTGCCCACTACTTCCTATAAACTAGTAAATATATATTTACAAGTACATTGCACACTTCAGCTCTAGTTACAATTATTATTACATTTAGAAATATTTGTGCGCTTTAGAATCTACAGGTCTTGGTATGTATTCTTAAAATTGAATGAAATTGATATGGCATTTTTGATTACTATAACACACCTTCAATGAAAATTCCGCAGCCCTAGCAGAAGGGTTTTAGAGGCACCTGGCAATAGCCCAAACAACCCAATAAAAAAATCTAGAGATATGATAACGACTTAATATGAGTAAAGATAACACACCTGAACCCATTGCAAATCTAGATCTGTGATGTTGATTTGAGGCAAGCTCTCCGCCTCATCTTGAGCGCTTGACAGCCTGTTGCCGTATATGAACAGTTCCTCCACCTCTATTGTTTTGTCGTCACAACGGGGAATTATTTCCTGCAATTGTATGAGAATAATTATAATATTGTACAATTTACACAGCGTGATCTAGCCCCATGCTAAGCAGACCTTGTGTTGTGGGTACTAGAGAACTGATATAACTACATTTTTTATAAATATATACATAGAAAATACCTACACTAATAGTAACAATCATACTCATGAATAGAAATATTTGCACCGTGCGATGAATCGAACCCATGACCATCGGAAGTAAGGCTGTGTGCTAAACCGGTAGACTACCGAAGCCATCAATAATATTATGAAACTGACGCTACCATTATAAATCGTACAGAATATACAAAAGATCTACTATTCTTCTTTTGTATAATAAATGTACCGTATGATCGTGCGATAATAAGACAAAAATTATAAAAAAAATATATACTCAGGCCTTATTGCCGCTATGATTTGATTGTCTATGACAAAAATGTTATCAAAAATGGATATACATTTATTTATTTTATTTATATAAATATAATGCACGTAATACAGAGATGAAAGTACATATGGCGGAGTTAATACCATGTGCTATTTTCTACCAATCAACCGTGAATATGCCGTAATTACGTACTAAAACTAATAGTAATTTTCTGTGACCTGTGATTCCAACAGTTTAATAACTTCCATGGTGGATTCTTCGATCGTGCGGCCCACTGTCTGCACCACCAGCTCAGGTGACATGGGGCGTTCATATTCTTGGGTGATGCCTGTGAAACCCTGCAATATACCATGCATAATGATACAAAACAGTCGTTTAAATAAAATTCATTTAAGATTTAGATATATTAATATTACTAACATAGTTTAATATTTTATTTACAGTATATCTTTGAATTTCTAGGCGTTTTTAAACTATAACATGCATATATAGTATAAAAAAATTAACCTTACTTTTGAATCATTCTATCTGTTCCTGAAAACTGCATTAAAATCTGTTACGTAATTTAAAAGATATACCTAAGCGAACAGACAACAGCAGCGACTACATTATAAACTATGTAAAAATAGTCCTCAATGATAAAATTTATCTTCATGACCATTTTCATTAAGATTCAATCAGCTGTTTAGTCATTAAAAGGTAAAAAACAGGTAGAGACACTATTATATTTATAATATTAATTCATGGATTTGCATCATTCAGTTCTCTGCCTACACACCACGTACCCGGCGTGCCAGCAATCGTAGATACAATAAATACAATTGCGAAAGTCTACGAGATAAAGTAATTAAAATCTGAGATATGCATATTTAAATCATAAACAAAAATAAAGTTGATTCATAATAAAAAAAACAGTACAGTTACAAACAACAAAACCTGCCTGAGGTTTTTATCTATACCGGAACACCGAGTCGAATTGCTAATTGTAACAGTCAAATCAATGTTTTAGCCTTTTTGTGACCCGGAAATATTCAATATGTTAACAGTATGAAAATAATGCAATTAATTTTTCAATTGCCCTTGGGTTATATTGATAAAATTGTAATACATTTCCTTGGGCAGTGTGAGAACAGCCGGCAGTTCAATTAACAACTCAAGGTTTTAAAACAAAACACAAAAGTGGCATTTCTAAAGATAATCAATATTCCATCTATTTTGTTTCCCCGTTGGAAACTTCCAAAAAGAGTAATCCAGTCAATTCTACTTTTTTTTTGTAATCACTGTATTGATAAATAAAACATATAATCCAACATTTATATATTCACTAATTTTTGTATTGGAATTGTCCAACAAGGTGATGACCTGATAAGTAGTAAATAGCGACAGTCTAGTATATATAGGTACATTAATAGCATCACGGTCATGAAGTCTTTAAGTGATATCACTATCGCGTTGCCACTCTGGAGGACTAAGATATTATGTCTCCAAATCCTGTATTTTCTGCCCTTTCTTATTCTCCAATAGACCACAGCTCAAAACGCGAAAAGTTAGATTCATGACATCTTAATCGGCCGAAATAGCAACACATAAAGGGTATTACAGACTACACATGACGTAATTTCCGAAAAAGGATGTATACGGTATATGTATATGTACGGCTGTAGTCAGTCCCTTTCCATCTTGTGGCCCATCAGCATTTTTCTAGTTCACTTACATTAAAGAGTATTTTAGTCTATCAGCAACTAAAATAATCATTGTTACCTTAATTTGGCCATCTCTAGCTTTCTTGTAGAGTCCTTTAGTATCCCTTTGTTCGCAGACCTCCAAGGGTGTGTCGATGAAAACCTCAAAGAATGGCAGATCTGAATCGATGTGGATACGACGCGCTACTTCTCGGTCCTGTAACAATGAAACATCTATAACTTAGAGATATATATGATAACGATGTTACCAACAAAAGCAGTAGGCTACATCCAGGTGTATTTTTAAACACGATTGAATTGGTATGAAACTAATAAATTACCTTTTTAACATAATTGGAATGGTAAAAAGCCGGCGGACCATCTAATGGTAAAGATATGAAAGTAAGCGGCAATCATCGTATATATACATACATTATACATGACTGGACCTATTATTACTTTATCATGTGGCAATCGTGATACCAGACAGGGGACTAAGATGTCTCTTGTCTTGCAATTTAGTGGAATTCAAAAACAAGAGGCATGACAAATCATACTGTTTGAGGACTGAAATAAGTGAAACTGAAGTACCCATACAGATGACTTTTTACAGTACACCTCTGATAAAAACTTGTGAACTAAACCATTGCATATCCTTCAAACAGGCAAACCATAGCCAAACCAACAAGATATAATATATTATTATGAATCACAATGTCATATGAAACATCTGTTCTATAATATACATATATACCGTTATCAATAACTTTTCTAATTAAACTTATAAATAAACTGTCCTTTGTACGTTGTATAAAAGGTTTATTGCATAAAAAGATTGTAATGTTTGGATGAATGTTACTTTATGGTACGACGGACTCAAATGAAATTCTGGATACAAATAAATCTATTCGTGTTACTAATTACATTATTTATTACGTTTTGTTGATGATACAATATATTATATCGATTAGATATATTTGTCAATTCTAATTACTTTTTAAAACCAAGTATTGAAGCCCCAATGTGTATGAAACAAAATTTTAACGTATCAAAGTTAATTATTACACCACTTATGACAATTACGAATGTAATTATTATACATTGTTATAATTGCCACAAGTTAATAACCTCAGATATGAACTGATAACTCTACTGTACAGCCGCTTGCTTTAACCTCTAAACACATTTGTTTAGTGATGTTCCTATATAAATCAATACGAGTAAGGAAGAACTTGATACTTCTGTTTCGATACCAAATAATTTCGAAAATACTAGAGTCGAATTGAAAGTACTTGTATGAAATACGTAATAGATATACTTAACTACCTAAAAAGCCAAATAGGTAATTTGAAATGCGAAATGATAACAAGAAAAAGAGACTTATATCTTAAAAAAGTCACGACGCTATATAGTTGGCAAGTAAAGCAACACCCCTACATTTGTTACTTGTTACTATTAAAGAAATGGATTCCTCTACACATTCATAAGCTTATTATTACAAGTTTCCCAGTTACATATAGCAACATTTTATTTATTTTTGCGATACGTCGTCATTACGTGTTACACGGTTAAAAAAGTAGTAGAACTGAGTTCCTCGAGTTTTTTTATAAATTCTCATTTAAACTGATATAACAGTATAATCGTTTGACTCTGTGCATATAATAGAGACTTGCAAATAAAACCACACAAATAAAACCACAGTCTTCAACGTAACCTTATAGGTCATTTAGTCGAGGGCCTTGGTAAGTTGTGTTACCTTAACGATGTTAATTTTCTTAATTCTGCCTTCATTAATATATGTTGCTATGCTATTGCGTATCTTCCCTCAGAACAAGTAAATCGATTAAAACTTAGACTTAATTATGAATGAATAGTAGATGACTACAATATCAATAAGAATAATTATGTAAATTTACCACTATATTCAGTCAAACCTTTACTGTTTCAAATACCGTTTTAAAAATTACTGAAATGGAATTAAATGACAAAAGTAATATGTATCTAAGAACTAAAATTTAAAAACAAAATATTATAAAGTGAGAAAATAATCTAGTTGTAGCTTTTAACATTTAGTAGAAGTTTTCTTCTGCCTTGATACCAAAATTATGTTCATTTTGAGATTAAAAAAATTATAACTTTCAACATCTGCATACGGACTGTAGGTGTACGCAAACATGTTAAAATTTAATTCAGTTGTCATTTTAGAAAATAGTTATTTCAGAATAATACAAAATAGAATCAGATATAAAATTTGTAAATTGCATCCTAGAGATTTTTTTTCAAGACGACGAAATAACCACAGCATATAAATATCTGTATTTCTTTATCTAAAATTAATAAAGGACCTAATAAAATAACCTGAGGGAAATCCGGGCAGTGGCTGATTAAGCAACAACATAAGCCTGTACCAAATTCTTTCAATTTGCCTTTGGTTTTTTGTTATTATTTCTTCGTTGTACAATGTTCAGACAGTTGGGAGACCGCGTGAAAACCTTATTACGTGAGGCCGTAGTATTGTAGCCTACATATGCGGTCTTTAAGACTATAGAGAAATAAAAAAACTACCTCAGCAAAAGGCGACACAAAACTGCAAAGGCACACAACGCCGCTATCAGCGAAGAGCTTCGCTACTTCAGCGACTCGCCTGATGTTTTCCTCGCGATCCTCTTTTGTGAATCCAAGGTTCTTGTTGAGGCCTGTTCTAATGTTATCACCATCCAATCCGTATGCTGGTATACCTGATAACATAATAAACGACAAAATTGTTATTATTATGCCGTTAAAATATACATATTTAAGTTTACTTAAATGACAAATGTTCATGGCAATAGTTCTTCATCCTCATGCACGGGCTTTTCATTTTATGTTAGACTTAGACAACGATATAAGTGTAAAATTTAAATAAACTGGCTTTAAAGAAATACAGTTGAGTTTTTTGCCAGTTATTGTCAAATGAATATATACTGAACTGGACGGTAGGGAAAAATATATATATAAAAACTTGACGTTCATAAACTGTTAAAATGTCCTAGTGTCCTTATTTACAATATAGTCAAAATAAATTAATAATTTTTTTTTGAATTGATTTGATGTCTTTATAGACATTTTTATTTTATCAATATCATTCGATGAATGATGAATACATTATAAAAGACCGTATTTTTAAAAAAGGAACTACCCCTACAATGGATAGGAAAGTTTACAGTAATATATACAGATAAAAAGTTTCTTTATCTAGAATAGCAAACAAGCCAATGCGTACCTGATGAAAAGTAGTATGGACCCTACCACGGACATGAGAAAGAACAATGTGACCTTATAAGCCATTCGTAAGGACTAAGTTTAATGTTTCCGTATTCATGTTATAAACATAAAGAAATTAAACATTGATCTTCTATCTCTACATAATGACAAAATAGATAAAGTATACAAGCAAATACAGATAAATTAAAATAAACACTAGTAATTATACTAAACTACTGACACTAATATCTTTTCTATTTAAGTGATATTAAATTACACGCATTTGAGATAAAATTTAGGTCACACATGTTATTATCGTACACTGTTTTTTTATTATTTGGTTGCAGTTCGTAACCAAGTAATGCAATCATAGTTATCACCAATAGGAAGTATAATATAAAAAAAATATATGCAATCACATATGTATACACTTCTTATAATAATAATTATACCTTCAAGACCTTATTCTAAAAAGTGTAGTCAAAGATATAACTGTCGACGTCAAGGTGCACATAACATGTCCAAACTAATTGCCTTATTTTCATCACTGGCGAGTCACTTAGAAATTCAAACTATCGTTAGTTTCTGAGTTCGTACTCGGGATCTAAGTTATGATAACAGTGAATGCTGTCATAAAGTTATTATAAAAAAAACATATGTTAATTGCATCTATCTAACAATAGATACATCATAATCAGGAAGTGTGACATGCAATCTTAGATTATATAGATATACAAAACGTTCGTTACTATTCGGAATTGAACTAACGAAGATAAGGTAAAACATATAGCTAAGAAGTTATTATTTAAAAACAGTCTAATGACATTATTTTGTTTAGTCTTCAGTAAAGCAAACTAGTTTTGATGTAATAAAATACTTTTTTTAATAAATAGGTATAGAATCAACAGTAAAAAAAATGTATAAACCATAACAATTAAAGAAAAATCATAAGTATCGGTTCAGAGTTGATTTAAATATCTCGTAACATGTACACAATAAATACAGTCGAATGAGAACAGTCTTGCTGGAGTTAGTAGAAAATCAAAAACGATATTATTATGGCATCAGAGAATAAAGTGTGAGTTGTGAACGTCAATAAAAAAATAGTCATATATACAAACATATGACCAAATCAAATAATATGACAACTCCAAAGATATTAATATTGTCGCAGATATTATTCTTCATAACGTGTTTCTACGGCACGGTTTCAAATTTAAAATGAGCAATAGCTGAAACTGTTTCACTATAAATAACCGTCTGTGATGTGACTAGATAATAAAAAGGTAAATTATCAGAAAATCATTAAAATAGCGATACTATTTTCTGTTATACGACATCCAAATATCACAAGCACCTGGCTAGTTTTTGCGATAAACATATAAGCAAAAGACAGGCTCCATATATTAAAGTCACTGATAAAATCATTTATTTACCGGGTAAACTTTGTACCAACTCGTCTGTACAATTATAAGATATAGAAGCATGTTATGTTAGTCCCCATGTATGAGGGGTATCACTTGGTACTCGGTTGCTATTTTTCATTAGGTATGCCAGTCCGCTTGTTTGCTATTTCAACAAATTAAATCACAATAATAGGTACATACCTTTAGATACCAGATAGGCCTCAAGAGCGAAGGCGATGCTGGTCTTTCCAGCGCCACTGAGTCCTGTAAACCATACGGTACTGCCTCTAAATTCTCGGCTGCCTAGCGCTTTACTCCTTTTAGCTCTGGACACCTGGTGTTTCTGTTCCACCACATTCGTAGCTACTTGAGCACACTGCAACAAATAGAAGAGTTGCGTTATTATTATGTTGTAGTAAGTACAAGAAATGGTTTAGTACACCGTAAGTACAATGGTTTAGTAAATTATTATGCATCACACCAATATCAATCAATATTGACCCCCTCTCCGCGACCATGTCACAGTTGGTAACAATTGTTGTTGTTTTAGTTGTATGTTGTATGGTACTCACATTTCTATAAACCATTAAAAGTAGGAGAAAGCTAAGAACCTACGAAATATAAAGAGATTGTCACTTTCGTAACAAAAAAACAGTTCAAGTTTATTCATATATACAAACATATATCATGCAAATACATATATGCAAATAAATATCTTAACTGTCACATTGCAAATTTGGTTTAGTTTTAGTTAAATAGGAAACCCATGTTCGGTCTAAATACCTGTAACTGAAATAACCATATTGTGAATAAAGTGCATTTAAATTTTAAATATACTTTAGGTGTGAATGGAATTCATGATTTTTACAGGACCTTTGCGACTCCTCCAACCCAGTACAATGTCACACTTTGTTTATACGGCGTAACTTATGAATGCCCCTTTATGACTATTCCATCTGGGATAACAGTCGTAAACGCATATGTATAGTATAGCTTATACAATACAAAGTACAGTACGTGCGTAGTCTGAAGTAATATTATAATAGAATTGTTATAATTATGAGTTTCATACAGGACATTTTACTAAAACGTCCTGTATGAAAAAAATATTAGCGAATTTTAATTTGTAATGGATATAATAGTAACACAGTGTAATTTATTTAAAAAAAATCCTATAATAATAGCTTCTATGCTAAATCTGGTGCAGGTTGCTAGATAAATAAATAGTACCTGTAAATATCTATGTAAGTTGTATATATTTAATTCTAATATTTGAAATACAACTAATAACTTTTCTAATATTGACAGTAGCTGGGAATATGGAAAATTTTAAAGCTACATAAATAACAATGAATAAACCATAACGGCCTGATAGTTGAACCTTCTCAATTTCAAGGCTTGTGAACGCACAAGATCCTGTCATAATAATTAGCCTTGAACGTAAATAGAATACAGCTACAACTAATAACTTCATATTATTGGCGTCCATAAAATTGCAGAAATATCTTCCTAGTTAGGTATATATTTTTTAGCACTTTATATAAAAACTTCCTTCAAACGTTTCTATATTAAAAAAAAGTTTAAAGTCTACGGTAATATATCTAAAGCCATTCAATATGAAGGTCATAGAGATAATATACCATCACGCAAACGTAAATATCATGTATCACTGCAAGATCATATTATTATGTATGTATATGTATAAACAATAGGTATAATCTTTATAATTATTTTTTATATGGGTGAAAATTGTATTACCCGTATAAACAGCAGAATTATGAATATTCTATCGGTTTATTTTCATAAGAATTTAAAAACGAAGTATTTTTTATTTGGCTTAAAATGTCTGAAAAATTATTCTTCTCGTGTATTCCCATGTAAATTTGATTATGATCTCACTAGTAGTATTTGAGTCATCTATACAAATCATTTCTTTTTTATTCTTGCATATCTCTGAAACGGCAGGACACGATAAACGAAAAAAGAATAATAGAGTTACATCAGCATTACTGTAACAATTAAAACAAAAAAAAATCGAACATCCTGTCCACATGTATGTCAATACTATGGAAATGCAATAGATTGTTACATGTTATGCTATAGTACCTATGCCCGGAGTATCATCTATGTGAAATTTGTAGCCTAAATTTTATTCTGATGTATAAAGCTATATTACTGTAAAATTACAAAAGCTTTCTTAGACTTTTTTTTCAACTAATTAGTCAGAAACTGACAATATATGCAGAGTACCTAACTTTAGTACCTAAGTCATTTGTACAATACCTTGGTTTTTCGATGCACAGAACACAGACGGAATGATCATTCTTGGGTACTTAGAAATGGTAACTATAATATGTAAGCTCCAAAACTTGAGAAACTATAGTAATAAAAACACTTCTATTTTAAGCAGATTTCGTAATAGCGTCTATTATAAAATCCGCACAAAAGTCTATCACGTAAAAGGAAAATCCCTACTGATAAATATAATATCTTTATATATGATAATGAAATTAAACATATACAACCATTCGTAAACGATTTGATAAACATTATGCACTTTAAATACGCAAAGGCACAAATGTTATAGAAGTTACGGAGCCAGTTATTTTACGTAAACAAGCTACTTTCACCGCATACTATTCGATATAGCTATAATTATTCTACCTATTCGATATACGACCGATGTATCGATACACTTAGAACACGCAAGTACATCAATGTATTAAACTTATTTCGAATCAATGTCAGCAGATGTAGTGGTATGATCTAAACCGAAAACCAAAGACGAATTTCCCCTCTATTTCAATTTGGAGCGAAACTCATTCACTTATTAATTAGTCATCTTGGATACACTGATGGGTTACATCTTGTATGAATAATGTTACAAACTTGCATACAGATATGTAGGTACATAATATTTACATTTTTTATGTCTATACAACGTTTTTTTCATTCGCCACGATGGGATAGTGTGTATGTCGTCGGCGCAGGCGGTTGCACCACTAAATATTCATTCATAGCGTACCTTTCAATAGCATGCGAAACTGCTAAGAAGACAGCTGCGATGTACAAACAAACACTGAAGTGAACCATCCGGTTTTTTTTATTGACGGAAAAATAAAATTATCTAATAATATTATGACTCACACTAATATCCAAGTGCCTGTAGACATTTTATTTCTCCTATTTTATCAGTGATTAAGATAAAAATGGTTGTCCGCTTAGATACGACTTTCAGATGTCCGTAGTCCACAGGATATTGTAAAATAGTAAGGTATTAAGTGAAGATAAAATCATGATATGTTTTACTACCTATGTGTAGTACAGAAAGTATGAGTAGGTAGGTATAAATACAGATCCTGTGCCCACATATGTTTTTTTTCTAACTATTCTAATTCGATTGATAGAGCTGAACTTAAAGCTTCACCGGACGAAAATTGCAGTGTAAAGACAGCACTTATGGAGCGGCTGAAGACCAACTCCTACTGATAAATACGCCTTTACTGACTTGACTGAGGACACAGCAAGAGTTTTCGACCATAGTTAGAATTGGACATTTATCTATTGAAACGAGTTTCTACATGATACAATTATTTATCCTTGCTTTAGTTTACATAATTAGATACAATTAATGTCTTCGTGTAATGACTATTTCCAAGGATAAGGAAAGAGGCGACAAATGAAAGAACTGCAGATTCCGAAGATCAAGAGAAATAACACAAAATTAAATCCCTTTACCAAGACCTCGCCAGCATGCAATAGTATTATTTCTTCATTTATCACGTATTTATGAAAATATTTACAAATATTCGCATCTGATTAGGAGATAATGAGGATGATGACGGAGACGCGGTAAAGAAGTAATAAGTTAACATAACCATTGCCTAATGTTACATCTTTAATTAAAATTGATGAAGTATAAAGCCGGAAAGAAAGTCGTCATTTGTGGTGAAAGTCTTTCATTTTACTTTCGATGCAGAGCTGAGAGTATCTGGCATGCGTTTATGGGTATTGTACTTAATGTGGGACCTCTGTGCTTCCACAAAACACAGTACATATAAATACATAAGTCGTAAACGTAGCCAAAATACAATAAATAACATGACTACTGGGTTATACCCGTATTATTCCTAAAACGGTGTGCATTAGAATATTCTAATCTCACTTAATTTAAGCTTTAATTATTCATAATAAATAAAATAATCTATAAGTATATAAAAACTGGGTACAATTACTGTTATCGTCAGACTTGGGAATAATAATGTTGATAATAGGCTAATCCGCGATCCATTTATAGCATTATATATATAAAGCAGCCTATTTTAATCTTAGTTCTAGATATCAATATTTTAAATACCATATTTTTGGTATATTTTTAATTAATCCGTAACCTTGTTGTGACAACTACAAATAAAAACGTAGTGATTACTTGCTCTGTGATTCCAAACACAGAAAAATTACCGAATAAATACAGTCGTCCTAAAGTGATTTGGTAATTAATATATGTTTGTATAAATGCCTATATAGATTTAAAATTACTTCAAAAACTATTTAAGTGCGTAGTTCAACAGTTTTAGCAAAGCCAATATTTATTTATTAGTAATTAAACAGCCAATATGAAAATTTACTTAAATACCTAACACGGAACAAATAAACCATTATTTATACGGTCATAAAAAATTTACGAAACCTCTAATTTTAAGATTATTGGTGCACTGCGTTTCCATTAAAACAATAAAATTGTAAAAATGTTTCTGATCTAAATGTTTTAATTATTGAAACGATTACATGTCTTACATGAAATTTAAATACCTAAATTAATTGTAGGTACAATAAATACTAACCAGCCTTCCATTTCCAATTCCCCATTGTCCAATATTATATTTTTCGAATGTATCATTAACTTTTTTCTTCCTTATTTCCAAACTCATTGTAATAAAAAATATAAACGTCAATCAATACGACTTTCGCGCCAATATCTTTAGAAAATGGCTACTGTAAAACGCGGCAGCGCGTACGCTGACATAAACAATACTGGCGGCATTCTATTACGTACCTATTATAAATTGGTTGCAAACATTCATACCAGCAAACATTTCAATTGGACATTATTAACTACAGTACAAAACCGGTTGTGATCATAAATAAAAAACAGCAATGTTTATCTATTTTATTTATCTTTACTTAATTAATAAAAACTTAAAATCGTGACAGTGCAAAAATCGTTTTGACAGTTTGTATGTGTGAAGGTTTTAAGTAAAAAAGGTTAGAGGAATTTGGATGATATTTTTACTAAATGTGTTGTGTAATTATAGGTCGACTTATAGGCTAAATAAATGTGTAAAAAATATTCTAAAGGGGTGAAATAAATATTTTTTACTTTTTTTATAAGTCATCTATTTTATTAAGAAATAATAGATGGCGTATAAACACATACTTTATTTATTGTTGACGTTTGATTATCTCCATTACCTATACCTATTATGCATACGACGTCGCGGGCACGACTAGTCTGCATTATCTTTATATCTATAATCTATACTATAATAAAATCGGCTTCAGTTGTCTAGCAGTTAAGCACACCGCTTTTCTTCCGATGGTCTCGGGTTCTCGCTTTATCGGCTGCTCGCATGGTGCAAACATTTATGAGTATGATTGTTTGTATCGGTCTGGGTGTTTTCTATGTATATTAAGTATGTATCTACAAAAATGTATCTAAGTATTTATATCAGTCTAGTACACAACACAAGCTCTACTTAACTTGCGATTAGATGGCGCTGTGTGATTTGTCCAGGGTTAATACTAATATCAATAACACGTACTAATTTTAATTAATTTATAAATAAAATAATAGATGACGTTATGCAAGCTTTCATATATTTATTTAGTATGATTTCCTAATTTATATCGGGAAATGTATAAACGGACCAAGGCACGGGTACTAGTTAGGAAAAAAATTTGTCTAAAACATATTGTGCAGAAAGGATAATTTTATACAGACCTATGCCTGCGACTTTGTACGCGCATTTGTTATAACGTTTTTGCTTGTCGATCGACCGAAAATCGATTGGAATTAAACACTAACTATTACGAGAAGCATACTATAGTATCTACCTAGAGCCCGGGAGTATCCTTTCATTTCACCTAGGGCGGGCGGATCTCCGTAAACAGTTTCCCCAGGTAAAAAAAGGTAGATCAGTAAAAACATAGCATATGCTTTTTACTAATCGATGAATCGATTAAGCTGTTAAGTAAGCTTAATCGAGTAAACTTTTTTTATTAATTCGCGTGGATAAATGCAGAAATAATAAGTGAATAGATAGGTTAACACTACTCCCGCACTTGTGTATTACTAGGAACTTAATGAACAGAGTAATAAGGTTCAAAAAGCGGTGTTGTCGCGTAAACAATTTCTTCCAAATAACCTTTGTAAAGAGGTGTCGAACTTATGGAATACCCACAAAATCCTATTAGCTTTTATGTTAATTAGTAGTTAACAGATATTTATATTCATAATCCATTCGAGAGATGCCACATCAAACCAAAATTAATCCAAGAGACGGTGGTAGAGTTGTCCTCAGACAGGTTAGAATCCATTTTAGTTGATGAATAAAAAAAAAATGAGTCATTGTTTACACCCGGCAAACGTGACAACAATGAAATACCGAAGTTAAATACTGATAATAGTTTTCATTTTTTTTTTATTGAGAGGATTGGATTATTGTCAAGTGCTTAGATATGTAAGATGCATAAAGTTAATACAGCTGCAAAGTCAGATGTCTCATAGTGTGGCATAATCTACTATTACATGTTTGACATAAACAACCCAAAAATTTTCAGGTAAAATCATATCTTATATTCTCTTATAGTCATGTTATATGCAAAATGATACTTTGATGTGGAAAAAGTGGTGCAACCGTTTTACTAATGTAATATACTAGCTGAGTCCACAGTTTCTCCTGCTTGAAATTTATTACCTATGTGTTATTCTCATGTATAAGTTAGATTATAGTAACATTTCAATACAATCCATTCAATAGTTTTTGCATGAAAGAGTAACAAATATCAAATTATCCATCCATCCACACTAACAAACTTCCACATTTATTATTATTATTATAATATTAGTAAGATTAGATGTAAAGGGTATATCAAGTTAGGCAGAATCATCATGAAACGGATCCACATAGCATTTTTCAAACAAGTAAAATGGATTCAAAGTGTTTTCAAACATGTAAGACAGAGAAAAGAGGTACAACTGTCCTACTCTTATACAGTATGTTACATATGTGTTGCCTCTATTGCTCAAATAATTAAAATTTATATAATATCTGATACAACAAGATAGATATCATATATCTATGTATCTTATCATTACTTGTCAGAGATTGTTAAAATGATAAACTCATATTTCAACAGATGGAATGAGGAGACTTGATGGGTTCAGTTGACCTATTTTTATACGTAAAACTTGTATCAATCTGATACAATTATCATTTCTACTTATCACATATCAATCTTAATATTACTTATTAGAGGTTGATAAGAGTATCAATACCATAATAATTATGATTAATTGGATAATAGGAGATACTAATGATCCATATTTAACCAAAATGTACAAATGTTGAACTGAAGTTATTCAGAACATTTTAGTTACAACTTTATTTGTATAATAAAAAATTGTAGCAAAATGTTATAATAATATTATATATAAAAAACCATTACTGAAATAGGTAATGATATAAATGTGTGTACAATAAAGTGCATTGATGTTATTAAAAAAGGTCTTAAATTGGTGTTTAAAAAAATCTGACAGAAATCTAAATTCTAAATTGTAATTATATGGAATGGATATACTTATAAGTAACACAAATGAAAAATGTAAAGAAAAATTGTTAAATATCGTAATTTATTGCACAGAAGTATATATTGTTATATAATAAAAATAACACTAATGAACTTTTCATTTCATGTGATTTTTTTTAATTAATTTGAAATAATTAAAATATTGCCCTTAAGAAGATTTAGAAGGTTACCATTAATCAAGAAAAATATTAAATAAAGGAAATTTAATTTGGTATATTACACTCTAAGTCACTATTATACAATAATTATTTAATTACTATCTAAATACATTAAATTAATATATAAAATGTTCACTTACAGATTTAAGCTTCTTTCTAGGTCGCGATGGTCCCTCCATTTTATCAATACAATGCAAATTTATAACGGACTACCAAAAGATCAGATAACTTTTGGTATTTTTTTCCTCCTAAGGCTAATGAGGAAAATAGATATATTATTGAATTGGCCGACCGACCAAACCTAAAGTGAAGTATGACTATATACGATATGCACTATTGTTAGTCTCAGTTAATTATTTAAAAACTGCTATTGTGTGGTTATTGTTACAGGCCATTGGAAATTAAAATATACATATCTAAAAAGCACAATCAAACATTAGCTTTAAATTACAAATTGTCATGTTAAAAAGCAGATTCCACAACTCCAGGGAGAAGGGGACAACCGGTGTACACACATTGACCTTAAGTCTGACATAGAGACTGACACTACTGAAGTTGAAGTACAGAATAGGTCAAGTTGTCAATTAATGCTGTTCTATTACACTTCGCTAAACAAACAAAAATCCCAATATAGCACAATTACTTAAGAAAACTTAATTTACAAAAGTTACGTATCCAAGTTTTACGAACATGAAAAAATTAGACCCACTAAAGAACGTTGATTATCTAGAGGTCCGGAAGTTCATGCTGCCCAATACCGGAGTAAAGGTCTTCGACCTGAGGCCCCAACCTGCACCCTTCGAGGACGGTGCAGAACATCTTGTGTCTGCGTTAGTAGTTTTCATCAATCAAAGGTTTTCATTGTTCTTTGAAAACATGTAATCTATCTGTGCAGTGTGGATTTTGAGTGACAGACTGACATATGACTGTCAAATTATATGAAAATGGCGATACTATATTGTGACACTGCTTGTTGTGTTGTACAAGTGGTACATACTTAGGTATGTCGTAGAATGAGGAATATATTGTTTCTGAAGTAATATATGATTATGGTAGTTTTACTCCAACTTACCTGATTCACGAAGTTAGCTCTCAATATTCTATTATAAAATCACTCCATAGTCATCTAAATATTAAGTGATACATTTTGTGATAGAGGTGTTAAGTGCAAACGCTTTATACCCTGCTGAAGGTAAATCTAATTAGAATACGCATAGGTAATATAAGAGTATGTTTGTTATAATAAAGTAATTAAAAGCTTCGGCCGATTTGAACACCTAGTGATTTAAAATAAATTAGTGAGTATCATTGTACTCGTCTGAGTGTTTTTGTGCGCTATGTATATGTGTAGACAAAAATAAATATTTAAGTATTTCGCTCGGGTAGTACTCGTACATAATAGAAACACTGCGTAATATGAAAATAAATGGCGTTGTGTCAATTGTGCTAGTTTATTTTTATTTGAAATTATTTATCTTATAAACACTCCTTACTAAATAATAATAAGAATAATAAACTCTTTATTGTGCAAATAGAATACAATAAGAAAAACGGTAAATAAAGAAAATAATAACAAAAGGCGGTCTTATCGCTATAAGCAATTTCTTAAGGACAACCTGCTAACAAGCATAAGACTAACATACATAGAAGAGGTAGATGGCACACACAAGACACTATAATTATTAAACGAATAAATAGACATACATATATAGATATATATATAAATAAACTTGCACATATACATACATATATATAACATATTGGAAGATTTCAGAAATTAATAGGAAAAATAAACTATAGGGACAGATAATGAGACCTTAGACAATTTGTAAATATTGCATGAGATTGAATGGAGAGTGTTAAAGAGTTCCAAAGGCGAATGGCTTGCTAAACGCTGAGCAAGTAATCACAATGATACTCATTATTATTTATTCCATTTTCATTGTTTTCAATTGTGTTTAGATAATAGTCTTTCTCATCTTTTTTACAGTGATATAGTACACCTACTGATAAAACTTGTTGAGGTGGTAGACATATTTGAAAATGCCAGCTGTAACTTCCACCACAGTGGAAGATCAAAATGATGCAGAGCAGAAGATGTGGAATGCTCTCAAGCGACATATTATAAGAGAAAGACAAAGAAAGAAAGAAGGTGAGTTTATTTAATATTTGTATTTTTGTTTAATTCTCCTACCATTGGTACGTGTGAGATCATATATATGCAGAAACCTTCCTACCACAGTTTTAAGCATTACAACCTTCCTACTACTATTATAAGCATTATAACCTTCCCTCACGACCAGGGGATCTACCTAAGGGCTCTTTGGGCTGCAGTCCAGGGCCTTTAGAATATAAAAAATATCTATAATGTTAAAAAACCTGTCATAAGGTTGGCAACCCTGAGATCAACCAACACATAGAAGTGTGCATGTATCGATGGGGAATTTCTGGTTGCTTGTATCAGGTGGCTGTATTTTTTTTGTTGAGTAATATAATTAGTTAGGTCCCTGTGTAGATTTAGCCTAGGGCCCCACAAATTCACGATCCGCCACTGCTCATGACTAATAGTGATCAGCCAGTGAAGTCCATAGTGTGTTTTAATGATATAGGTGTAAAAGAAGATTGTAAGTATTGTTGAATAGTAATGCTAAGTAAATAGTAAGCTAGCACTACACCATATTAAGTTGACCTCTGGAAACCGTCTTGGTTATTTCCTGATATTTTCATCATGATGGTTTAGCTGACCTAACTTCATGCATTCTATCATTTTTAGCTGGTGTCCTGCCAGCATATACCATTGCTGTAAGCAGCTATGCCATTACCATCTATACATCAATTTTATACATAAAAATAAAAGTGGAGTCTCTGATAGTATCATTGAAATAACCATTTTCTACTACATGTATATGAATATAAATATGGTATATACACCAAAATAACATTTTTTACAATTTTTGTCTGTCTGTCTGTGGATCTGTTTGTTCGGGCTAATCTCTGAAATGGCAGGTAGCTGATGTAATAATGAGTAACTTAGGCTACTTTTATTTTATAAAAATAAAGTAAAATTTCATGCAGACAAAGTCGCGGGTACAGCTAGTCCATTATAAATATATATATGTATATACCGTTTGGTAAATCTTGGTTATAACAAATGATTACAGAATATGAGGCTGAAGTTGAAGAGGAAAGATTACGCAAAGAGAAAGAAGCTCGTGAGAGACAGGATGTCATGACACTTGGTATGTTCTATTTTTGTTTTTATATGTATAATTGGGAAGACAACCATACTGACAGCCCACTGGATAGTAAATAACTGGTGGAAATTGTTGCACATATTTATAAATATTATCATGAACATTGCTTCATCATTGAACGCCTTTGGCAATAAGTGTCGCCATTGCTTTGTCATTCAGGAAAACTAAGGTGTTATACCTATGTACTATCAAAATTCTCTGCCTTACATATCAAGCTGCTTGGCAGCTGAAATAGTTGGTACCTGGATAACCTGTACTGTATTTTATACAAATATACTATCTTGGTATAAATATCTTGGTAATGGGTCATATCAGTCATAAAGAAGTCTATTATTTATAAGATGTTTGATACTCACTATTACTGAGAATCATAACTGATTATCTCATAAGGGGATTATTTATGAGCATGTCACATGATCTTAATATTTATTGCTATTTCTTATGGAAATTTCAACAGAATTAATCATATAGTAATTTGTATAGGAAATTGAATTCCATGTATGTATATTATGTACTATTTAAAATGACAGAGGAAACTAAGGAACAAATAGAACAGTTAGAACAGAAACTAAAGCAGTTGGAGAAAGAGAAACAGCAATTATTTATGCAGCTAAAGAAGGTACTTAATGAAGATGAAATCAGAAAACGACAGCAGCAGAAGGAGACTAAGTGAGTATGACTCAGCTTCGTTATTATAAAAACAGTACAATACACACAGCGCCAACTAGTCCCTAGCTAAGCAGAGCTTGTGTTCTGGATACTAAACAACTGATATAAATACTTAGATGATTTTTTTACGTAATATATATATTGCGTAAAAAAAATCATACAAACAATAATATTCATGAATTTTGTATTCAGAATTGAACCCGTGACCCTCGGAAGTAAGAAACCATTGAGATCTATAATAAATACATTTTCATAATGTCGCGTATAAACTTGTTGGTGCATAACTAACAGAATATCATAAGTTACGTTAGTTTATAGTTAGTAGTATTTATTATTATTTAGTACTAGGTGACCCATGCAAGTTTGCTGCATGACACTAGCTATTTATCATTATATTTCAATCTAAGTCCAATTTACATCATATCTTTTAAAATTATAGCTTATGTGTTATTCTGATCTATAAGCTATATAACTGAAAAATCCGAAGAAGAAGAAAGCTACGCCCACTCTGCAATCTATTCTATAGAAAATTGCAGATATTTTCCTGTGTGTATTTATTTTATAGCTGTTCCCGCGGTTTTACCCGCGTGATATGTATAGCCTATATATTATTCTAATGTATGTATAAGCTATATTACTTAAAGTTTCATCAAAATCTGTTTAGTAGATTTTCCGTGAAAAAGTAACATACATCCATCCATAATCTTTTTTTTTAGTGAAATGCCAATGAAGATGGCAATGGGTAATCTTCAAATTCCAATGTTTTCAATGCCGCCATCCAGTGGACAAGGGGAATTAGCCCCTCAGGGCAGACCTCCACCTCTAACCTCGCATTTATTAAATAAGGTAATATCACTATGTTGTATATATTATATTAAAGCGGCACTTTGCGACATATGTCACGACCGTCTTTCGCCTATTAGAGGTCCTGGCACATTAGGATAATGATCATAGTAATGAAGCACTATTTTGTTAGAATGAACAAAGTCATTTTTTAAATTGACTCTTTAGAGGCAAAAATAATTTAAAAAATCGGGGTGAAAATGAGGAGTTCAAGTTCTTAGTTAGCATTTGTTAAGACTGATTTTCAGGCGAGAGTAGAGTAGCTATTGTTTATCGTTTGGTAATGGAATAGGAACTAGACCAGACTAGGGGGCCCCAATCCATCGCGAGGCCCTGGGCACGTGCCGTGTAGTGAGGAAGAGGGGCTTGACAGATGTAACAACAATATATGTATAAAGATACCTGTATATATAACAGTTGAATTACAAATTATATTCGTTTTCGCAAAATTTAAAGAATGAACGATTATCATAAATGCGTAGGTATGGACATAGAAAACACCCATCTCGGTACACAGAATCATACTCATGAAGACAAATGTTTGCGCCGTATGTGGAACTCACACGCTAGAACCTAAGTGGTCTCGGACAATGCGGTTACAGAGGAGCCTCCTCCCCTTTCTAGGAGGGTATATTAAGGTTTCGTAAGGATTGGCCATCCCGGTCTCAGGGGTCCATAGGCTCCGGTAATCATTTACTATCAGATGGGCCGTTTCACGTATGCTTGTTTGCCACCATAGTAGTATAAAAAAAATTCAAATGTCTACAGCAAACCATAGTGCGAGGTGGGCCTATGCAGACAGGTGTGAAGCGCCAACGTAGTCCATCACCCAACTATGCATTATACGCCCATCGTATGCAGCCACAGATGAAACACCAGTCGGTGTACTCCGACCACAGTTAGTATACTTTAAAAAAAATAGACTCTGCTCGCGAAATGTAATTTAGTAACTTCTGAATCTGATAAATATATGTTAAATTTCACGCCGATTGGTGAATAGTATATACTAGTAATAATAATTCTGGATAATTCACACGATCTAGTTCCAAGCTAAGCAAACTTATTGGTACTAGACAACTGATAAAACTACTAATATATACAAAGTTGATATTACAAAAAAATAAGTATATGTACTATTTTTTTTTTTTTGTAAATATATAAGTCTAATATACATAGAAAACAATCAGACCAATACAAATGTTTGTATTGTGCAATGATTCGAATCCACGACCATCGGAAGTAAGGCGGTGTGCTAAACTGCTAGAGCATCAACGTCACCGAACCATTGAGGTTCAGACCCTATAAAAAATAAGGATATTGAATTTCGTGTTCATTAATAATATTAGTCATGGGTTAATATTCATTTTGTATTTAGTTTCGTGGCCATAGACAAATATTTAAATAGACTACTTTGAATCTACTTTGCGTACCGATTTCTTAAAAGAAAGATGAAGATTGTTTGTGAAATAGTTTATTGTAAAATGTTTAATAGCTAATAAGTATGTTTATTAGAGGTTCGGTATAATAAGGTAAAACAAAGTTTCTGATTTATTAGAATGTGATTTATGAAAAAATCTTTTACAGAGGTAGAAGACGGCCGCATGAGCCGACACTTGACGCGCGCTGTGCTATGGAACAGTGAGTTGAACCAAATAGGTGTCATCACTGTCGCTTTAATCAACCGCCTTTAGTTCTCACACTTCTAAATTCAAATATTTTCATTTGTTTTTTTTATTTCCTTACCATTTTTTTTTCATTTACTATGCTTTAAAATTTTTATTCTTTGAATTGAGTACCAATTCATTCTACGACTTTACTTTATTGCATTTTGTTTTGATAACATTTTTTTCTGTATCTTTCATTTTGTTCTAATTTCTAATAGCATGAATTTCACCAGTATTATATGTAAAATTACTTCATTTAGCTATTTACTGACATAACTAAACTTTATTTGGGTAATGTATATTGTTTTTGTGATTAATATTTATGATAATGATGTATATAATAAATGAGTATTTTTATTTGTGTCTATGTGAAAAATTTATGTGTGGTTTTTGGATTTGTGTTGTTTGTAGCGTAATTAATGTTAATGTAACAGTGTAATTTGTATAAAAAAATTATTATTTATCTAGAATTTTAGTTGCAGCTAAATAATTAATAATATGTTCTAAATAGTTAATTATGTAAATAATTAATTAACCATACGTTTATAATTATTCGGTCGGAGAAATTAGGGGTTCCGTATGTTTGTAGTAATTCATTCTACTAAAACAATCATACCGGTCCGACCATTATCCAAGGTGGTGTAGACAGTGGTACTGTCGATGTGATGGCAACACTGGACATTTCAATATTTTTCTCAATCTATCCATTTAGAATCCATAGTAAAAGGGGCAAGTTTACTCTTCTCTCGTATTAATTTTTGGTTTGAGAGTCCAATCAGAAATATTAACACACAGTTTTATTAGATCTACTTAATTTTTTTGCATTCCGTATAGTTAAAAAGTTACAAAGTAACTTTGGATATTTATATTATTGCCCTACAAAAATAAAAACAAATAGGAATTTTGTCGTACGTATTTACGACTATGAGTTTATATATTACATATTTTATTCAATGTTTGCTAAGGTTCGATTTGATAAGGTTTCAACTATCAGAACATATTAAAAATTGATTGATGATAAGACTGATTTTTACGCCATCTATTTACCACAAATAGTCTGCGAATTATAAAAAAAAATTACTAATCTGTGTAATGCAATAGACAATTAAAAACATGTATACTTACAGAACCGTCGCAGTATGCATCCGGCGGGCCCTCGGTGTCACCACAGACCTTCTACACTATGCCCTCGTCAGGCGTGGTGGGCGTGGTCGGTGAACGACCACCACCATTGTTGTATGCCCACCACGCACACACACCACACACGCCGCATACCCCCCACCATACGAATCTGATGTATGCGCCGGCGCCGCAACCCACGCAGCAATATTTTGACTTGTTGAAAAATAGGGATGGTCCACAGCATCAAGATTCTAAGAAGGATTCCCAGGTATCACAGAAATGAATGATTATACATTTTATTTTAAAGTTTCATTATTTATTCCATACATTTTATTTTCCAGGCTCACAGTTAAGATTTATATCTTATCAATAACTCTATAATTATATTTATGCTCCATAATCAGATGTCCGACATTTTGCAATGACAATTAGGATTATTAAAACGAACGTTAAAGACGCACAATCGAACGCGTGGAAATGCGCTCACTAGCGGCACGCGCGGTCTTTCTCGTTCTCTTTGTCTACATTTACATGCACATTATTTTCTGCGTGAAAGGTTTCTGTGCGTGAAATAGCGTACGTAAGCAGTTTATTAAGGTTTTATGTTTTCAGCCGCAAGTGCTGATTGGTCTGAGCGAGCCACACCACCCGTCTGTGAGTAGCGGTGTTGGATACGCACAGCCGCCCGTCAGTCGACATCTTGCCATACACCCGTCTACTCAACATACAAACATGCAGGTACATTCAACACATTATTATCCGGAAATGAGACGTAGACGTCATACCCTTTTTGATTTTAAGACATGTAGTAAAGTAGTTCATCATTAGATTAGTGTGATTTATGAAATCGTTCCTATTTTTATATAACTATTAGTTGTACCCACGACTTAGTCATCGTGGAATAATGAACTTGGCTAATTATAAAAAGCTAAAGAAAAAAATTTTATGGTACCTTCAAAATGAAATTCTATAAGAATTTTAATTACTTATTTTATTTGACCACTTTAACGATATTTTTTTTAGAAATATATAATGTCATATTTTTTTTTATATTTAATCTACTGCCTTTAACCAACTAATACGTTTCATGCTTAGCTTGTAAAATGACGATACTTCCATACAACCTTTCATCTCCCCTTTCAATCCCCTACAACCCTTTTTTGTCGCATGAAAACGTAGCCTATGTCCTTTCTCAGAGTCTAGACTATCTGTGAACGAAATGTTATTTAAATTTGTTCAGTAGTTTTGGTGTGAAAGCGCGACAGACAGAGAGTTTGTCTCTCTATATTTACATAGTTAGTTTCGCATTTATAATATTAGTAGGGATTAGTTGTTATCGTTGTCTGCTTTTTTGTGATAAAAAATGTCCTATGTCCGTCCTTCGTGTTATAATCTAGGTATATGAATATATAAAAAAAAAATCTTATTAACAGCTGTTCATACAAACATTTATAATATGGATAGATATATATCACTTTTACAATTCAACTGTTCTGTATTCATTTTCATGCAATATTTTTAAGTTCTCACTCTAATTAGGAATCTTTTCTTAAATATTTGTTAATAAAGTTATTTACGTCTATAGGGGTACAAAGAGTTTGCATCACGTATTAATATTATGATTATTAAATAAAAATACATACATAATATTAGTGTGAATACCACAGCAGAATTCACAGCATTCAGAAATATATCTGAATACAACGACCATCAAATCATCAGCTTCTAATTTCAAATTTTAAATTGTTTAATTTTTTTTTTAGACTGCCAAACCTGGCAGCATCACTCAAGGCTACCCAGTGCAGCAGTCCAACTCCAATGTCCAGAACCCGATATATCCGAATCGACATCGATATTAGCTAGTAATTATACGGCGGCATGCCGCCAAACCACCACCATAGCATTGGACAGTACGCCCCCAGTGAAGCTAAGTACAGTTCACAAGTGTATCGAAACGTGGCAATGGAAACGCGCCTTTTCATGAGACAATAGACGGTTATAATTTTATACCCACTTTCATAAACGTTTTGTACTCTAAACTTTCATATAATAAACTCGTGATTTTATTAATTGCAATATTGACATATTGTATAAGTTATAAATACAAACTAATAAACCGACAGACCTGTAATTATGTATATTACGAATATGTATTATTTTGTTTAATTCATATACAGTAAGAGACTTCTTTTTCGACCATGAGTGTACAGAAACTTCATGTAGGAATCTACAAGGAAATCTATTTTCTGCTCATTTTGAGTTAGAATTTAAGACTAAATAACGTTGAGTTATGTTCTGGACTGTTTATTTATTTGACATTGACCTGTCCCGGCAACTCCTGGGCACTCAAAAAATGTCAATTCATATAATGTTTCTTTCACACAGATTTAGTTATTTTTTTAATCGGTCACGTACTTTTTGTTTTTATTAATAACTATCAAATATTTATAATAGCTGACCCGACAGACTTTGTGCTGTTTTAGTGAATACGTGAAGAAGTTAATACGCGGCCAAGGTAGGTAGGAATTTATTTTTATATATACATTAGTACATAACTACTAAGCCTATTGTCTCATGAAGGTGGCATCATATGTGTGCAGTATACGGTTACAGTTTGACGGGTTTATCAACAGTGCTTCAATGGAAACTGGTGTTGAGTTATAGTGCAAAATGATATAGAACACAGGAAGTGTTACAGGAACACAGTTTTAAGTGATGATCGAAAATGGAAGTGTAATATTAATTGACTATATTTTTATAAACGGTACAGTGTATTCAAAATATGCTTAACAGATTGAATTATTTATTGTACAAATGACATATTCATATATATTTTTTTATAGGTTTTAAGGTAGAATATTCGGGGTTTACATATTACAGATTATGTAAAATAATAAACTACTGTTATAAATTTTCGTTTAAATTACAAACGGGAAAACGTGAATTATAAAAATGTATTGACTTCCTTTCATTATGTTTAGTTTAAAATTCGCGATGAAATTGTATGTCCGTACACAATTATAGAAACAATAAGTTTTTTATAATGTCATAGAACCAACAGAGCTATGAGCTATGTTATTTCTTTATAATGTGTAACTTTTTTTCGAGTAAAAAAACTCGCTCGCAAAATAAGGGCAAAACTATAATAGATACGTAAGAAATTTTTGTAGAAGCTGAATTTGAAGTTTTATTTTAATGTTCTACAATGAAGCTCGCATATTCTACCTTATGTACCTACTAAACAAATGTACATTTGATCATTATATACTTTTTTATATGCCGCTCATGTAAATGCTACAGTAGTGACAAATGTGTACAGAAACGAAATGTAATCAATTGTCTAATATACTAAGACCTCTTCTTGAATGTAAACTGCACTTACAAATCTTACAATGTATGATATTGCAACTGTTTCTCAGTAACTATTAATATATAAATTGTATTGGAAATCGTATGTATACAAATATTTCATGTATAATACCTCCTTACGGCCTGCACAGACGGAAGAGGCTTTGTCCATAAACTGTCTATATATTCTTTGATTTAATCAAAAAGGGAAATAGGAAGATACATATGTTTAACTAACTATATATAATATAAACTCAACAACTTGATTTCAAGTTATATTGTGAGAACTCTTCATTCTTCTTCACTCCGAAATAACGTTAACGTCCGGTGAAGCTATAAAGGCCAACTGCAGTGCTTTATTATGTATTGTCGTTGGTATCAATTAAAAAAAAAAATTTTTATTTAAACCACTTGATAGTTGCAGTAACAAGTTATGTTGTACGGTTCGTATCATATCTGTCGAATGAAAAACTACATTTGAGTTTGTTTCAAATATGAAAGTTACCAACTGCGTTACATAATTTAATTTCCCAATAATGATCGGTAACATCAATCGATGACTTGAAGTTTATATATTGTATCTCCCAGTATACATAATGTTTATGTACGGCTTCGTCTTTCGTTTGCGCAGGCTTTTAATCTGTATATCAAGCGCTTATGGTGGTAATTTAGAAAAAAATACATGCAACAAAATCAATTTGGATTTTTTATTTATACATCCATAATGTAATATTTACCCGATACCTAATTTTATCTTGTTTTCAATCACCTATTAAATGCACTCGGATCTTTTTAGAAGTTATAGCTGTATTAGCGGCTATAAAATTTTCAAAAATTAGTCGCTTTCTCTGGGTTCTTGTTTTTATAAAACTTGGCATAACTCTTTCCGCAAGAACTTCTAGGATTTTAACAAAACTACGATAATTATATAGCTTATACACATAGCACACAGCGTATAAATTTCACGCGAGTCAAACCGCAGACAACTAGTACCTATACTAATAATATCGTTACTAATTATCTAACCTCGGATTTAGAATTAACTTACTTTAACAATCTCCTTTCCCCCTAACTTGGCAGATTAAAAGAAGTTATAATAATTAACAGCAATACTAGTTGGACAAATTGTATGTTAATATACATAATATTGTAAAAATGTAGGACGGAGGGTACTCCCTCCGTAATACTTTAGGGTGGCGACATTTTTAGTTTTTGCCGCGCCTCGAAAAAAATTAATCCGGGTCTACTAATAATAATATACAAGTTACTATGACCTGTAGGTACTTCGCAAAATGGTCAAGTTCTTGAGTCTAATCGTGTTCCCAACATGCGTTTTTATTCTCTTCGTCATAATATTAAAATTACTTATCCAAATTATTTAGAGTAAACGAATAAATTTGTCTATCTGAAATACCAAAAAAAGTACTTATTTTGACTTCAATTTGAATTAATTTATCACCGTGAACTACATATCTTTACTAGAATATCCAAATTAAATTTATTTATAGTTGACTATTTTAACTATAATATAATGTATAATCTATATTATATATATACTATATATTTTATATAGTATAGTGGATTTTTTTTAGAACTATTTAAGGCCAATAATCTTGTCGGGATCGTCTTGTATAGGCAGCGTAGGTATTTCAGCCTTAGGTCTTAGTTCATACACCGTATACGTCAAAATAGCTTTCATGGGAAGATTTTTTCTGCACTTATTTGATGCAATAATAATATAGGTATCTACCTACTTGATATAATTTGCCCACTATATAAACAGAAAAGTTTTATTATAATCCGTTCAATAGTTTTTGTATGAAAGAACAATAATTATCGCTCTATATGTCTATCCAAATAAATTTTTTCGTTTATAATATTAACGATTAAATTATGAATTCATCATTGGACTCTACATTTGGCAATCATAAATGTAACATAGGAAGAAAAATTCATCATACATTATTTACTAATCAATGTATAGTAGTATTACAAATCACTGTAATGATATCAAAAAATAACGATAACTTCATAAATTTTGAAATTTGTCTAGTTTTTATCGACTACCAGTCGCTACACGCGACTTAGATAGCTTTTTTAGATAATAGAAGATAGTCTATGACAATCTTCGTGATGTAATCTACTTTCATGTTTTTCATTAAGATCTCATCACCCCTTTTGTCATGAAAACACACTTTCGCATTTTTAATAATAATATCCCCGGAAAATTCACAGTGTCATCTAGTCCCAAGTTAAGCAGAACGTGTGTTATGGGTACTATTCAACTGATAGATATATTTAGATACATTTTTTGTACATATATACATACAAATACCCAGAGCAATCTGAACAAACTATCATACTCATGAATACAGATGTTTGAATCGAACTCATACTCGCAGGAAATAAAGCGCTGTGCTATACCGTTACAGTCTAGGTGGTGCTAGACCACCGAGACTGTAACGGTACTGTAACTTACAATTTAGCATATTATACTTGAGTAAATTAAGATCAGTAACATTTACAATTACACTGTTAATTTTCATAAAATAAATAAAGACAAATACAATAGACTTGATCCTCATAGTACAGTAAAATATTTAAAGACGCCATCCATTTAGTGCGAACGTTACAAAAGTAGCCATTTTAAACAACTGCATTATGTTAGGGTTCATTGTGTGAATGAAAATCGAGTAGGAGTACCTAGAGGTCACGGAATAGGTGCGCCTGAATGAAAGGGGGTGAGGCGGTGGTCGCTGGGTGGTATGACCTGCAACTAGGTCGTGTAACGATCGGTGCACCGTCACTGCAATTTATTCCCGTGACACGACCGAGCATAATTCTGTGCATAACCACTTCATTCCTTATAATATAGGGTTGATAACCCTAAATTTTGAAAAAACAAGATTTGAAGTTGTTTATCTAGGACAATTCAGCTTTTTAACTGAACGCAGTAATAGTCAAAATTAATGTGTATATAAAATTCAAGTAGGTAATTAGAATAATAATATTTTTAAATAAAACTATTTGAATAGAATTATATATTTTTGTTAATTTAAAATATTATCAACAAATTTTGAAATTTAAACTCAAGTCGTCGCTTAAAACTCTGCTACAAGAACTAGGACATGTCCTGGGAAAACAGGGCGATTGGCAACTCTACCTACACGACGTAGCATAATTATTTTGTAAATAACATTTCTTTTTCAATCAGGTAGGGTGTAGCACTAGGGTACAGTACATACAGTAGGTAAAGAGTGCAGTCAGTTTGTACCTATTGTTGATGTCGATGGGAGATTCTTTGCAAGGTAATAGTTTCTTATACTACAATATTTCTTTGTAAATCTCTTAAATCACTGTAACCATTAGGATGGAAAGCAAGTTTGTTATATAGAAAACAAACAGCCACGACTATTATACCAGATAGGCTAGTCAGAGGCATTGTCAACTGTCAATGTTGTAATGAACGCAATAAATTTGATAGAATTACATTTCGCACTGTATATTTTTCTACATAGTCATAAAGTTAGGTGGAATACTAATGAAATCAAGATATAAAATAAATTTTATACAAAATTGTTCACGCACAGTTTGTTTGAGTTGTTTTAATATATTTTTCCAATTTCTAACTCTCATCTTATCGAATATTTTCCAGTTTTATAGATACTACTAGTTTTCGGTGTGGTACATCTTCCCTTAACTAACTCTGTATATAAATGTATACATAGAAATCACATTAGATGTATAAAAGTATATTATAAAAAATAAATCAATACCTCGTTAACAAAGTTCTTTCACATTGGTATTGTATAGATACTTTGAATACGGAGAAAAAGCAAACGATTGAAAACTTCTACAATTCATTCAACAATTCATAACAAAGATAGGCTATATGTACTAGACTAGTACTATCTAGTCTATATGGGAAGTTGCCCAGCGTAGAATTTATATCAGATCATTCCATGGATTCCGGACATATGGAATTTTCGTGTCTTACACGTAATAATAGCTACGGATATTATTTTTAGTACTAGCTTCTAAATAGTTTTGCAATTAAGACTTCTGAATTCAACGTAGTGGTAAAAAAATAATATTTTTTACGCCGTGACTATTCAGACCCGATTTATCCAGCTACCTCTACTTAATAAACCAAATTAAGAGAGGCAATAGGCTCATCCCTCCAGTACGTTAGACTCAAATATATCTACTATATATATATCGCAATGTGGGCATGGTAATTCTTTTGAGAAAGTTTAAAGATGAGATGTCAAGTAAATTGTTTGTGTTCAATGTACTTAATACTGCCATAATAATTAACAGCAATACAAATTGAACAAATTGTATGGTAGTATGCATATTATAAAAATTTTGGCTGGATGGAGAGGACGGAGGAAGTCCTAGAGCGGCAGAATTTTTTAGTTATTAGCCCGCCTCGAAAGAAATTAAGATCCGGTGCTGCACACAACATCGTCAATTAACCAGACTGGTGACTAATCACTATACCATATGAGATAAAAGTTTTTTTTTATTTTTATTTATTTATTCATGAACAATGTACATTGTATTTGAATGTTGATACAATGGTTAATAAAATTAATAAATTTACATGTTGTCATTAATAACAAAAAAAAAAAAAACATCAAAAATCGTCAACTGAGTACAGGCATTTATCTATTAGTAGTGACTTCAATTTTTTTGTAAAGCAACTCAAACTATTCAATAATTTAAGATCCTTCGGTAACTTATTATAGAGTATCACCGCTTGATTTCTTGGGCAGTGTGTTACTACGTTTAGTGTAGGAATTATTACCTTCTGTATATTCATTCTCCTTGTTATTAAACGTTGTTTCATGTTATCTTCAGATTCATACAGATGTTTGTTTTTGATTAAGTCTGTCAACAAAACCTGTATATAAAGACTGGGTACTGTAAGAATTTTTAATCTTTTAAAATGGTCTTTGCATGATTCCCAGGGTGCAATGCAAACTATGGCTCTAATCGCTCTTTTTTGTGCGAGGAATGCTCTGTTTGTATTGTATTTGTAGCTATTTCCCCAAAATTTAATGCTATATCGTAACCGAGATTCTACCAAAGCATAATATACTGTCAGTAATTGATCTTCCGTAAGTTCTTCTCTCAGACAACGAAGGGCATAACATGCAGAGCTTATGGCATTATCTAATGCACCTGTTTCCGTTTTCCAGCTAAATAGTGAGTCTAAATGTATTCCCAAGAACTTTACTGTTTCAACTACTTTTACGGGTATTCCATTTAGGTGTGTGCTGAGAGTTTGTTTATTTTTAGCAGTTGTTTTGAACAACATAATATTAGTTTTATTTGTGTTTAGTACCAGTTTATTTGCTACAAACCAGGTATTGAAGGCTGCCATTACTGCATTTACTTTGATATTCAGATCATTGATATCTGCACTAGCAATTACTGCATTTGTATCATCCGCAAATACAACCATTCCAATATCAGAAAATAATTTCAGCATGAAGTTAATTAAATCATTTAAAAAAATAATAAAAAATATAGGGCCCAGTACTGAACCTTGAGGCACACCTCTTGTTACAGTTACTAATGATGATTTATATACCTTCCTCGTGCCGTCTTCATCCAGATCGACAATTTCTACGAACTGTTTTCTGTTTATTAAATAGGATTTTAGTAGAGAAAGAGCTTTATCTGTAACACCGTAGTGGCTAAGTTTACTTATCAGAATCTGGTGCTCGATTGTATCGAAGGCTGAGCTCAAGTCCAAAAATACTCCAGCAACTTTTAATTTATTATTTAAATGCCTTGTTACATCATTAACCATGGCATCAATTGCATCTGGTGTTCCTACTCCTTTTTGATATCCAAACTGTCGTGCATTTAAAATTGAATTTGTATTAAAATAGGACATCAATTGTATCTTAATCGCTTTTTCCAATATTTTAGATAACACTGGAGAAAGAGCAATTGGTCTATAATTATTAATATTTGTTTTTGACATTTTCTTATGTATGGGAATTATTTTTGAAATTTTTAATTGTTCGGGGAAAACTCCTGATCAATACATATATTAAAGAAATACGACAATGGGTTCGCTAATATATCTATATTTTCTTTAATTATATTTAAGGGCATATCATCATAACCAGTTGACTTTTTGTTCTCCATTCTCTTTACTATCGAAATTATTTCTGATGCAGTTGTTAATCGAAATATCATTTTAATATCATGCTTTGTAACATTATTATATAATAGTTTCATTGCATCTTCAGTATTTGTAGTGTCTTTTGTACTATAATCAAATTTTTTTGAAAACATTTCCGCAATTTCTTTTGTATCTGAGATGGTCGTATTGTTTGATATTATTATAAGTTTCTCATGTCTACTAAGTGCTTTATTACTTTTATATCTATTTACAACTTTCCAGATTTCTTTATTTGAGTTACTACATTTCTTTATCTCGTTCTGTACTGTTAATGTTTTTGCTTTCCTTATTACCCTCCTATAAATATTTATGTATTTCTTTCGGTAGCTGTATATGCTTTCGTCATTTTGATTTTTATCCAGTGTGCAAAGAACTCGTTTCATTTTGCTAGATACTTTTATTCCCTTTGACACCCATTTCAATTTTCCAGTTTTGCAAGTATTTATTTTAATTGTTTTTAACCTAAAATTTTTCCTAAATATTCCAAAGAACTTTGTCAGAAAGTTATTTATACCTAATTCAAGCCATTTTACTTTTTTTATGCTTTGCCTAAATTTTGCATTGTTGTATGTATTAAAAATCCTTTTTTTAATGTATACATAGTTTTGCTTACATTTTCTCTCATGTATATTTTCCGCTAGAACTTGAGTCAATATAGCAGCGTGCCCATCTGAAAGACCATTATTATCAACTGTGGTGTTGATAAATGAGTTGTCAGGAATATTTGTCAATATATTATCAATGCAAGAGTAGGAGTCATTTCTTATAAAGGTGATGTCGTTAACAAGGTACCGAAAATTATAACATTTTATGAGGTTTAAAAAGTCACTTTTCATTTTATTTTCTTTTAAAAAGTCTATATTGAAGTCACCACATATTATACATTTTTTATCAAAGTACTGTTGTAAAAATATTTCAAATTTTTCCATAAAAATCTCAATGTTAGAACCATTTTGATAACAACAAAAATATTTAATTCCAGTGTTTGAATCCTGCACTCCACATATTTCAAATTGCTGATCCATACCAAATCGTTTACATTCTGTGATATCATTTGCTTGTCTGTCCTTATTAACTAATATTAAAGCACCTCCTCTCTTTTTACTAATTCTAAAATAGCATGATACAATGTCATAATTCATAAAACTTATTGATGTAACAGATTCCGTGTTTAAGAAGTGTTCTGTAATGCAAACAAAGTCAGGTGGACAAGGTAACATTTCGAAATATAATTGCAGCTGATCAAATTTTTTCCTAAGACCACAGATATTCTGATAAAATATGTTTATTGGTATGCATGTAGATGAAGTACTTTTATTCCACTTAGGGACGAAAAAAAGTATTTGGTTCTGCATCTTGATTTTCTACTTCTACCTGTGTGGCCTGGACTATATTTCTAATTTCTGTTTGTGTTGCCTTAGATGTGTATGATTTATTTAATTTATTTATATTTATTTGAAGTCCTAAGTTATTCTTAATCTTTTTTGTGTACATAGCAAATTTTAATTTATAGTCAATTTTTAAAATATCTCTAAGTAATCTTTGACTAATATGAGTTGTATAGAACTTTTTAAATGGTACACGTCTATAAAAATCCATATCTACAAAAGTTACGTTTTTAAATTGGTTACAAGTGACTTTTAGCTTATTATTTAACTTAAGTTCATTCAATACACTGTTTTGAGGTACTTCCCCTACTAGTATATTCGCTTTACATTTTAGATTATTCAGAAAACAATACAAATGGGATATACATTCATATGGATTCCTGTCATTAATGCCACCTAACACTATAATGTAGTCATTCTCAGTTAATGAATTTTGTAACAGGTCACAGTGATCAATGATTTTAGATAAACGCGCACCTGGTTTAAAAAAGCTATAAACTTTATATTGTGATCCCAGTAATTCCTGCATTTTCTTCTGAAGTCCTCTTCCCTGCTCATCTGCCATAATAATTACTTTCTTCTCCTGATGTGATTTATTTTCTAATATTTGTTTTTCAGTTTAAACATTATTGTACACAGAAACTTTAACGTTACATTTAATTATACATCTGTTTGAAAGTGTTACAGCTCATATCAATCTCATTTACATCAACTGATTATTACGGATGAGGCGATAGGGTCATAAAAAGTAAGTACACTTTTGCTTGCTTATATTACGTTTATTTGAAAAAAGATTATTCTAATAACTTTGTACTGAAAGCTAAAAAAAAACCGAAAGTATGTAAGTTATTTGTTGTCCAAATTAGTGGAGTTAATTGAATTGCTTTGCGTTGATAGGTGTGGTGTATTCCCTACGTAGGTACGCACCTATTCATTACTAACACAACTCCATACACTATTTCATTAACATTCCGATTACTACCTACTACCTACTGTGTTTAATATTAATAATACCGTAGTCGGAAAATAAACATGAGAAGTTATTGCAGGTGTATTTATCATTTAGGAAAGGGATTTATAATAATAACCTTGAACAATTCCACATCTGACGCTTCAACCACCAAGGCCGCCTTAACATTCATTCTTGGTGCATTCAATATTAAAAGCCTCGGTGATCTAGTGTTCTAGCCTTACCTCCGTTGTCACAGGTTCGATTGCTCGCAGGGTAATATTTGTGTGTATGATTGTTTGTAGCGATATTGCTGTTTTCTATAGGCATTATATATGTATTTAAAAAAATGTATCTACATACTTATATCAGTTGTCTAGTACCCATAATACAAGTTCTCCTTAGGTTAGGAGCATATGGCGGTATGTGAATAATCTAGAGCTATTATTATTTGTCATATTTTCAATTTGATTTCGTATCGAACGCGTGAAATATCTTCCTACAGAATACGTGCCGTATAGATGCGTCATAGATCTTCGTCTGACATGAATATGTAATCACATTACCTACCCAGTAATTTTAGTTCTGTGTTACTTCACCCGAAAGAAATTAGAAAAGGAATGAATGCAATTACATGATTATCAAATATTTATAGGTTTCTATCACTTAGCTAGTATATTTAAATACTTATTAAGACTTGATAATATACAATTTAATAAATGGAAAATTATTCTGTATAGTTCTTGTTCATTTGAATCTTATCAAATAGTCTGTCTAGAATAGCCTACGCTTGACGCACAATATTGTAGATCTTATTTCAAAGCAGTAAGAACTATATTGCACGTGGGTTAGATAAAAGGTTTGATATGTAAGAATGGGGGTTAGCACGCAAGCGCGGAGGTATCGACTTGTCCCCACCTCCACATTCTCCCTTTTGTACATCCTAAACTCTGAATGTAGTACTTATAGAACTCTAATAAAGATACGTACACTGCAGGCGTTGGACGCAAGAATATTCCATTGGAAATAGCGAATTCATTACTTTCCTGACTGAAACTTATTTAGGAATGTTTTTTTTACATTAAGAATATTAATAAGATATTATCGAAAACTTAATAGCATTCTTTGGGTGATTCGTAGCCTTCCACATTTAATACAGTTGATATTTTATTTTATTAGAATACGCAAACAATAACGAAATAAAGCCAATTAAGTCAAAAATTAGATGGAGACTTCCGCCTTATGTCTTATTTTAAAATTAAGAAAGTCGAAAGTCAACGTTTTCGTAAATTTAGCTCGAGTTCTGTTTCTGAAAATATTCTGAGAAATATTGAAAGTATGTGGAAAGTTTTCGTGTACCCAAAAACCATACCAGATGGAAAACGATTGAGCTCTATCACCAATGATGACAATGATTGTGGCTTTCATCAAAATCATCCAAACTTCTATATGACTAAAGAAGAAAGTTTGGTACAAAACAAACATAGTATTTTGGTAAGCGTCACTTAAAATGTAGGTAACATTTTAAGTGACGCTTACCACAATACTTATGAAAAATAGTATACATCAGCGCGCACAGGTGCATGTACAAATAGACAACATTTCTAGAAATTGTTTTTGGTTCTATTATGACGATAAAGTCAATCGATAGATAATAAATAGAATTTCGATCTTCCATGTACAATCAGAGATCGATATCATTTTTATTTATTAAATGTACGAAATAATATTTTATTTAATATATAACAATAATTTAAACATAGAGTTAATAAAGGTACCTTTGTTTTCGTTGTAAACAAGTAATTATTATGATTGCCTACGAACATCTTAAAAAAGTGTTATGGCTCAAAAATTTGGATATATAATACTCATCTTTAAACATGATGTAATAATGTCCACATTTGTATAACAGGTTTATAGTATATGATATTTAATACCATCCTTGACTTTAGCACATTATATTTCAGAATACATTAGACAACAAAAACAACCATTAGGCAAATCACTTCACACAATAGTGCTATTACCAAGTTATCAATAAGTCAAATAACTTTTCATTGAATATACACAGATGTTTATATTATAAATTACTTTATTATTTATGTTTTAATGGCTTTCAAAATGGAAGTCGTGCTTGTGCAAATACGCTTGATGTAAACCAATGAAGAATGAAATAAGATCGTTAGGATTAGACCTGAAAACTACACGGATGTAAACGATATTTAGAATAATTAGAATCATCGAATTCCATTCATTTAACATTTTTTTAATAGCTGAACATGTATGGAGCACTCATCAATAGTATGTATACAGTTACTAGGTACCAGTGAAGGATGATGGAATAAGAAGTCAGATCAGTTAGCCCACCGTGATGGATTTACCTACTAGGAATTGTATGATGAAAGAATTTTGTAACCAGAAATAAACCACAATCGCTGTCAAAGTAACCTAATATTGCTAGCAATGGGCTTACTATCCCCATTATTCACAACTACATCCATGCTTTATAAAACAAAATAAAATCATTCGTCGGTTTATTTTTTTTTTACTTTTAAAAAGAATTAAAGAATCGTTATACTCTAAATTGTTATAATCTGAAATATGCAGCCTTTCTCAACGTTTGAGTATGTCAGACTTAAAAATTTAAATTCAGACACAGTTTATATTAGTTATATATTTTTTACTTTGCCTGCTGCACATTTCTTCATATTAACTCTAAAATTTTGATCTAAAACTTTTCTGTGAATCTACTAGGTATTCAAACAACTTGGTATAATAACTTGCATAAAGAAAAGATAAATAAGTTTCTATTACGAATGAAATGCTCGTATTTCTTTGTGCCCTACGTTGTGTATTATTTTTTAGCTATTTATTAATAGAGGCTGTAACGCCAACGCTTTCTCGAAACTTTGTCATTCAGAATCTAATACAACTTCAGTACTGAGTAATCTGTGATGCTGCAGTGTAGTAATATGTACAGAACATTATAAATTTAAAAGTAATATAATATAGTATCATTCTTTCATTTTTATTAACAACTAACTACCCTCCCCGCTTTGCATGTATTAGAACTATAAGCCTTCCTCTTGAATAACTCTATCCATTGCTAAACTGCATTAAAATAGTTTAAAAAATCTAAGCAAATAAATAGCGGAAGCAACTTTATTTTATACTATGTAAAGTTACGCGATTTAGATTTTCTATTATAATATTATTTTATGAAAAGTTATAGAGATCAGGTTCAAATATTTAATCTTTATTACATGGTACTTTATAAGGATTAATTTAATTAACATATTGAGTTCAAGAAAGATCTCATAGCGTAATCTCATCAGTAACGTAACACCCCTCCCGTTTTTCTATCACCTCATCGTGGATAAAGTACATTGCGTACAGTATATATAATATGCTAAATGTCGTCACGCCACTGCCAAGGTCATATCGATCGAAATGGGGTGTGAAGGAGAAAACTACACTTTTCTCGTTTGCACCGTAAATCTCCGTCGTGGAAAATTCGATGGTAGACTGTTGGTAAACAAAAGAACAGATTAGGTTTTAATACAATGACAAGTTTTTTCCATAGATAGCGTATTCGTGGTAACGTATTTATATCAAAGTACTTTTGCCTTTGTTTCTATAAAGTACTAGCTGTTAGACGCGACTTCGTCTGTCTTTTTTAGGAAATATACTCATGTCATGATATATCTATATTAACCAAATTTTATAAAGATCCATGTAAGTTCAGCCTTAAAGAGGGGTTAAAAAAATTTATTAACTACCTTTTAATTTTATAATTTAATAGATAGTTTGTAGTAGATATTATTTCATAGTAGTAGATAGATATAGATGTAGCTAATATGTTTAACAGATGATTTTTTAGAAATCGTACCTATTTAAATTGTTTGGTCTGAATTAGACTTCCTGAATAAAATTAAAAAAATGTGGTCGTAATTGACCTACATATTCGCTTAATAGAATTACTGGGCGTAATCCCCTCATAAAAAAAGATTTGTTATGAAAATTTATATAAAAATTCTAAAGCCTTTTGGTTAACGTGTAAATCATTCTGTTTTGCTTTGAATAATAAGAAACTGTGATTAATGTACACTTATAACATGTTACGGTCACGAGATTTATATATATATATACATACATACTTATATAATATATTCCCTATATGTTGCCGACACTGAAAGATACGAGCGCCGTATTGGGTATTATGTAGAAGCTACGTCTACGTTATTTTAAAGATATTCTAAAACAACATAGACAAAATTCTTTCATCATCACAAGCTTGCATAAGTTTTAACTGGTACCTGTGATTTTAGTTTAATAAGTTCTAGAAGTAGAATGTAAATATTATATGTGAAGCCCGTATTTAGTAGATAATTAATTATCATAATTATTTGCGGAAAATCGTATACAAAAAAAAACTTTTCTAACCTATAGCGTATTCTGTTCATTTCTCTAAAATAAATAATAAATATACAATAGAAATATTGTATTATAGTTATATTGTAGCAACCTTCGTAATAATTATAGTACTGTAGATTCATCACAACTTCTTTCAATATTCCGACGGCTATATACCTGATGTATGCCGTGCAAAGACTTTCTCCAAAATATTATAGACATTACAAATATGGAATTGTAAAATAATATTGTCAGTGTAAAGACTAATTTTGTTTTAAATTTATGAATATCATACACAATTACTTACAGAAATAGATCCGGCAGTTTATTAAAAAAATGGTAAAATAAATCTTGCCTATAGTTAAAGTAAATCTATTCGTATTCGGATCGCAAATTGATTTCCAATTGTTCAGACTGTAGACAAAATTTAATTTCGACGTTCTTTTTACAATGTTTTTGTCTTTTTTGCATGCCCCAATGCTCCACATGCTTTCTCCAAAAATTTCCATTACACAAAAATATTGTAGTAATTTTTTAACTAGCTAAACAGAGAGACAAAAATTATAAAAAATGTAATTATGGTGTATATGCCGTATTTATATGCACGTAGTAAAGAACGGTTATTTCAATATTACAAACAGACACTCCAATTTTATTTATATGTATAGATAATATTTCTTTGAAATGCATAATGATCATATATATCTATATATCATCATCCATATATATCGGTTGGTAGAATATTCTAAGGAGGAATGAGTGAAGATTTTAAGATCATACCATTTTAGTAGTGACTATTGGGAAGTGATTCTACAATGTGGTTCTATGTGGCAAGAAATTTCTGAAGAAACACAGAATGAAGGACTGCCAACCATCCAGGTGATATTGATCATAGTTTAATTTCTGGTGGGTTGTGCGATGATGTAGAAATAGCTTAGGTGATATGTCTCCGTACCCTCTAATTTCACTGTGATGTAATACGCACATCTAATAGTGTAATAACCTTTCAACTCAGACGCGAACTTGGAAAATTACATATGCATTGAGATAATACTTTACATGATACCACTAGTAAAACATATCCTTGAAGGAATAGTAAAACATAATTAAAGTATAAAAATAAATCCATTTACTTAAGTTTTAATTAAAAACTTGACTAGTTTCATTAAATTCCTTTTGTTTCCCAAGTCTTGGAAGCTGAATTAGCATTTTGTCCTGTTTACAATGACACAAATAAGGGTTCGGGTGAAAACGTGGGCGTAGACATTCCTCTACGCAAAGGTTCTACGCCGTAGAAGGTAGGCACTTTAATGAGAACTATTGCAATTCATAGCTTATATTTGTGAATCCATTGCTCTGTTAATATAGTGTGGTAAGTTTGATTGTTATGGTGAGCTAGCGATGGTTAAAAGCAATCGATAAGGTGACGATTTATCAGTTCCTTGCAACGGAAATGTTCGACGTTGGTACACGCCTACTAGCTACGGAGTCAGTCGCTCTCGCCGGCCGGCGAGCATGCGATTCGACATGTTTACGTTTGAGTGAATCCATATTGTCGATAAAATTTATAATTATTTGTCGATAAATATTTATTACACAGTATTTTCTTGTCAACAATATATTTCTATTAATAACCCTGGACAATTCATACAAAGTCATGTCTAAAAATAAAAAGTATTTTTTTAATTAAACATTATCTGCTGTGTCTTTAACTACAATAGTAAACAGTGTGCATCCTTGTCTATAGAAATCTATATACTTGTTCTAAACTAATCGCAGCTTATGTTATGGTTATCTAATTACAAAGAAAAATATTTAAATATTTTTTGTGTAAGTGCATACAGGCGATATGTTAAATTGCTAGCCTACCAAAGCCATTTGTGTATTTGGGTTTTTAATGGCCCGAGTGCTTATTTTAAATATATGAATGATATAAATACAAGCTACTTTAATTGGAAAAGACAAAAAGTGAAAACAATTATCGTTATTAAAGCTATTAACGATAATAAAATTATAAATGTTGTCCAATAACTAATCATACTCTTCTCTTTGACACATAGATCGATCAAATCAAGTTAGACAAGTTGTAATAGGTGATTTAATGTAGTTTAGAAAGATTAGACTACACACTGCCTACTTTTATCTTAATATTAGTAGAGGTTCTAGTAATTGGAATTATATAGATATATTTAAAAATTATAGATAGATATTTAAATGCTGATTAAATTTTACTATTTTGATATCATAATAAATAAATAAATAATTCTTGTAGTGACAATACTTTACATGAAGTAGTCAAAAAACAATGAGTAAAGAATATACTCAAACAAAACTAGGATAACAAAAAAAATAGATGAGTTTAAAATATGTGCCGTAGTAAGCTGATACCCAACCCCAAAGAGTGATCAACAATTCTCTATAGTATAATATAAATTTATCATATTATTCGCATTATAATTCATTTAATCACCACACCAGTATACAGTAACATAAAAAAATATTTCAATTTACAATTTTTATCGATATAGTTATTTCATCTGTGCTTCACTAAATGACCAGCTCCACCCAACCTCCCTTAGTCGGTATCGCCGGGTGATCGCGTTGAGTCGCTTACGCCCGAGACTGCGCTATACGACGCCACTCCTAGTTTATTACTTGATTACATACTGTTACAAAACACTAAACGTGTCTAAAATATTACTAAAACAGAGGTAAGTCGCAATTAAGTCAGACCACAGCGTAATCGAGCATATAGAGGCGCGTAATTTGAGACGCTGCGCCTATTTCTGAATGCTTTGTTGAGATGACGATACTCAAGGACACTTTTGTTCGCTTCCGAGTATAGTATTTATATTTCAACTGAAATTGTACTGTATATTTTTAAACAAATAAATAACATAATCGTATGGAACTGTTTGTTTAATTATATTTAGATATACTTGTAAGCGTAGCAATTGTTATGATTTCAAGTTTACAATAAATATTATGTACTTATTGATGTAAAATAAAATAACATTCTTTCTATAATTTACATTAATAAGTATTATAGTGTTAATAATTATTTAACATTTTATTTCTTACACATTTATTCTACTGGTCTGTTTAATAATAAACTGTAGGATATGGCCGCCCACTTTACTAAGAAATGTTACCAAGTCTAGCATCCCTATAACTTAACACATCTATATGTAGTATTTCCGTATAGCTAATATTATACTTGTAAAATATAATACAATACATATAGCTATATACTAGTATATAACAAATCTATCCCATTCAATATATTATATATAGGAAGGTTCACATTGAGCGACACGCCCACGGCCGATGACCCTCAGAAATCGGGTCAACACATTATACTATACAACAATAGATCATACCTAACAACCTATTTTATAATAAATCAATATTTAAATACATAATTTATTACTTAACACACATAGACTATGCAAAAAGTTATCTGCTCAGAGTGTACATATTTCAGCCGTCAATGCAGCTTAAGCCTAAGCCGTATTTTAGTTGAGGATATATAATATAGGATTAAGGAATCCTCGCAATAGCAACACATGAGTGGCATCACGGTATCACGAGCGTTACATCATAATATGATATCGTGAGTGCTGTTCATCTATATGGGCAATAATTACCACTTACCAGCTACCAGACGGTCCGGTATTGTCCGGCTTATATATAATTCTAAAAACAGAAAAAAAACATTAAATAATAATAACAAGACATTCGTAGACTATCGTTCGAAAGAATTTACGCTTACCTTTTAAATCGTCTCACAATTATTATCATCATCATCTTATTTATGCATGTAGTTTGTTTATAATGTATATGTATGTATGCTCATAAAATATTTGTATGTAGTATATTATTATGTATATGTATACTTTTATATTTACATCTATTTAATATAATATTATTTTATTTAATAAACCATACCGCCTTCGAGTATCTCTGCACTTCCTAAGGTTAGTTTAAATAAAAATAAATAAATATTTATACATTGTTTACATCGGCTTATTTTTAACTGATTTCAAAATAGTTGGCTATTTAGGATTTCGAAGCAAATAGATTAAAAGAACTTATATCATACCTATTCTAAATCATGTTACTGCTATTAGGTATATGTATATTACAATAGAAAAGGTATAACGATCCGAAATGAAGTAATAGTATCTTTGAGACTGAATAAACATTCCCAAAGAAAGGTTAGGGTTGAATAAAATACAATAATTCTTCATGAATGCCGTGTTATGATATTTTCGATTTAATACGAAATAGTCTAGACGCAATTTTCGTATAATGCCAAAGTATAAACGTTAGCTTATCTCCGAAAAGACTTATTATTCACCTTTACTACAATAAGTTATCATAATATATATTACAGATTATGTTCAGATTTTATAATTCGTTATTTAATACTTTAAAAAGAATACCTATATACTCGTACAATAGAATATAATTATTTTTATATGTACAATAATGTATTGTATTGTATTCATAGATATAGTACATATGTCTTTTTATTTATACAATAATATATATTCCATTACTCGTACAAATGTCCTGATCTACATATGTACCTAATTGATTAATTCTCTTAGTAGGTATCAGAGATTGGTATGATACAAAATATGTCCTAGTATCTCTAGGTCCCTACCCACAGATCGCTTAGTCCTGAATTGTATTTAGGTCAAGGCATTTTGCTCCATTTTCTTTTATGTCTTTGAGCTATACCATCATACTGTAATAAAAATGACGCCGCAATTTTATATGAAAAGACCGAATAAACAGTTTTATCACAAAATATTAACTAAGTAATTTCGCTGGCGTGAATCTTTTGATCTTAACGAGGAAAAGTGTAATAATATTACAGATATAATAACGCTTTTTTTACTACAAATAACAAAATAAATCAACATTAGCGCAATAGGTATCTTGTTTATAATAAGAATATACCAGATCATGTACAGATATCGAAATCTTTCATATTACATGCCATTAACTACTGGAATGATTTACCTCTTAACATAAAATCTAGCGTTACCAAATTCATTGTCATTTTATCTTTAAATGCAATGCCCATTTAAATTTCTATATGCCCTATGGTTGACTGGTAGAAAATGCCTTAAGGTGTTAAGTCCGTCATGTGCATCTTTTTTTTTGAATTTGTGATGTTAATGATTTAATAAATACATGGGAAAAACCATTACTGGAACTATATATTTAATAGAACTCAAAACAATATTAATTAAAATTTTTGTCTGTTTATTTATTTTGAATAATTTTTACCTGATTTCGGTGAGGTTTGCACTAATATATTTTGGTAAGCTTCACTTAAATTAGAGTAATTGTTTTATAACATTCGATTATTTAAAAAAATTTAACGTAAAAATTAAAGTTATAAAATACCACTACGCATACGGATACGAAGTCTCGGTATTAGCTAGTTCATTAATCTAAATGCTTGCAATCAATAGATCGAATATTTACATTAAAATATCAGGTAAACCGCTACACCACAGAGGCAGTCAATAAAAATCAACAATGTATTGTAATGACAGTATTCTTATTAATCACCATGATTACAAATCACCATCAATCATAGTGCCATACGTAATTACATATAGTTAGGCCACCATAATAACAAAAACATTAAACTTTCTATTATTTAGCATTGTAATGTGAAGTTTGATATAAAATCTTTTGTTTTCTTTAATTCCACATACACTCGTATATGAATATAATATTTAGAAATGTTTCTTCATTATAGGTACACTATATTTTTAATTATACAAACTTGACTTTATTTAGAACGAAGAAATTATATTTAAGAACATAACATTATAATCATAACAGTAATTATAAGATAGTGTATAAACGATTTGAGTACAACAGAAAATAATATAATATGAAGTCTACTGTTTAATGTCACACATCTTATTAATATTATAAATGCGAATGATTGTGAGTATATCCATACTGTTTGTTACTCTTTCACGCTAAAATTACTGAACGGATTTTGATGAAACTTTACAGTAATATAGCTTATATATCATAACATATAGGCTATAAATTCCACGCGAGTAACACCGCCGACACAGCTGGTTCAATATAATTACAAACATAATATAATGATAATCTCAGGACAATTCACACAGCCCCATCTAGACCCATGTTAAGCTAGCTAAAGCTTGTGTTATGGGCACTATATAACTGATACAAATACATAGATTTTATTTTCGTAAATACATAGAAAATACCCAGACCGGTACAAACAATTGTACTCATGAATGTTTGTGCCGTGCGAGGGATCGAACCCGCGACCATCAGAAGTAAGACGATGTGCTAAATCACTAGATGCATTTATCGGATGCCAAATAAAAATACTACAGCTAAATCTTATTATAGGGAAACGCACTGTTGGGTACAAAATAAAAATACTACACGTGCAATAAGTAATGCGTAGTACAACGAGCTACGTAGACGCTACGAAGACTCTACGAGACTAAACAAGAAACGACAAAAATACTTAAGTACTTATATTGTTTTGTCCTTTACCTGACTTTCTGTATTTATCTATCTTAAAGCCGGGTTTCTTATGAGGTATAGAATTATAATTGGATTGATATATCTTAGGTCTATTACGTCATCGTCATATTGCGTCGTTAAGCAAAGAAATAGCGTGCGTATACCATATAACAATTTTGGACCTTAGTGACTATTCCAAAATATTAAAAAGATTGATATAATCTTAGAAATAGCATTATTATTAATACCTTCAATTTTTATTTTAAGTATTCAATTTCAATTATAAGTAATTATATTTGAAATTAATACTTATAATTGAAAACAAGTTTGTAATATTTTATTGTACAGATTATTATGTATAAAACAACATCATTTTAAAAAATATGGATACAATGGCGGAAAGTATTTCTTTGGCATAATAATTAGGCGTTTGATTTAACCGGATCACTTTCGTTCTATATAAAATATGACGCTAACTGGATTAACGTTTAGTAAAAGAAGTGAGTTTGAATGAAGCTGCTTCCGCTGTCTGTTCAGTTAGATCTTTTAAACTGCGCAACGAATATTATAGTTTTTGTTAGTAATAGATAGACTGATTTAAGAGGAAGGTTTATATGTATACATATACATAGGTCCGGGCACGAAAATATCGGGAGCTAATGAATATTATTATCCTGATAAACATACTGTTTTATGACGTGTATATGTATAGGTACATATATTAATTTAAAATGTCAACACTGAAATTTGTTTTGAGGTATTTTTTTTCTAAGTGTTAATCTATCGTTCATTCTAGGACATGAAGCCCTATAATTCAATATGGTGTGTGTTGCTAATACCCATAATTGCATTTAGATACTTTATTCTAAAAAGACGCTAACACGACTAACATATGTTGACATTGGTGAATTATTTAGACAAAACTACACAGTTGTATCAAAGGACATGGACTTTATAGAAGAATTATATATATATTATTAATACTTAAATGACTTAAACTCAGTATTAATTTTTTTTGGAGCAAAATAATTATTTCATTAATAAGTATATAACAGTGTTCATACTAACAACATGAAACCCACTCAACTACTAATAATTGTTAAAATATTATTGTGGATTGTATTGCTTGTTTACTAATCATAAAAGCATTTGTTGGTAGGTTTAAAAAGTAGTAAAGTAAGTTGTAATATTATTTGTATACCTGTAATAAATCTAGCAGATAATTCATTTATTGTATTATATACGGCCCTGTGTGCGCACAAAGCATTCATGCTTTTTAGTACACAGTCATAATTTTGTAAGTCATTGTTATTTTTAAATTAAATAAATAAATAAAAAAATAAAATGAATATAAAAATTTGTCTCTCAGTCAGTGAGTGACAAGAGATTCGATCCTAATGAAATTGGTAGTCAATGTAGCCTGACTCACATATTTTTTTAAATCCATTAATTAGTCAATTATTATCATCTCGAAAATATATAATTTGCGGGTATCCGTTACTTACATATGCAATTATGTAGATTTTAAATTCTTATAAAGATTCCTACTTCGAATACTTAGAAAGGAAAACAACATTGAAGTCAGTCAACAATTAGAAGTTCTAACTGCCTTCAATATTGTTTTCTAACTTAGAACCTACCTAGTTTAATAAACCCATTGTCATCGAACTCCTGGAAATGACAAACAAGGTAATAGTAGTCACCGGGTTCAGACACGAACAATGCTATTGTTATAACAATATGACATTGTATCAACTATTGTATTCCACACATATTGTACATTATCAATCTCTAAAGCATGATTCAAACATATTTCTCTATCTTCAAACTAGTATATGTATACTATACTATATCAATAGTCAATTCTAAGGATGTTTTGATAAATATTACGATATGGTTGAATTGATCTTACATCAATTTGGAAATGATTGTAGTCAGTTTAATATGTAACAAAACACACGACCTTGTATTACCTTTGCGTGTTCTACCGATTATATAAAGAAAATGATAAGATATATTTGACATGATATCCACTGCTACCACTGCCTAAATTACCTATAATGGCAGGGATTTATTCTCAAGCCTTACTAAAATACTTAAATGAACGAAGTAGGTCCCGTTTTCCAAACTGCAAACACTTTCATTGTGTAATGACTTGCCACAAAGTCTTCCAACAAGGTACGATTTAAAAAAAAGAACGATACTACGACGAACGAACTTTCAATGTTGACAATAACCCTAATGTTGTGTATTGCCTTTCTAGTCAGGCTGTTAGCATTATTGATTATACTTCTAGATCAGTTTTGGAGACATCGTGCATACACGTGGCACTTAAAAAATAAAAATAGTTTTGTAGGAGACTGTGTTAGAATTCTTCTTCCGTCCAAAAAACTGTGAATTAATTTATATTATAAGCATTTTTCATTTACTGAATGGCTACGATCTACGGTCATTGCTTGATCATCAGACTCTCGATTTCCATCATCATTCTAAAAAAACTATTTACGTAGTGAATATTAAAGTAATCGTTTCTTCTTCGAATATTGCATGTTTCTCGTTTATGAGTGAAAAGGAGTTTCTTGAATGGTTGCCAAGTTAAGTTCAAGGCTTTATCGATAAAACAAATGCCTACTTACTGTGTATTTCTAGTATGCTTGGTTTTACATTTAAACCGCCGTCTACAATATTTGGAAGTTTTGATTATTATGCAATATGTAAATAAGTATTTGAAATGTGAATTTAGTAAAATATCTTTTTATATTTCAACTTTTTGAAGTTTTGAATAGAAATTATATCTTTACGACGTGAATCAGATGAATAAAGAAATCTTTCAATTAACACTTCAATAAAGATCAAAATTTAATAATATCGCAATATCGTACCTGATTGTATTAATTAGTAAATATTCAAAATAACTACAATACCTTACTTAATAGGGTCAGTAAAAATGTATTACTTCTATAATAAGAAGAAATAAATGAACATGAATGAGCCTTTGCCTCAAACTTTTGCGTCTTTGATCTGATCTGATCTGGCGACAATGCGCCTCATTGTGTACTTAATCGTTATTATAATGATTGCTTGAGATTATTAATGCAGAAATAAGTTTGTATGTTTGTTTGCTTTCTTTAAAAGTCTTGTGGTTTCATTAAACACTAGTTTTGCTACCACTGTTACTAAACACAAAAGCTACTTCATAATAACTTTGTTATGCTAATAACAACATATATATTGTATGCTACAACACATATATATTGTTTCCAAGACTATTATGTACTCCCTGCTCATTTTTTTCATTGCGTACTATAATTAATTATTATTAGTACAAGTATACCAAACAGGACCTCTGTTTGGCATATTTTAACTCTTAACTATATTTCGAGTTAACTATAACTACGTTTAAAAAATAACGATTATATATATTTGTTTCAGACATCACCGTAACGCCACTCCTCTTAAATTAAATATTTTTCATAGTGAGTGCTGTGAACAACTGTCAAGATGATAGACGATAATTGAACGCGAACCGGTTACTTTATTTTATTAAAAAATATATACCAATTTCTCGGAGTGACTAAAAATTAATCAAGAAAATGGGAAACTTCCATTGACCGTTGAGGGCGGAGAGGCTCATACAAACACATTCGACCTATCAATGCTAAATTACAGACTAGTGTCAACACATTTCTTGAAGCAACCGTAAATTTTGGAAGCTAATATTTATATTGACTGTTTGTGCGGTGTCAATATGTGTCGGGATCGTGACATGGCGGCGCAAAGGAGTGATATCATCAAATAAAACTTTATCTACTAACAATAATACGCATTAGACTGTAATAGATAGTTCAGTGTCAAGTTTTCCGTCAAAACGGCGACCGAATTCGCTCCGCCGTTTCGTTTTGTTTCTTTCATTTTGTTTTATATAAAAGGATAAGCAATAAACCAGTTGCATAGTGTTTGTCTGTGGATTCAGGGGGTTTTGCCGCTGTGCGGGCCCCACTAGCGCTAATCTGGCCAGCCGCACTCGGGACAGCATTTCCAGGATATTGGACTCCATAGTTGGCGCTGCAAGATACTGCATTGTGAGTACAACTGATTTAACTTCGCAGATCAGGCATAGATTACATTCCCGTGGACCAATGGTTGCTCTCCATCTTCATAGCAACCATAGAGAATTTATACTTTCTTCTAGTGTAGTTCCGTTGCATTCGAACAATGATTTAATTTCAGAATCTTCACATTGACGGTCGAAAGCTTTCGGGGGATTTATTTTGAAGTCTAAACTTTTAAATCAGAAGCGAACATGGTACAATTGGAAATTGAGCAGGTACTTTTGAAAATTAAGGATGGGGCTTCCATAATTCATTATCTTACGTAGTGTCAAGTTAAAAATAATACTTAGTTGTCTTAATTATTTCTTGAGCTTTATATACTCGCTTTGCAAATAATGGGTTACCGGGAAAAGTTGTTTGGCTCCAAATCGTAGCGATAGGTCTAGGTCCTAAATCTTGTACATCCTCTTTGTAGTACCCTAGACATGCCAATGAATCTATGCACAGAAGATATGTTGATGCTGATAACAGTAGACAATTAACAAAATTTTTAACTTGTGTTTAGGAACATCAAACAAAAGTTAATGTTGTCACATGAATTAAAAATCTGTTGTTTTCTGATTAATTAAAAAATCTTTTGTTTGCATATATTTTTTGGTCACTCATTGTTATTGAATTAATTATAATTTTTGAACTAAATTACTTTTCCCGGAATTATCATAAATACTAAATGTGTAGGTACTTAACAAACTGTGTTGTAGATAATTTTATAGTACCTACCCGACGCTTCTAATAAATTATTTGATATTCATTAATCAGTCTATCGAATTTAGGTATTTATTGCTTATAAACCATAATTATAGAAGAAATAATATTTACTGTGTTACATACCTACGTACATACATTGTTTATACAATTTACAATTTTTACACCCTGTGTCTGTCATAGAACACCCTATATCCATTCACAAATCCTTCCATTCAGACCGCATACACCTAAGCTTTTCCACATTCAAATATCAATTTATTAGGCACATACATCTGTTTTCCTTTCTATAGATTATAAATCAGGTTATTTGAATGTACAGTATATAAAGTATTAAATTTTCCATGTAAAATATATACATATTTGGCGTTATGTTATATATAACGTACATATATTATATATTTAGGACGTGCAAAAATGTCGTATATATATATCTACAAAAGAGTTCAATATCAAGTGACCTGAATGTCTCATTTCTTAGTAAAGAAAACTTGATGTGTGCACCTACAATTCCAATCACTGAAAGCTTACAAATACGCACAGACACATACGAGTACAATAACATTGACGTATGGATAGGGTTACGGGCACGAAAGTGAGTGCCCGTCCGAGCAGCGGATTGTAATATCTGGGCACGGGTGGCGTACACAGTGCTGCGAGAGAGACGAGACACCGGAGAAGGAGACAGAAGATATGGCTGCGCCGGAGTGCGAGCGGGAGGCCCGCAAGCGACGCGAGCGCCGCGATTCGGGTGGTGTCCATGAGAGGAAAGAAAGAAGGTCCCGCAGCGAAGAACGCCTACCGCCACCACCGCCACCGCCACCGCTTCAGGACTATAACCGACTTGAGGTTGGTGTATCAAATTTTTAAAATCAGTATAATGAATCTAATGCGAAGGTAATGTTAATAACTGATATAATTGGATGTTCTAAAGGTTTTATAAAAGAAAATAATACAAGTTTTCTCTAAATTTTTGACAATATAAAAATATGTGCACCATTTTGAGAGTTTGCTACTAATAGTTATATAGGTATTATACATATATTTAAAGTAAAGTTTTGTTTCCAAAACGACTGTGATGATTGAACTTCACTAAATTTATTAACTTTAGTAAGGTTACATTTCATTGAATTTAAATTCAATTAATTAAATAAAAAACAAGTTAATTATATTATAATTTATTATTATTTGCAGTCGGAGCGTCGAGCTGAGCGGTTGTCTCGAGCACGTCATCCACAATTTGGCATGAAACGTCGGCGTGCTACAAAGCCACATAAAAATCCCAAAGAAAACGACGGCTTCACAATCGTTGATGATACGAACAATATTCAAATAGAATTCGCCTGTTCTGATCTACGGAGTCGCCAAAGTATGTGGTATTTAATAATTTGTTACTAAGATAAATTTGGGGAGTGGCATTTTATTTTAAATAACTGGGATAAATAATATTTGTAATATGTTACAACTAATTCCATTGACATGTCCCGTGGAATTGGAGTAGATGGGCAGTGATGTAAAATTGTATGGTAATTTTAATTTATGAACATTTAACGATTTTTGACTTGCACAATTTCTATTTTCTCCAATATGCCCCTATATCTGGTTGGACCTAGAATAAAACAAAAATAGTGCGTATATCTTATATTAGATAAATAAGAAAAATCTCAATTTATGTGTGTGTTGAGTACTCGGAATGTATACGATTCTACCATACATTCCAGCACCGAGTGCAAATACCCCCTGTAACTTATAAATTACTAATCTCAGGCCTTGGTAATCCATTTTTCAATGTCCATGTATTAATCTGACTTAACCTTTTGCATGTACTTACTGATTTAGGCCACATAATTATAAATAACATAATTGCAATTATTAATAAATTACTATAAGTTGGAAATTTGCACATGAATATGAATACTTGGAATAAATCTTGTTATACTGTTATAAAGAAATAAAACGTATGGTTTACAGTCAGCGATGAGCCCGAAACTCTGGACGCAGCAGCGCTGCAACGTCAAGTTGGAAGAGTGGTCAGTGTTGACAGCGCTGATGGCGATGTGGTATTAGCTGTTGTTGAACGAGTTCGGCGAGATGAACGTAGCGCTGCAGCCAGGCCCAAGCCTCGACGTGATCAGATCTGCCCGGAGACCAGGCTCACGAAAATTCATAGGAAGGTAAAGCGTTAATAGTTATATCGTTAATAGTTAAATATTTTATTAATGGTCATAATTTGATCACAGATATGGAACCGAGTCTATTTATAATAATACAGACTAGTGTAAATTTTAAGAGTGGATTAAACAAAGCATATTTACCATCTGTTGAGATATACCTAAATATCATATTTTAAACTTGAAATAGAAATAGTAAACAAAAATGATGAACATTTTCAGATGAACGCTCTCAAGAAAACCATCGCTAAGTATGAAAGTGATTATGAAGCAAACAACGGCCATGCACTGACACCTGGGGATCGCATTACTGATGTTCAATTAACAAGAATGTATGAGAAAATAAAGAAACTGCAGACAGAGAAACGCTTGATTAGAGCCGATCCAGTAGAATACACTATAAAACTTCACGCAGCCAAACAACAGAAGGAGAGAGATCTAAAGCTGAATATTGCATTGAAAAGTGACAAACCTATGACTGAACTCGTTTTGGATATTGAAGAGGTACAAACTTTTGTAATGCAGCTTCGTATCATAACAGTATTTTAATAACATAAAATCCTTAACCTGATCTGGTTGTTAACTGTTAAGTTAGAAATGTAGGTATCTATGATTTTCTAATAGTGTCAAGTTACTAGAATAGCATTGATTAATTTAATTTCAAGGCGAAAAAAAACAGTCAGGTCAAAAAAATAATTTATGAGTAAAATTAAAATTCTGAAATTTGCCCATACTTTTCAGTGGCTCGAAGGCAGTCGTCAAGCATCTGGTAGATCGGGATTACCTGAATCCAGCTGGTCTCCTGAAGAATGGGCTGCAGAAAAACATTGTATACAGAGAGCACTGTGTCGCCTGGAGACAGCCAGGGGCAGGCCGGCTGCGAACACTCCAGACCGTGACGCGGCCAGACCTCTATACGATAGATACAGAGATGTCAAGAAATGCGTGTCTAACTTCAGACCTGATTCAGTAAGTTTTATTATTCAATACGCTCGTGGGTACTAAACTAAATTAATTTCTAATTAAATTGACATTAAATATTTAGAAAGACATCAACTATTATCGTTTTTAATCTCATTAAAGTGGCTAATTTGTAAACAAATTATAAAGTTAGAACATAATAATTTAAAATTTTATTGCTTATTTTTAATTATTATATGAAATTTTAGTAATTGTGTGATATCTGATTAATAAAGAAATCCCGCATTCAATGCCTACAAATTACCAGGAGGTAACTGATCTGAAAGAAATGTTGAAATTGTAAGTTTAACATTTGCAGGTGCTATCAGTGCAATTATATTCTTTATCTATTATAAATTTTACAGTTTCCTGTTTATTTCATTCATTCAATCATAATTTAAGAGCCGCCCTCTTATCGGTGGACCTCTAGCCATTTTCCACGATCTTACATTAATCTCTTTAGTCGTTGATATCATTAAGGCATATAAACACATTCGCTTTACATTAACTTCATAATCACATGATCTCAAAAAAAGACTACAATCATATTGATATGTAGAAAATATGTTTTTTTACACAAAGCCTTTCAATGTATAAATTATAAGGGAACACTGAACTGAATGAATCTAAGCATTGTCATTCTTATCATTTTATTTGTGGACTATTGGTCTTAAAAAAACCATGCATCACATGCACATCTGTTCGAAAGCACTGATTTCTCGCACACGATATTTGTCTAGTAACATGTGTACAACATCATAAAAAATTGGAAATTGTCTGTATAAGAAAGGACACTTTATACAATAATAAAATTTAATAAATCTCTAAGCTATCGTAAACAAATATCCGTGATTCATTTATACCACAGATCATAAATTGTCAAGCGAAACGTATGAGTTTATACAATATTGTAATAACAGTACGCATGTAGGAGGAAAGCTGTTATTACTTATATAGATGATTTCTATATTTATATCACATCACATCAATATAATTATGGCATTTATCCTTTTCAACAGACAAAAGGAGCTAATGGTGAACTTGCAACAATTCACGAGCACGAGGCGATGTTATTTAGTGTCGACAGTTCCAGTGACTCTCAGGAGAAACCGTCAGATTCTTCCCAGGTATATTGTATAAATTCTTACAGTTATTTACTCTAATATAGTAGCTAGCATAGGTATATACATACATTCTATTAAAAGTATAGGCAAATTAGTTGGAATTCTCAGATGATTTTCTAATAGGTTAAGATTATAATCGGTATAATTAAAAATAAGCGCCTGTAAATCTTAGTCTTTATGATAAACTTTTTGCATACTACATTGGAAAACGTTATATTTTCTATTCAGGAGACTGTAGAGACGCCTCTACAGTCGCCCCCGAACCCAGAGGTCGCTGGAATCATAAGTGGAGAAGAGAGGCCATCCTCAACGTCATCTGCACAATCTGGCGATGAACCCGGCCCTTCAAATGAAGGGCTGCATTGTCTTGGGCTCGATGACCTCACTAAGGCACTAACAGATGCTAAAATGCAGAAATGTGTATGTATTTTTTGTTAATAATTTTTACCATGTTACATCGCTGTATCTTTATAACTATGCTATCTCTGGAATGGTTATAAAGGCCTCAAATACTTATATTTTCTATTTATGATTAACATACACCATTGAAGAAGCGATCTCTCATCACGTATTTCAGTTTCATATCACTAGAGAGGTTTTGTGTTAAGTAATTTACTATAGTTGAAATTATTAATATTTAGTAAGGTTATTAGTTCATCGATATCAACTTAATTTTAAACTAAAAAAAATGCACTAATCTAAATCGCAGTGAATAAAATGTGCTATGCTGATTAACATAATCGAGTTAATTATATAGAATACAGAATCCAATTAGTTTTGTACAAGTTATTTTATAACCGATATCAATATTATCAGGTACTTCGTCGCAGCATTAAGGAGTACGAAGTAAGTTTCGAAGTTCAAAACTGCAGAAAAGTTCAAAGAGACGACAAGAAGGGCCACGAAGACGAGTATCTTCGGTACAAAGCAGTAAAAGCTAGGATAAAGTTGCTGAATGCACTTATTGATAAACAAAAGCGTTTGACTTAAGCACCTTTATAAAGTCTTAATCATTTCAATTAATAATCTTACTTTAAACATTTGCATAATCTTGTAAAATGTAAAATTCATGTTCAGCCTAATAATATAATGCGTGAAGATAATACTTAACCTAAAGTATTCATGAAGAAATGCATTAATTTTCCCAGGTTAATAAAATTCACTTAAATTCCTAGACTTTGGTAAAATAAAGTATAGGTATTATATTGAAGATAATTAAATTGGACTTAGAAAATTATGTAGTACTTTCTCTCTTTCTAGTGGAATGTAGTTATGAAGGTGTTTAAGGCAAAAATTATACCTATTGCTGCTTAATTATTGCGCTCGCAATTAGCTCCACAACCCTAAACAAATATTTAGCTATCTATTTAATATCATACTTCATCCAATTCTGAGACTGTAAATAAAGTAGTCGATGTTATATCCCCTAAATCCACTTGTATTACAAACAATCCCAAAATTTAAATACATTGCATAATATTATTTATAATTTGAGAATTGTATAGTGCCAAATGTTTTTCTATGCAATTTTATTATCTTGTAAAATATTAGGCATACAATTTTGTATCATCATTAAGTTTATATTAGGTAAATATCATATATCTACCTATGCATATCTAAGAATAAGACAATGCGATTTTGCGAATGATTTTTGCCCCATTAGTAAGTGATTTGGAGCAAAAAATATGCTCCTTTGCTTACTGTGAATAATCTACATCTACACGTACAAGATCTACAAGCACAAGATCTTTGAATCTTGAATAGGCGTAGGTCTGAAATAAAAATAATTAATTATTTGCTTCCTTTTCCTTACTAAGTATTTTTTATTTTTATTAAATAAAAATGATATCTCTTAAATACCACGTTGCATTCATACTCTTATAACCACATACATTTGTACGTAGGTTAGTAAAAAAAACTGCTCTACTGTTAATGGAATTAAGGTAAGCACTGCCGTAGAAACTTTGTACATAATTCTATGCAGTTATATGTTTACAATAATGTGTATTTTTGCAGTAGTTATTAGTGCCATTGAATTAATACCTATAATTCTTGAGGCTTTGTTGTTTAGGAAAAATCTGTATGTACCAGTATAACTATTATATTACCTACTTGTGGAACTTTTATCTTCCTGTAGTTATTATAATAAAATGTAACACTTCATGCGAGTCGTCTCTTTTAGTTTCAGTTATGGGAGACTCCTATACGTAAATAAGTACAAAAACAATAACGAAATTGTAAAATTTAAATTATTGATCATTAATGAACTTCAATAATATTGGATACTGTCGAATATGTTTATATAAATGAACATTATTAACGATATATTAATGTACAAAGACATGGGAAATCATTCTAATACGTCGATGTTGATTTACGAATTGTAACTTTAAAAGAGCTTAATATAATACAATTAAGCGGGATCATATTAAGCTATAGTATCCCGAAATTGGCTATGTGCTACGTGATAAACTCGAAGACACAAAGTTACAGCTATCATATTCAAATATAAATGCTTCTAATGAATATCACGTGACACATTGATCTCCAATTCATATAGACAATAAATAAGATTTAGGTTACAAAATAAAGTGCTCTACCAAAGAGAGTGCTAGCGAAAAGCTGTTTCATGAGTTTAATATACCACTATGCCTACAAAATTCTGTAATTCGCTCTTCGCTAGTAGTCTGCTAAGCACTCACGGACAAGACCTCACGGCCAAGTAAGACAAAATGCAGAAACAGGTCCTTGTTGGATATATTTTCACTGAAATATAAAATGTTATATACCTCTTTGATATTATTAAATTCTTGTTTACGTGTATCGTAGTTACATTGTTATAATTATATTTTATGTGTTTCATCATGTATTCTTTTTACATTTAAATGTGTATATTTTCATTTATTAACTTAACCTATTAGTTTATGTAAGTAAGTGGGTCATATGGAATACGACCTATCTCTGAAAGAGATTTAACATTTTACAAAATAATTAGGCGATTAATGGTGATATAGTATTTACTGTGATTTTATTCTAATCTTTCTTGTGTGACAAGAAAATGGAAGGCATTTTTTGATATTATTGCGTGTAAATGTTATTTATTAATTGCCGTTTGCAATTTTTTTTGCATTACTATTTTCGAAAATTCTCTGATAACGATACCTGAATTATGAATTTAGACTTCTCACATTCGCCATTAACCTATATAAGCGAATGTGTAATAATAAATGAAATTAAATATTACCTTGGACTTTAATTCACTTGATGTTATGCATCTTTAAGGAAAATTTTTATGAAAATGACCGTAAGTTGTATTTATTGTTATTGTTTATTGGTATTTAGCAGTGCTTGTCAAAGGCAAACGGTTTTATAATAATCGCTTTGGAATATAGGTATGTAGTTAAATAATTCAGACGATTAAGAAATAAGCCGAAATGCCATATCAACAAAGGATTTTGAAAAGTGACTAGTGTCATTTTTCCAAATTTTTTGCATATCATCAATATTAGTGCACTGGTTTAATATCAGACATGTTGATGAAGTTTGCATTATGGAAAGGTGTGGGTGAAGGGATGCAATTAGATTGTACTTAATATAGTTTAATTATTGCTTAACGAGTGTTTTTCAAAAATATATAATTGCGACATATACCTACTTAAGATCTCGTATAAAATTTAAATATACTTAATACTTTGTACTTGCAATCATGATATCTATCATGTCATACAATGAGTGAAATATATACCTACTAATAATCTCTATCTAGAATATAAATGGATGTTCGACTATTTGTTAATAACTCAACTTAGTTTAACTTTGGATTCTACTACGAAAATGAGCGTTTGACTTGTATGACTCTCATGACACGACTCTTTAACGTTTATGGAAAAAATAGCAACTATTGCATGCATTGGATGCAACTTGCAACTAATCTATAATGAAGTGTATCTTTCTTGTTGTTATCGTGCGTGACAAATACTCGAGCTACAATCTGTACCTATTTGATATTCCGTGACAAACAATAATGTTTGTCCGTATCATTCAATGTAAATAATAATATTAAATATATAATGAATATAACTTGAGTCCGTCTACAATTATATTATTCTGTTGACTATAATGAAATTGTTATGATATAGTTATGCTATACTAATGACTGGATTCATAGTAATAAAATTTTATTAAGACAAACATGATCTTTGAATGATTAGAGTGAGATAAATCTATTTTTTTTTATTTGAAATTTTATTATATATTATTCATGAAATACTTGTTAATCATATTCATATAGATTAATTATTCTACGTATTGTCATTGACAACCATTTGTTCCGTGTCCAACGAAGGGCCGTTTCCACAATTAAATACTAATAAAATCATTGTCATCTGCACAATTCGCTGTATTTAAATAAGTTTGAATTTATGATTTGATATCAATATTCAAGAAATTATCTAAAAATGGTAAAGACGCGAATCAATGGATAAGCGTAAAACAGGGCCTAATTAAAATATCAGCACATTTCAACATCATCATAACATAGTTGGGTTAGCATTGATCAAATCATATTTGTAAAATAATATTAACCTGTCATGACTGAGAATCGAACACAAAACCTCGTCGCTGCAATTGCAATACCGACGGCGTTTCCCATTCCTTAGTAATTAAACATGTAAACTTCCAGTGCATTTCTCCAGTAGTTACTTAGCATTATTTTAGAAGCTGCTCAATATCATAAGGAGTTTATATTTAATTTATTTAGTATAATAAACGTAATTTATACAATCATCTAAAGTTTTTGATGACAATATTATTCGTGCCATACTTCACCCATACTATTTCTGATTTCGGAAGACCATTATTGTACTTTAATTAACATGTGACGAGTAGGGTTCTTGGACGAGACAATTGTGTTATTAGCACGTATAAATTTTAAATTGTCGAAGTTAAGTTACCGGCTATCTATGTATTTTATGACGTCGTATAAATATTCAGCGAATATAATAAGCGTTCAACAAATTGCCATTACATTAATATGATAAAGTTTAAAATAAAATATAGAAGCGAAATTGCATTTTAATTTTATGAACATGGAATTTTATTAAAGGTAATGTGAGGTTTGTAAGCTGTGCTTCGTTTGAAGGTTACGATTGAAATTATACAGAATAAGAGGTATGATATCTTAGTCCTCTGAAATGGCCACACATGAGTGATAACACAGGTATCTTGTGATAACATGACATCCATAGTGCTATTCATGTATATAGGCAACGGCTATTCCTCCTCGCACAATTTCATTTACTTTCATTGGCATATTGATTCAAATGACATAAAGAATATCCACGATTACTACTATCATGTGTGCTACAAACTTGTTTTCAGTGCCAATTTTATAAAAAAATCCTATTATATATTATGTATTATATATAAATACCTGCATTTTTTTATGAATGATAATGGAATGGTGCACCTAACTGCGCTAACGATTTACGCTGTCGGGGCACCAGTGGCGAGTGATAAGATAAGCATGAGGTCAGGTCAGTTAGCCCACCATAACAAATTGACTAAGAATTTATCGTGATGATTTCCAGGGAGAACTGCGTGGAGGTCAACCTGAAATGGTACATAGCTAGTCCCTTTAGATGACACTGTAATAGGTACTTAGAGGAAAATTATAACAAGAAATACCAATGAAATTTTGTCATAACCGGTCTTTATGGTTTCCCACTATAGTTCATTATGATAACCTCAGATATGTTTATGAGTTAATATAGTAATTATAATACATATGTAGCTATACATATGTATATTGGGTTATTCAAAACGAAACAAATAATTCAAATAGACCAAGTCTATTTACAAGCACTATTTAACCGACTTCGACAATAAGTAGGCATTTTATTGATGTTTTCTGGATGTTGATTACTCTCTCTTTTATACAAATACTGCATGAATTTGGCGGTAATGAAATAAATGAAATAACGAACTAGTGTTTTATTTATGGCATAATTATTCCTTTAAAAACTTAAAGGATTTGGGAGGGAACGGTTTGGTAGTAAGGGTTACTATAGTAGTTACATTCTGGAGTACCATGTCCGGTCGATCTGTGCGTTATGCCCTCGAAAACATTATGGTCAATTCCTTGAACTGACTGACCTAACTTCATCTTTATTCCATCATCCTCCAATGGTGCCTTTCCAGCGTATACCGTAGCGTAGGCGGCTGCACTATTCCATATTCAATAAAAAAAATGGATAATATAAAAATATTTTATTAAAAAATATATATATTACTAATCAACTTATATTACATTCGCGTGATTCGATCTTAAAAATTATTTGCACGCCGACAGTCTGTTGGAAAGGTTGTATCAATTAATTATAAATTACTGTCATAGTCATTTATTTTTACTACAACTCTGTAACTGTAATAAATAAAGACTTGTATAAGTACAAATATAAAATCTATTTTGCTTTAGTAATTATTTACAAAAATTAGTTTAGAATTGTCCAGATATTTATATCTAAAACTGACCTTATAGTTCACAATAATATACGCAGCGATGCCTGTTATCTGCTCTTTAGCTATAAAATACATATATTAATAATTAAACTATACAGTTAATATTTGGCGTACCTATTGATACTAGTGTATCTTGTTAAGTGCTAAATCCAATTCAAAATGTTTTCGAAAGGGATTCTGTTTGTGATCATGGTGACGGGTAAGTACTATGATATAATCATAATTAATAATTTCTATTCTCAATCCAAGCTGTGAGTTAGCGTCAGGTCATGACTCTTATCCTCTAATTTCACGTCTTTATATCTCCCGTAGACCGAAATACAGTTTCCAAAGCAAGTTTGGTAAATATGGAGACTTTTTACTTATTATTATATGTAGCGAGTTACAATTAACTTAATTTAAGTTCTATTAATTATTTTTTTAATAATTGTTTTGACAGGTGTAATATGTGATAATAATATACGAAGCAAATTGCGTGACCACATTCATAAATACACAGAAGCGGAATGTACTAAAAACAATGCGAGAGATAAAATTAGTGAAGTCGAGGTATACTATATGGATATACTATAATAATATATGTAATATATCAGTAAAATGCACTGCCTTATATTCAATGTTGAACACTGTGATTAATTTAGAAAGAGATAAAAAAAATTAAGATGTTTTAGAGAACTTACAATAGAAAAGAAGTTTAGATATTTTTTTAACTGAAATGGTAAACAAGCTAATCAGGACCACCTGAATGTGGCAACCGTCGATTTTTTACATAAATTGGACATAACGTCACACATCCGTAAATTAATACAACTATAAATATATGTGAGTATAAATTATTTGAATTATGTGGGAATTGAACCTGCGACCATCAGAAGTGTGATGGTATGTTAAGCGACTAGACCACGAAGGTACTAATTTATTACATTTTCTGCCATAAACAGGAAGTCGGACTTACCTTCATGGATTGCATGTTAGATAACATCAAACTAAAATTAATTATGGATATGGAGCAGGTTGAAACTGATTCTGATGTTACAGATGTATACAAAAGGTAAGATATATAAACAATATTATTCTGTACTAGCTGTGTCCGTGGTTTCACCTACGTTAAATTTCAGTATAAAATATAGTCTATGTGTTATTATGATGTTTCATAAAAATCTGTTCAGTAGTTTTTGTGTGAAACAGTAACAAACACCCATGCTTACAAACTTTCGCATTTATAATATTAATAAGATGATATGAAGATGACCTTTCAATTGTTGTCTTTAAATTCGGACCAACTATTGAGTACTTACCTCAACAGTCAATGTCAAGGTTTGAGTTGAATTCAGGCTGTAGCCGTAGAGTTAAAGACAAGTTGGCTTTTGTATTGTTTTTTCGTGCTGATTTTTAATCTAATAAAGTTATTAATAACACCACTAACACCAATTAGGTTTAAATCATGTGGTTGACCCACAATTTAACTTATTTCCGATTCGGGCTTTCCGCGAATCTTGTGTTATAGATAGATCTCGAGCCAATGTGTTTACCCGGATATGCTGCGGGTACATGCGTCTCGCGAGGAAGAAATATGTTACTTCCTTTTGTAATATGTTACGCCATTTGCCCTATGTAGATGCAGCTATAAAATTGCTTAGGACAATCAAATTAAAAAATAGATTAATATTTGTCTATGTCTCGCCGGGCTATCTGTTGCCTTGACGCAAATGACTTGACTTCTGGATAAAGGCCAACTAAGGTGGGAGGGAGAATAATCAAGGGAAAGGGAAGATCATAAAAAAATAAATATCAATCCCAAAGAAGCAAAGTCAAAAATTTAAAAAAACTTTCAAAACATACAGCAAACATCTTGGTCTATTCATATTGAAACTTACTGAAAGAAATGGGTAATATATATAACTCAAACTTGATCTATTCATATTGAAACTTACTGAAAGAAATGGGTAATATATTATTATAATTATACATATATATTATTATATAATAATTTGGTGCATAAATATATTTCAGATTATGTAGAGATGTTCCACAAACAAGGACTTGTTTGTACAACTTTTTAAACGGCACGGCGCCCTGTATGAAAGAGAAATATCGTAATGAAATTGATTCCTCCATGGCACAGTTCGATGAGCTTTACAACTACATGTGCGCCAACGACAGTCAGAGATTCACTGGTAAACATTTATTTCAAGTTTTATATTATTAGTTAATTATCTAACCAGTATTTGGAAAACTATTTCTATTTAAATTTATTACCACAATTATCACAAAGTTACCACAATTATCATTGAAGTGGAATTAGTATAGTAGCCATAAATTCTATTCCAAATACAAAATAAATAAAAAGTTGAAAAATTGAAAAGGCTTTATCTAACAGTATTTATAGCCAGACTGGTTAATTTACTAAATATAGAATACATTATTTATTAATTTATAAAACCATGAAGGTTTATCTATGTACGTGACGTACTCTGATATTCTTCCCGATGACTAAGTTGTTATGCTACCGTACACTGTAATTTCATGAAAACTCCATAAAACTCATGATTAATTTTATTAACATAGACCTTCCAGCTTCTCTTGTGCACCGTATATTTTTGTCATTATCCCTACCATCTAGTTTGTAATTTTCCCTGCGGCCAATTCATTAGTATGATTTATTGTATCGATCTGGCTGTTTTATATATATATATATATTATGTATGTATGTATATGTATGTATTTCCAATAATAATATGTAAATATTTATATCAGTTATCTAGTACCCATAACAGATGCTCTGCTTACCGTGGGACTAAATGGCGCTGTGTTGATTGTCCAGGGTTATTTATTTACAACTAGCTATCCCGCACAACTTCCTCTGCATCACACATACTTAACATTTACATATTATATTATATATATTTCGCCCAATTTATATTCAAATTCAAATTCAAATTCAAATTCAAATTCAAAAATCATTTATTCATGTAGGACATTTTAGCCGCTTATGAACGTCAAGTTTTTACATTAGAATTTTTTTTCCCTACCGTCCAGTTCGGTATATAGATCCAATTGAGAAGAACTGGCAAGAAACTCAATTGAATTACTTTTTTTTTAAAATCCAGTTTATTTACAATGCATAGGTATTTATATAGGTGTCTACGTCTAACATTAAATGAAAATCCCGAACATGAAAACTATTGCCATGCACGCTCGTCATTCAAGTAATCGTTTAGTGAGTAATAGGCCTTGCTCGGTAAATATGATTTAATAGTTGTTTTGAATTTATTTAAGGGTAATTCCAATATATCCTTTGGTATCTTATTGTAAAATTTTATACCTATTCCCATAAAAGACCTATTGACTTTACTTGGGGACAGCAAGTTTGTCTTTAAATCTAGTATTAATATTATGAATATTGCTGTTTTTTGGAAATAAGTCAACATTTTTATGAACATACAGGATATTTTAATATATAAATTGAGAAGCAACGGTGAGAATATTTGCCTCTTTGAATTTCTCTCTTAATAAGTCACGACTCTTCATACAGTAGATCGCTCGAATGGCACGCTTATATATAAAATATCTTTTTATTTATAAAATATCTTTTTAAATTATAATTGTATCTGTAAAGTTTCATCGAAATCCGTTCAGTAGTATTTGCGTGAAAGAGTAACAAACATCCATCCATACTTACAAACTTTCACGTTTATAATATTAGTACTATATTTAGTATATAATAATTAATAGATATTACAATACTTTTTCTATGTACAGAGTTCGTTGCTGATGGAGGTTTAAGTTGTGTACACGAGAATGGTGTTCCTCTAAGTGAATGTCTGACGACCACATCGATGGCCCTCGATGGCATCAGCGGTGACAATAGTAGTGAGGATATAAAAGTTAGTTCATTTGCAGTTTTTTTTACAATATATCTATACTATTGGAACCCGCAAACGTTGTTTATCCATATAAATTAAAAGGTCTTTAAAAAATAGGGATTGGTTGTATAGATGGATGAAAAATAGGATTTTATATATTTTTAAAGCCACTTTTTTAAAAATATATTGTCCAAATTAAAAAAATGTTACGGATAACATTTAGAGGTATGAAAAATAGTAGCCGATTCTCAGACCTACTGAATATTCGATTAAAATTTCATAAAAATCACTCAAGAGGAGAATAAAATAGAATAAAAATAGTCGGAAGAGTATGGTATATTATGTTTGATTATTAACATTGTGACACAAGAATTTTATATATAAGATTATTATAATGATATGGAGTGGAGTGATCAATAAGATGATGGTGCATACTGAAACCTCTATAGTATAGATACAGTGACACTCGCTTAAATTGTACCCGGTATTAGTGGACTAGCGGTTTAGCACACCGTCTTACCTCCGAAGGTAAGGGTTCGATTCCTACGGTATAAACATTTCTATTCATGAGTATGATTATTTGTAAAACATCCAGACTAATGTCTGGGATTTTTTCTATGTACTGTACATAGTGTATAAACATATATTGGGACTACATAGTGGTATGTAAATTTTCCTACATTATTATTATTATGGCTATTCCTGACTATGTTCTGTCTCCTTATACGATGATTTATTGCAAGATGGATTTACATTTCCAAACTGTCCAGTTATGTTTTTTTTAATTTCATATCTATGTATACTAAACTTTTGATATTTGCTTTACAGTCGGTTTGTGAAGAGCTTCAGGGGCTCCAGAAATGTATACACGACAACCTAGTTGGTTGCCCGAAAAAATCAACCAGTGCATTTTTTGATGGATTTTTAGAATTGGTTCAAAAGTTTTCCGAATGTAACGATGTCGAATAATATATGGCAGTGTTATTTCGCTCAATACTAAGATCTATTTAGAAAATATTTTCAATATGGTTCTCATAACAATAATTATAATGAAACAAAAAAGCTAACAATAAAATAATATAGCCTTTTTTATTGTTATATTACTTCATCTCCAAAGGGATAAAATAGGCTCTCTTATTTTCCGTGAAGGCAGCACTTTTAATGCATAAAATTAATGCATCATTTATTATCACGACTATAGCGCTTATTATATATTATATATAGTGTCAAATATCTCCGGCCATATCTTTATGTATATTCGTCTAAACATTCTCTGGAATAAACATATCCAAAAATTCTGTAACGGACTTTACATCTATTGTAATTATAACACTTTTGAAGTTGTAATGGATATAACACAATCCTAGTTCATCGGATATGAAGTAGATAATCTGACGATAAATAAGTCTGTTCGATAAATGATCTGTCTAAAAAAGTTGCAGTTTTTTCTTACAGTACAAAAATATGCTTTGTTTTACTTTACTGAAATAGCAAACCACCTCAAGACAGATGAATTGAAAATGGTCGTCGCTCATATATTCCGTTGAGAGCAGCAACAATGGCTTGAATTATAGTATATGTAGTAGCATAGCGTTAGGGTGACTATCCTTATATTATCTGCAATTATTTCATAACACACATACCTAACAATTGAAATTAGGATTAAGTTAATTTATGTGAGTAAAAAAAATTACAATGTATTCTGAAATAAAATTTATTGTTATCATATCATATCCTTTTAATGTAATTAATATTTTCCTAAAATAATTATTAATTATATTCGTACTGATCTGACTAAAATAATAAATGGACTGACAAAATCTTACATATTATTAATATAGTTAAACGAATTATTTTATGGTAAATAATGGTATTTACTTCTCCCGATGTTTCCACTATACTGTTTTGTTTCCTTCCACAGACAGAATAATAGAGATGACGTATTTATACAGTCCGATAGCGATGTCTTATTATGTATATAAGATTTTACATGGAATTTTGTTTACCATTCTAATTGAAAAAATTTGACTTAATAATTTTTAAATTTCGAGCTCTTATTATGTTAAGATTTTACATTTCAATTTGACTTAAATTTTTAAATTTCGAGTAGGTAAATCAGTAAATCTATTTTGGTTAGGCTCCATATAAAAAAATATGAACATCAATATATTAATATAAAAGTAAAATAATAATAAAAATTAAATAAATATATGAAACTCAAAATTGTTTATTCATATATACTCTTTCGGCCACTTATGGACGTAAATTTTTTATCACTAACACTACCATCCAGTTTGGTATACTACGTATTTCCATTGAGGAAAACTGGCAAGAGACTCTGTAGTTAGTAGTTTATTTGACTATTTATTTATTAAGTTTTAAATGAAATAATATAGTTCTAGAAGAATTAATACATCGAAAATCCCTTGTCTGACAACAACGCCTATGACAACGCTCTAGCAATAATCAAACGTTGCTATTCCAAGATTAAAATATAATGTCCCATACCTTGTAATTTCACTGCATAATCGCACCCTGCAACCGAAACACAGTATAAAGCAACTGCTTTGCGAAAAAGGTGTAACTGAGGTACATACTTAAACGACCTTTTGCAGTCTTTTCCTGAGTTTACGACTGTCCCTGTTGATATATAACAGATAGATATAATATTTTTTATTTACATGCGCAAATGATTCCATGCGTGCTAGTTATAAACGAGTACAAAGATAATCAACAACTTAATATTTGACACTGAACTTTTAATCTTGTATTTTTTTCTCATTTCGTGGAATTAAGTTAGTGAGTAAATAACATTGAAGTTGTTTTGATGTTCAATTAATATTCCGATTTTTTATCAATGAGTTTGATAAATTATTTTAGATAAATTAAATAAAACAAAAATAGTAGCACAAAATTAAACAGTTCTGCAAATATAAATTAGAGTTAATTTATGGAAGTTATTTTATTTCTTTTATATATTATACAATATATGTATCTGGAAGCGAAACCAACTAAGTGATCTGATGCATACTTTTTTTTGGTTCTAATTTCAAACTGATCAATGAAAGTAATAATATTATACATGTTCATTACAAAAGCTACAATAATCAATAAATGAAAAATTAAACATTCTCCAAACAAAATTTATACAAATACAATGTAAATAAATGCTAAAATATGTAGAATTTACTAAATTCACTAGAATATTTTTAATTACATTCCATCGTTTGATCTCGCTGATGATTCCTCGTATTTACTGATAACTGTGTCCAATGGTACTACATATAAGGGATATCTGTGACGCATGGAGCTCCGGTAATGCACTTTTTTGTATACTTCCTTCTCTTTCTGTGCCACATCATCAGCAGTGTCAGAGGTTTGTGCAGGTACCTTTCTATATTCCATCAAATTTGACTCTTCGGTAGTAAATCCTGGTGATATATTAGTCTCCTCAATGTTGGTTTCAATGCTGTGTACCACACAACAAACAAAAACACACAAAATGACTGCGTATGTATATTGATAATTCATTTTTGGTAATTAATTATTGTAATTACTGGTAATTACGTCCGTTGCTAGTATATCGGTTACTGTCTGTAAATGGTATGCTTCATAATGATATATCTATCGTTAATATTGTAGGCGATGTAATTATATACTTACTAACATATCATATTGTTATCAGACACGTAGTCAGTGTACTTATATATTATTCAGAATTGATTTTTGCAGTATAATTAGGCATATACTACGTTGTTACAAAACTTCATAGACGAACTAAAATTATTGTTGTTAATCAAGAATGTAAGAATAATAATAAATATACGTATCTATATAATCGTTATAAAGCACTAAATTATTTGATAATCGTTAAATTAAAAATGAAAAAGAATTTAATCCGACAAGAAGAAATTTAAATGTATAATATATTAAGAGCGATTTAATTTAATAAAAATGGCCTTGAATTTATCATGAATCGCCGACCTGAAACAAAACAAAGTCAAGTATAATACACGCAAAATCAGAGTACACACATAGTATTTGTTTTGATAATATAATTAATGTATAATTTTATAGTAGGTAATTCTAGGAAACTACTTTTTTGGTTACGTTTGTCATTTCTTCTTTCTAATCGGCTATGTACTATAATTATGTCCATTTGTTTACCTACTCTAACCTTCTACGTAGGACGAATGGCAAAACCAGAGCTTATGAGAATATAATTTCACAAATACTAGTGATTCGTGATTGATGTCTGTGGTACAGTTCGTTTTTGAAAGCTGTATTTTTCAAAATTGTATGTCAAAAGGGGAAAAAACATGAAAATTCAATTCCAAGCAACAAAGGTACTTCAGCAATGTTTTATAATAAGTGGAATAGATAACCTATAAGGGTTATCTATTCACAACAAATTGTCAAGCAAATCTCGACCATTTGACAACACAGTTGTTAGCTCACCACAATAAGTGAACTATTCTGGGCCTCCATTTACAGTAATCGAAATCTTATGGACTTATAACTACATAAGTATTAATTACTTTTATTATAGAATAGAATAGTCAACCCTTCACTCAGGATATATGTAGATAATTGAATGAATATTGTTTCTTTGAATCAGTGCGTTAAAATATTGTACTCATGTACAATACAAGTAGTACATTGTAAGTAGGTACTTAATATTGACCACAAGAGCCTTGTGGTCAATGTTAAGTACCTACTTACAATGTTACGTCCCTTATATATGTATATTATTCTAAGTTATTTTTTTAGAATGTAGGCATGTATTTCATAGTTACAATATGATAATACGATGATATTTACGACGGGGATATACGACAATATAATACGGGAAAAGATATATAGAAAGATGGCAGAAGAAAAAGGTTAGTGCATTTCTCACGAAACGCCTCCATATCCAAAATACATAAATCATACAGAAATCAACAAAATGTGAATTTTGAGCTAGATTAAGAATTTAAATCGATGATTACTTTAGAACTTATATTTGGACAATGTTACCTATATATCCAATTCTACGTAAACAGTTTTTTTTCTTATTCATGATGATGAAATAGTGCATCCGCCTGCACTAACGGTTTACACTGGCGGAGCACCAATGGAGGATGATAAGAAGACCAGAAGGTCAGGTCATTTAGCATTCAGTAAATATATGGTGAATTTATCAGGATGAGAGAGAGAGAACCAGGGAGAACGACGTGGAGATCAACCTGATATGGTACATTGCTAGTAATGGATTATTAGTCCACATTACTAACAATCCACGTCCATCCTATATACACAGTTAAATATAACTATACTATACATACAATATATGAAACTGTAATTGTAGTCGATTGTGCAGGAGACAAATAAATAACCTTTAAATTGATTGAAATTTAATTTAAAATATTTCCACGTATAGCTAAATTGCCAATTAAATTGAATACAAATTAACCATTACCTATATTTGGAAATATTTACTTGTTTACATATAAATAGATTTAATTGCATTTTGAATACATTAAAGTATCCTAAATAGATAAATGACAAAAGATGACTTATCTCTAATAAAAATAATATACTAATTATTATAAAGATAGATACCAGTGAAGAAAAACCAGACAGGTTTGCCCACTGCCATGTTGGATTTAAATCTATATACCGAAATGTGTTGTTTTTTACTCTTTTGGCAACAAACAGTCGTTATATATAAGTATATAAATGTACAATTAAACCTATTTTAACAATAGACATTGAGCGTTGATAACTTTTACATAATCACATAATCTAGTAGACTAAAATAAAAACTACATGTTTTAAAATAATGCGAAAAACTTACAACAAAATAAAATAATTATGCAAAAATTATAAAGACGATAATAATAAGGCTTATTTTAGTTTTTCGTATAGTTTCATTATGTATTAAAAAACTAAGGTGCAAAAGGGTGTTAATATTGCGTTCACAATTGCACCAATCATTGACAATACCTCTAAATACCCTCCCCGAGATATCAGTCATGATGTTTTGTTTAAGTATACCAGGTTTAAACGGCGGATTATTCATATCAATATCAAACGTCTTATTACAATATTAGATAGGTACATATCGATCTTTGGACCGACATATTACGGATGTTTAACCATTTTAATAGTGAAATTTAAATAAAATGTCGATTTGTACGTACATGGTAAAGTGCAGAATATTTTTCTTTATTACCTAGCTACCTGCTTATGCGTTTCATTAATTAAATTAATAGACATAGGTACATATCCTGTTGCATATATAATAAAATTCTTCACAGTCGATATTATGGTCTGTTTATCACGCACTGAAATAGGTTCCGTATGTGTGTCGAATTTATTTACACCGCGCGGCAACACTGTTGCCTAGTTACGGTCTATATTAGAAAATTAACAGGAAAATTAAAAATCATTCGTATACCATTTGTAAATACTTCTACAATATAAATATGTACATAGCCGCAACCTGTTTCATCTCCTCAACTCCCTCATTCCACCTACTGGCTGCTACAAAGGAACACAATACGAAACATTAGCGGCCCCATAATAATCACTAAATGTTTTTATAGGTTACTCTTTACAATTATAAATTTGTAGGCAGATATTCTTTTGCCATACGTACTAAAAACTAAAAAAATACAGACTGTTTGCATTAAAAATGAGTAATTTACCAGTAGTTATCGATTAGTCGATTGCGTTGAGTGACATTAACTTAATAGTATTTAAACTACCTACATGGTTATAGTTCTCACCCTATACCTAAGCTTATATTATTATAATTACGTGTACATTTGAACTCACTAACTACTTTGCAGTACTTTGCAGGGCAAACCATAAGTTTCTAATAGCCTACACGAATAAAGGTATTTTGATTAGATTTCAACTATCTTCGGTTAAGAACTATGACCGAAGGAATATTCAAATTTCACACGATATTTTCGACAGTACTGTGCGGATATTGAAAAATAATTCAACTTGCAATCGATAATTGTCACGATTAGTAGGTACATGTTTTTTTCTGTAATTACCATTACTACGTGCTTGGGTCTTTATTGTGGAATCATTAACATTAAAAATATTAAATGAATGTGTATTTATTTTTTGTTATATTTTTAATAAATAGTATTTTTAATAATATAACAAAAAATAATTTCTATTCACGGTAATATAATGCAAGACAATTCGACAAAATCTTATGTGTATGCTTATTACCTCTTTCCCTTCTATAACAATAATATTTATTTGAAAATATCATTATTTAAGTAAACACCTCTATATAAAATATCCAGCAAGATGTTTAGTTTTGTTTACAGATGAAGATGGAATGGTTATCTTATCTTGCACTACTACCAGAGATGGACATAAATTAGATCATGAATAGTCTACTATAGAGAATTCAATAGAAATTAATTAAACAATGATAGTAAAATAATACGGATAAAAGATCCCATTACTTACAATTACCTTGATCTGTTTCTATACATTACCTTTCACACATTACACATTTCAACTTAAAACTGTAAAGTAGCAACAAAATTATTTAAAAGAGCAACACGCAAGTTTCGTGCTCATTCTTCTTTCCGAATATATGCTTAATATACGCATGTTAAATAGTAATAAACCATTATGTTTGTCTTTTTTTTTTGTAATTTCTTAAACTAATATACGTGAGACCATTAAGAACACAAACCTCAGGATATCTTGTCGTAATTTTTATATAAATCTAAATTTAAATACGACGACATCTAATCTAAACTGCTGTAATTATTCCAACGTAGGTACTCGTATCTACGCGACAAAGTAACTACCACATTCTTATCGTATGATCGGAGAATAGTGGGTATGTGAGTCAATGTGTTAATATAGGTGTATATATGTATCCCGGCTGGTCACAACGATTCAGTTGTCATCGGACTCCCGGGGTTAAATAGCGTGCACAAACCTATACACAGTGCTTCAAGATGTTGTGGAAACTAGCCTTTGTAACCGTTTTGGCAGTTGGTATGTTTTTTTTAGTACGCATAGTCGCATACGTATTACATGCAGTCTTATTATGCACTCAATATTAGTCTGCGTTAGTTAAGAATGAAATTCGAATTATAAAAATTTTAATTTATATTTTTTTATTCTGAAATTTAGAAATTTTAAGACGGTATCGGAAAAATATTTTTTAATTATTTAATTAATTGCGTGCGATTTGTTTAATTTTGTATTATACTCTGCCTAGTTTCATATTTGTAGTTTAATGTCTATGTACGAGTAAATAAGGTCTGTGGTTTGATTCTCCGTTGATTTGATTTGGATTTTTAATGAGAACACTGAGTTGAGTCCAACTCTGAATTCTGGATTCTGCCTACACTTTTAACATTGTGGTTTAATTTGTAACTTTTACCTTTTATTTACATAACTATTTAATGTATAAAGTTACTTTAGTAGAATAAACTATATGTCACTTCTCATCTAATTATTTTTTTACGAAAACATTATAATCTTTCCATTTGTAGGTACATAAATATTTTTTTTGAGTAAAGTATTAATTTAATAAAGAATCACATGAACTTGCTTTACTGTATGAAAACACTCCTAATTTATCGTACTATATTATTACTACATAAACAATGTTAGTATCTATTTACTATATATTTTCATATCTAAAGGTAAATGAAAATGAAAATATATAGTATAGTAGGTAAATAGATAATTATTAATTATCTATTCACTAATAATTTAATGGAAATTGTATATGTTGTAGCGAACGCTAATACGTTGACATTGCATTTATATAAAAAAAAACCATATGGTATTTTTTATAGTACTTTAAAATTTTATAGTTTATTTAATTTATTACTTAGGCGCTACTTGAGTTTTTATTTGTTTCTATAAGTTAAATTTATTTTAATGTTAAAATATCCAGTTAGGTTCTTTAATGATAGATTAGTTAGCGGGTAGACATATAAAAAATATTATCCGCAATAATGGTTTATTCAAATTTAGTCATAGTCATTAATTATACAATTATGTTTCAATACATATTCATTAAAAAATATTGGTCCAAACTGTAGGTAATAATTTCTGTTCAGTAATCATAATATTAATTTAATTTAAATTTTGAAACGCTTCTAACGTACAAGATAAAATCCACAGGCTTGTATTATATGCTCAGTGCTACATTACCTTAAAATAAAGAGACACTGGAAATGATAACAAAATATTGAGAATTTGTGTTAGGTTCTATTAAGGTGTAATATGCCGTATCAACAGACGGGTAGATATAATAGTATATAAATAATAGGGTGGTATAAAAATACCATCCCAAGTAAGGGTTCATTTATAATCATTTATTCATCTTACCAATATTATAAATGCGAAAGCTTGTGAGTACCGATAGATGTTTGTTACTCTTTCATGCAGAAACTACTGAACGGATATGAATTACAGTGATATAACTTATACATCATAATGATATATAGGTTATAAATTCCACGCGGGTAAAACCGCGGGCACAGCTAACAATATTATACTATAATACAATTGTATGAATACAAATACAAATTCATAAGAAATATTAGTCCAAAGTAAACAATGTTGGTCCAAACTGTAATAATTATTGTTCAGTAATTATAACGTTAACATATTTTTAAATACTGGAACACAACCTGATAACAAAATTTACAGTTTGATAACGCTTTCATAGCGTCCTAGAATTCATATTCATACTAATATTATAAATGCAAAAATATTTGTCTATATCTCTGTTTTTTACTTTACGACTAAACTGTGATCTTACTAAAATTTGACATGAAAATATATGTATTGTATAGCGACGCTACGATGGACATAGTCTCAATCAATCGATTAATTAGATTATTAGATATAAATAATTTATTATTGACATTGTTTTGTAAATTTATTTATTTCTGCTCATTTATCATATTTGCGCTACTAAATACTCATTTATTCTTATCATCAGATACTAATTAGTTAATGGTACATAAGTATAATAATGATTATATAAGTAAACAACTATAGTTAAATAATGATAGCCATAGTAAGTTCCAAATTTGACAGTAGATTAAAAATATAGCAATTCAAAGGTATCTAATTATAATTAAGTATATTTAAATAAAGAATTTTTATAATCTGTAATTATTCAGGGAAAAAGGCTTAGATAATTTCTTACGTTAATAAATTCATATAATTATTATTAGTCCTGTTAATTTTTTAATACTCCATACTAAAATTACTATGTGTCTGCATGATTGGTGCCTCAGTAGCTGTTACCCACGACTGACAGGAGATATTCTATTTTAGATGAAAGATAGCTATATCCACGTATGCCATCTATTCTTTTTTAATATTTCAATAAGATACGTTCAGCCGTTTTGATGAAAGGTAGCAAACATACAGAATACCCCCTTTCAATTAAACGTGGTAATATAGATAACTATGAGTTTACTACTGACAAAAACTTCGAGCATTAGTTTTAATTTAATTTCATATGAACGGCTGAAGGTTTCTATGTAGGTTTCAGAGTTATGATATTTAATTATTGCTTATGAGGTACCTATAATACTTGACCATTAACTACGTATTAATATTTTTTATAGTGTGATATAGAGTTTATTATAATATAAAAATAGTAATATTTAATTATCTATTTAATTTTTGTTATAATATTAAAAAAATAATATCTATTATATAATACGTGGGTTAATCCAAGTTACACGAACAAAGTCGGGAACACATCTTGTTTCGTTACAGAGTACAGACATCCCTATTTGAGCGTTAAACTGCATGTTCCCCTCTTCCTGTGGTGCTCCATTTATCAATTTACCTCATCAAACGAACGGTAGCATTATGCTTAGTACGGTATATTTAGCTTATTGAAGTTTAATGACATTTCCACCATCTTTGTTCCTTTAGAGATATTTCGATATTTTTATTTATTTAAATTTAATGCAACATACAGCTCAATACGTAATAGGACAAGTGCTGGACTTATCATCGCATGATGTTAAGTCCAGCAAATGTGTTGCTATTTTTTACTAGTCAAGCATCTGTAGTGATGAGAATAATTGTTGGCAGTGCAAATATCGTATCATGATAAAAATAAAAATGTTGATATAAAATGTGAATAATTAGTTATATATATTAAAGGTATATAATATATAAGGAATAATTATTGACAATATTAATTGTATTTTTTTATATGTAATCTTAATCATAATAAAAAACTTTATATATGCCATGTGATTTTGTGCTAGTGTGTAGTAGTAGGTGGTATATAAATATTGCCATTCTAATCATGTATATGTCGAGTGAAGATGTATTTTTTCTACGTCAATTTGTATGTATAATTAGTACGCGATTGTTTTCGTACGTACTCGTAGGTAACGTACATTTTAGGTATCTCCCGGATATGTAAACACGATTATAATTCATTTCATTATTATATAATATGTCATAAGTTATTGCGACAATAACTTATGTATTGATAGAGGAAATAAATGTAGGTGATTGATTCTAATTGTAATCAACACTTTATTGTGATGAATTTAGAGCTTAAGTTACAACAAACAGTTAGGCAACAAATAAACAAAGTTCGCAGCTCATAATTTGAACGCGTTTTCATAATAAACAAAGATATATAATGTTAATTTTAGATAAAAATTAGAGGTCATTGACCCTGTGATTGTACTATCATAAATAATGTTGCTAAGGTACTTATTCATTTTACTATCTGTAATTTACCTAAATTTGCTATCTCAAGTTTGTGACACGAATTTGACCTCTATATTACAATATTGTACAATTAAGGTTTTATTATTCAGTGATAAATAATAACATGATATTGTACACATATCATATTTTGTGTAAAACTCGTGACATCATAGATTTTTTTTTATAGTAGAACAGTGTTTCCAAATTTTCCAAATAAATAATCCTAATACTGTATTGAAACATTGAAACCTAAAAGTTTTTTTGAAGATACAAGCGTCATTTCTATTTTTCAGGTGTTTTAAGCGATACTGTAATAAATGAAGAAGCAACACAAAAAGTTAGAGATGCACTAAAAGCGCAATGCAAGAAGAATGGCGCAGAAGACCAGGCGGCTTCTGTTGAGGTGCGTATGTGTATTTATCTACACACGATGTATTTTGCGTGGGTACCTCTGTCTCACCTATTACAAATACTAAGTAGCTCGCTTTGTAAGTTGTTTTTGTTGAAAAGTGAGATATGGTAGTGATATTATAGGGTGCACTGTCGTATTATCACAGTCCTCCTTCCGGAGGGTTATTACCTCTAATATAATGACCTAGCAGGTCATTATTCATACATACGGATGAGCCAACCTTTTGCTTTTCCAGTTACATGATTATAAAAAATTACATACAGAGATACTGTAATAGTGAAAACTAAGCCTATTTTTTAATAAATATATAAATAATATTAAATAATAACCCTGGTCAATTACACAGCGCTATCTAGTCCCGAGCTATGTAGAGCTCATAGTAGACATCTGATACAAATACTTATACACATTTTTTTTTCTAAATACATACTAAATATACATTGAAAATACCCTAATAATTGTATACGGATACAAACAATCGTAATCATGAATACAAATGTTTGTACCGCGCGAGGAATCGAACACGCAACAATCGAAGGTAAGGGAGTAAGATAATCCAAAGGTAGTTTCATATTACTAATTTTGTTACAATTGGACTACATTTCTTTATAAATTAAAATACATACATTCCTACTTAAATCGTGTTTATATTAAGTTTATTTCAATAAAGGTTATTTCCATTACAGACAGCAGCTCAAAATTTCGTTGAATGTGTTAAAGGCTTGTTTGACTTTTCAACTATCAAAAAAGAAATCGAAGATGCTAAACCCAATGGAGCCCTCGACGAAGTATTCGGAAAGTAAGTAAAATTGGTTGTTCACTACCGACGGGTATTCTAATTAAATTACACAAACACTTACTAACTAAACGAATTCTACACCTGAACTATGATTGATGAAAACTGTACGAAAATCCGTTCAGTAATTTGTTAATTATCGCCAATATACCGACTAAGAGAAGGGACTTTTCTATATATAAGTATGGTTAGATTTAATATTGAAATAAGTAGGTACGCATTTGAAAGTTCTAACAACCGCCAAAACCTTCGTTTTTATGAATTGAAATAATGATAAGGTACATAACCAATACCTCATAATAAAATAATCTAAGGATGCTGTGGATTTATATTCCAACCCATCCAAAGAAATAATCGTCGAATGAATTCTATAAACGATTAATTAATATACTTTATTGAATTTGTAACATTAATAAAATAAAGTTAATTATATAAAAATCTGAGCGAGGGCTTATCCCTGAAAGAGATCTCTTCCAGCCAACCTAACATTGTAACAAAGGTGGTAGTTAGCGGGCAACGATAGTGCTTAAGTTTTAGTAATAACAATAGTCTGATGTATACTTTAAAACAAATAAAGACATATATAAAGACATCTTAAATATGTACTCAATAAATATTATATAATAATTACTTAATAAATATTATATAATAATTACTTAATAAAAAATGTATAACAATGTTATACATGCAGCTATTATATAGTTTCTCATTAATCAATGCAGAAGATGGATTGATGTCAGTTGAAAACTCTCGTGTTATTGTCAATATGTCACTGAAGAGTTAGCTCATGAGAACTGTAAATTAATTTACAATATTTGTCTCATATTTCTCACTCTCCCATGATTCTATAATCTATTATGAAAGTACAGGATGATAATGGAATAGGGTGTCTAACCTAACTATTTACACTGGCACCAGAGGAGGATGATAAGATGGATATAATGGGTGAATCCGAGATTCGCGTGGTGGTCAACCTGACGTTGTATTGTATATTGCTAGCAAATAGGTCATTAGTTCACATTACTAACAAGTCCATTCCCCCCAGGTATTGCGCAAAGTCCCCGCAACTGAAGACCTGTATCCATAGCCTAACAACATCTATAAGCCCGTGCCTTGAGAGCACCACCCGGGAGCAGATTGGACCACTTAACAATGGAGCAGATCAGCTTATCGACTTCGTGTGTTACAAGGATGGTGACAGGATCGCTTGTAAGTAGTGATGCTGTTCGTAGTGAGAAATATAATGTATCACCACTCCTTTTCGCAACCAGTGTCATAAAACAAAATATATTGAATGATTGTCAAGTTTTTGTGCTTAAAATTATACATCGTATGATACATATATGTATTTGGTATAAAGAAAGACACAGACACAGGCTTTTTTTCCGATCATTCGTAATTACGCAAACAAGGTCGCAGTCTTAATTTATTATTATACTGTAGTATTTTTTATTATTATTTTCAGTGTTCATCGCTGAAGGAGGCCCCGAATGTTTCCAAAGCAAGGCCGAGCCCATCCGTGAATGCGCAAACAAAATCAAAGACAGTGTAGCTAGCGTTGAAGCCGCTCAGAGCCTTACCATTGTTGTGAGTGGTCATTTTATTCCCTTTGCCTGTAATATGTAGCCTTGCCATCAATAAATTGCGCCACTCTAATTTGTCACGTATTACTATTAAAAATTTCATGTTGTGTTTGACACAATCGATTTTTAAATTGATTATTTAAAAAACTAGGGAAGGATAATGTAATCACTAATCTATAATACAAACAATAGCCTAATTTCAATATACGTTTAATAATAATAATTAATTATAATGTACTTGTTTGTAACTATCGTTGTCAAATACGATGACATCAGGATGAGATGAAGTCAAGTTAGTTAGGACACCATAGTACAATAAGAAACTAGGAAGTACTTAGGGGAGATATGTAATGATAACGTAACGTACGTGTATATAGGTTACCGCTTACTATTAGGTTCGACAGCTTATTTACCAAAACCTTGCCTTTATCCCATTATAGAAGAGGATAACAGACTGCGCCGACCCCAGCGCAGTCTGTTATCCTCTTCTACTGATCCCTATCAGCCATCATATCTGAGCATTCTCTCCTTTTATTCATATCATCTTTTACACAATCCATACATCTTTTTTTGGTCATCGTCTCCCTTTCCATCAACCCACGTTCATGTTATATACTTTCTTTTAGACATGGTCAGCTCGCAACAGTCGTAACTTGTCTATAACTGGCGCAACTTTCAAACGTCCTCGTATATACACATTCCTTGTTCTGTCATTCCTGGTTAGCCCACATATCCATCTCAACATTCGCATTTATGTCACACCTTTCCACCATCCCATTTACTGCCCAATATTCAATATACATAATGTCAGGTCTTATAATAGATTTATAAACTTTTCCCTTTAGTGTCAAGGGCATTCAGCGGTCGCATATGGTACTCGAAACTTGTCGCCATTCATCCATTCAGCACTAATTCTGTGCCTTACATTACGGTCTATGTCGACATTGATCTGAATAATTGAACCGAGGTACCGAAAATTGAAGCATTACCATGTTTACCATTCCAAATACATATAAAATGTGGGTGTAAACGTAACTACCTACTAGTAATGGGGCTATCAATTCTTATTACTGACAATTCCGTAGTTATACATGTTATATATTATTACAGGAGCAATGTGGCAAATTCGATGAGTTGACATCATGTATTGTGAAGGCTTTAGAGGGTTGCACCACACCAACACCTGGCAACATGGCCGAGTCTCTGTTCCGATTTGTCCGCAAAGGCTCGCCTTGTAACACAGCAGCCCCCAAGGTAATAATAATATTTAACTAATTAAATAAATAAGTGCAATAAATAATTCATTCAGAATTAATTTGAAACGTCAATTGCCACGCTTAAAGAAATAAAAAAGTTAAAAGCTATATGTGTAATAAAAGTGAAGCTGTAAACCATATTAAATTTTATCATCAAGTAAATCGTCAGTTTCGTGAGGCCTAATTCGAATATTGGAAGTAATAGGTTATATAAAACCTTACAAAATCGTGTAGTACTGAGAATAATAGTTTAAGAACCAAAAATCTTATTTATGTACAGATGTAAGATTGTAAATGACGACTAGGACATATATTACATCGTATTCTGTGATCGGTATCATATACCGGTATCGGTATCATATACTATATTTTACTAATAATATTTATTTCTATATTGCAGAAGAACTGATGAGTGTTAACATCATAAGCGGAGCGGTGTGATATTGTGCCATTTTCAAATGTAACTTATCGTTAATAAAATGTATATTACGATATTACATGTTTTTTTGTTGAAGGCAACTACATCAACCTTCATCTCGGATATTAAATGGGAACTGTCTCCAATATATACATATGAAATAGTCCAATATATACATGTAATGTGATGAAGCATAGCTTGCACAGATACTTGGCAGTGAGACAGGTACCTTTGTCACACTGTCTTACTGCATATGTTGTCATATAGGAAGGATAAATCGTCTTGCCTCCGAATGCTGTAATGTCATTATCATATTTCATCAATCCTCCGAAGCATAGTTTGCACAGCAAGATAAGCAGGTACCTCTGTCTCACTGCTTTGTCACACTGTCTATCACTATCTTACTGCATTCAACGCAGACGATTTCGAACAAAGTCGTACAAACATGAATTCAAATGTTTATACCATGCGAGGAACCGAACCCGCTACCATCATAAGTAAAACTGTGTGCTAAACCGCAAGGCCACAGAGGCCGTCAAATAATAAAACATAAAATATTGCTAGTTATTGTAATTATGTACCTAATTGTTATACAATTGAACAGGATAAAGGGGTTAAGTAACTATCAGTCCAATTATTCAAATTATAATTATTTAGTAATATTGCAAAACAACAGTAGAAGGTAAAGTAAACAATGAAATATACCTAATATACAATAACGTTTAGCATGGGTATCACTTTACTCTACTGTCAATACGCCTGCGCGATATAAGGAAATTTTTGTAGTGACCTGAGAAGTTTTCATAAGAAGCGCTAACCTTTTTGAAAATATTCTAATGCCTATTCATCAGGTATAATGTAGGATTCTAATGATAAAATAATTTTTTGGAGTTATTTCGGAGTCTATTAATGCAAATAAACTTGAAAAAACTGAAATCTTTGCTCCTTATTACTAATATATTTAGATATGAAGAACAATAATATTCTCAGGACAAAACTCAGGACCCAAGTTAAGCAACCTAAAGCTTGTGTTATGTGTACTAGATAACTGATACAAATACCTAGATATATATGTTTTCGTAAATACATACATATTATACATAGAAAATACCCAGAATGATACAAACAATCATACTCGTGAATAAGGCACGGGCCTCCGAGCTACCGATCCATTGAGGTCCAATAATAAAAATACATATTAAATTTCGTGATGATTACACCTACTACACTGTTAGTACACTAACTGCACTACTACACCGCTAAAACACCAAGGTCGTCATAATTAATTAAGAATAAACATGTCATCTAATTATAATTTATTACGTTTACGATAATGCAACATCAATTTTAGTTTATTACATATACTAATTATTTATTGTTCAATTTGTTTTTACTTCGTCTTTAGCCACATTGTACGAACAAGCATATTCTTCTTTCTCCGTATCTCCTTTCCTAAAATAGAAAAGTAAGTTTCTCAATAGAAAAATTAATACGAATTAACACTAACTTGTCTCATTTTGGTAGGGAAATCATACGGAATAATGGTCTTTTTACGAGCAACATGTCATGTCGGGTCAACCTCCACGCGGTCCCTCCTGGAAACCATCTTTGTTAATTCTTGGTGAATTCGCCATGAAGAGCTATTCTACCTGACTTCCATCTCTCTTACTCTTTTGATTCATCCTCCACTAGTCCCAGAAAAGGTGCAGAGCATGGGTACACCATTCTATTATGAATCACTAAACAGTCTTAGCGCTATGGTAGGTACAGCTAGTTTAGTTACTTTTAGAGGCATTAAAGTAAATTTTAGAAGAATAGAAGCAAGAAGAAAAGAAGAAAACACAGCAATGCCACCACGCATCTCGAACAAATGTTTCATTATTCTTATTCATCATTACCATCCTCCTGGCTAAGTGCAGATAAGTCTAATAATGCTTTGGAGTCATTGTAATATATATTTATCTATTTATTATAGGGTTGGTTTATACTTTTATGAACGGCCACAAGCTTTCAGTCCATACACCTTGGCAATGCTATAAATGTAATTTAGCCGTTTTCTATATGTAGTGAAATTTGAAAAAGGGTAGGCACGAGTGATCTATGCAGGTCTGTTACAGGTCTTACCTCAGGCACCAATAGCCCAAAACCATCAATAAAAAAATATAGATGCATTACACAAACCTGCAGATAGAACGACGTTTTTTGTACACGACGTATAAAATGGCTGCAATTATAATAACGGCAAATAATACTCCAACTGTAACACCAGTACTTGAATAGTTATTCGGCATTACCTGTAATATAAACGATTATTAATCACCAGTGAAATGCTCCAGCTTCGCCTGAGTGGTCATACTAGAAAATTTATGTGTTTATTAATAGATATATTTTAGCACAGATAAGATAATATTACATAATAATAGTTATAATATTTAGTGCCAAACTAAGCAGTGCTTATGTTATGGGTACTAGACAACAGATACAATAATTTAAATACATATTTTTGATAACATTAATTTATGAATTACCTATTATATATAGAAAACACCCAAAATAAAAAATAATATTCGTGAATTCAAATATACCTAGGTACCGTGCGAGGAATCGATCCCGCGACCATTGGAAGTAAAGCGGTGTGCTAAATAGCTAGACCATCGACGCTGATTGTATTCGATATTCAACCAAAAGAAAACTGATCTTAGAGTTCAGTTATAAAAGTTCCAGTGCAACGGCTATGACTAATGCGAGTAGTATAAAATTAACGTATTATTATGTAATATTATGTTATCTGTGGTATTACTTACTAGCTGTGCCTGCGGTCTCACCCGCGTGAAATTTGTATGCCTTTTTGTTATTCTGATGTATAAGCTATATTATTGTAAAGTTTCATTAAAATCCTTTCAATAGCGTTTGCATCAAAGAGTAATAAACATCCATCCTTAGTTACATACTCCCACGTTTATAATATTAGGAAGATAAGCTACGGTGTCTCCGTGAAGGTGAGGTCTCTCCGTGAAGCCTGTGAAGACACCATGAGGCTTCTGCGCTTCTGGGAGGAGCTTGGTTGGCTACTATAGTAGTCTCGGCTCTACACGCACAGAGGCCCAGATGAGGGGCTAAATGCGGAGAATAGAGTCCATAATACAATACAAAATATGATCTCTTACCTTCTTATCGTTTAGTTTACAGAATGTCTTTAACATGTAATCTTGGATGTCCGTTACATATTTTTTAGTTACGTTGCAATCATTTCTGGGTATGTTTTGTATACATGCTTTAATCTCAACTAAGTAATTACAAGGTTTTCTCTGTAAACAAATATAAATAATAATAATATAACACTTTATTGTACACAGAGAAAATTAAAAAAAAAGTACTGAATGTAAATATGCTAAACAAAATGCGACATTGTCGCTCAAAGTAATCTCTTACAGACAACCTGGGAGAACAAAGATTTGTTTAAAGGAAAGGTAGGTGGTGCCTATAAAATATATATAATAATGTAGCACGGGGGGAAGGAAGTTAGTTTAGTAACGTGGTATAACGATCCCATTGCTAGCAATGAACCATGTCAGGTTGACCTCCACGCGGTTCCCCCTGGACACCATCACGTTTAATTCCTGGTGAATTTGCAAAGATGGGCTAACAGACCTGACCTCATGTTCATCTTATTATCCTCCGCTGGTGCCCCACCAACGTATTCCATTAGAGCAGGCGGGAGCACCATTTCATTATCAGGCATTAAAAGATTTTTTTATTTATGGTTTTTTCATTACCGGAAAAACAAATGTAGCACGAATGTTAAATTAAATAGACAGAGAGTGTGAAATGTTGATATTATGGTCAAACCAATTGACATGACTACATTTTGTTGAGAATATAAGAAGGCAGCAGAGGCGATTATGTCGCCGTCTCTTGAATTAATTTTATTTATTTAACATAGAAGTATAGAGCAATTAGTTACCGTCCTTAAAACCTATATTTATATACCTAATATAGGTTATTATTTATAGGTTTTACAAATATTCTATTACAACATAATTAAACAACTTACATCAAACAGTAGTACTTTAGTTATTTGAATCAAGCTGTATGATATATTTCTCTTAAAGTCCTCTTGAATCTCCAAGCTATCGTTTACGCATTTCAACATATCCGAATACATTTCTTGTGTACATCGTGTACCGTTATTAACCATTAATTCTGTAAGTAATAAGTTTACTTACGATAATTGAATATACACATACAAATATACTAATGCAGTGGTTAAGTTATAAGAGTTTGGATTTATTGAAGTTTAGGGTAATCTCCGGTACTAATACTCCGATTTTGAAAATTCTTTGACATCAAGCTACGACCAATAGGAGCGGAGCAGCAGGAGATCGTGAAACATATTTAAAATCAGTAAAAATGTAACGCGATTCCCCCTGACCAGATATTTAACCTATTATCATCCTCTAGTGCCCCGACAGCATGAACTATTAGCGCAGACGGATGCTCCATTTTTTTATCATCTATTACAAGAAATACCTTTCCCACAAATTAGAGGTATTGTCAACAATCTACGTGGTGGTTAAATTATAAGTTTTATCCTACAAGCCCACATTTATATCCTTAGTATATTTGAATTCAACGAGACAGTGAACGCCCTCTAACGGCCTTATTTTATTTTTCCATTACGGTAATATCAATAAAAAAATATAAATTGATGCATAAAGTTTCAAGTTTACGACATTTGCGGAATAAGTCGGCATAATATTGAATTCCCGAATTTGAATTTATAAATCTGTATTATTGTAAACATGTGCAACCATATTTGAAAAGAATACGAGCTGAGTTTCTTCTCAGTTCTCATTTCGAGAGCATTCCGAACTGACGGTAATGCCTATAATAGAGCTATATGAATAAAGATATTTTGATTTGATTTGATTTGAATAGACTAGGCTGCGACGCTCTCTCAATTTCAGCATAAAGAAGAAAATTTTTAAATATTTTGTTACCGTTCAGTTTTTCCTTTTTCAAAGCCACTGTGAAAATATCTTTCCTTATTCTTGTAGACTCATTCAATACCTGCATATATTTATCATTATATTTAACGCACTCATAAAATGAATTCAGTAGGTCGTCAAATGTTTTATTGACATCTTTTCCGTTGTTGCAAGTACTGAAACAAAAACGTATTAATTAGACTACTACTATTTACATTAGTAATCGACTTCAAAAAAGTAAGAGTTTCGAATTAAGTGTCATTTTGTATGTTTGTTACCTATAAAGTTAAGCCTATAATATACCAAAGGTATGCTGTAAATGATTACAGCACAACTTTTTTTAATTATGTAAGTATACCGTACCGTACCAATATCTAAGTTTAAAAAGTTGTGATTCAGTAACAACAACTGTAGTAACAATTCAGAATACTTAATGCAGCGTCATCATGTCCCAAACCAATATGAGAAGGTACTATACAACAGGTAGAAATGCTTTAATTTAATAGTTCCAATGAAATGCTTATCTTCCGATTTTATTATTAGATGAATAAACGTTTGCGGGATGAGCTAGTACACATATAGCTAGTACACATATGTATATGACATATGTGTACAAGCTGATGCCGTAAACGTTGTTATGCTATATAAACTAAAATTGCTATTAAAAATTAGGCTTGAGCTAGAAGAGCCAAATTTAGTTAGGTTTAGATGTATTTTTCAATGCTAAATCATAATAAATATTATGTCAAAAAATAAAAAATATTTTAGGGGTGGACAACCCTTAATACTGGTATGAAACTTACTTAATAATGGTATGAAAAATAAATAGCCGATTCTCAGATCTACTTACTGAACATGCATATAAAATTTCATAAAAATCTGTCAAGCCGTTTCGGAGGAGTATGATACGAGAATTTTATATATAAGATTACGGTTTCCATTATATAATAATAATAAAATAATTATGTTAAACTATGAAGTGCTTTTGTATATATGTACTTATTCACAACTAAACGGAGGATCGAATCTTAATGAAAATTTACGCCAAAATAGATTATTAGCCTTACCTTAAGTCTTAGAACTCTTAGATCTCAAATAAAGCAGACCAGTTGCTATAGCAGCTACTTTTTAATATACATATCTGATTTATGTGAACAAAGGTCCGGTAAAGTATATAATAATAAACTTACTTAACAGTCGTATTTCCGTTAATGTAATCTGTGACACATGTCTTTATTTTTATTCTGGTATTCTGAAATGAAACAGTTAGTCATTAGGGCTATATTAGGGTTGTCTCCGAATCACTGTAGAATGCTAATATCGACATCGCGACTTCAGCAATGGAGCTCGTAGGTAATTCCTGTTGTTTTTAGTGGGCTAGATCGGACGACGACGACACGAATCTAGCCCACGGACGACGGGGGGATGGTTTTTGAAGATTTTTCCACACTATAAAAAGGGCTATACCAGGGTTGCCAACCTCAAAACATCTTGTAATTAATGATAATGGTATAGTGCACTCGTCTGTACTAATAGTATATGCTAGCATAGCACTAGTAGGTGATGATAAGACGAGTATGAAGTCAGTCCACTATGCCGAAATCACCAGGAATTAACCATGATGGTATGGTATACAGGGGAACCACGTACAGGGCAATCTCATATGGTACTTTATTCTCAATAGGGCCAATAGTCCCCAACGTGTTGGTAACACTTACCTTTCCCCCTATAGGCAGTGTTACTACTTTCTATCGAGAGGGCCGTTAGCTTGTTTGCCATTCCAGTTACATAAAAATAATCCTGAAACTCGCTTATACTGTTTTAAGGAATACAAATAATAAATAGATCATGAATGTTAAAACCAAAGTACAGAAAGTTTTATAAAAAATCATAACAAAACTAAAACGCATTTAAAAATATAACTCTACCTTAATATTAGTGGAATTCCGAAAACACATACTCATTTCATTTACTTGAGTGTCATTTTTAGTTGTGTCATCGGCTTTTGCAACTGTGAATAAATGAATCTTAATAGTAGTATTAAACAATGTTAGATACAATGAAGCAAATACATGTGAAATTCTAGTAGCACATTATGTGTACATTACATTTCAAATAAACTTATTTGAAATGTAATGTACACATAATGTGCTACTAGAATTTCCAGGTGTAGAAGTATATATATATATATTGTCTAGGTCTAGAAGTATATATATTGTCTAGGGGAGTTCCCCTAGACAATACAATTGAATAGATAAAATAGGTTTAAATAAAATCATTCTTCACAATATCATAATATACGTTTATTATTACAAGTTCTGTATTCTATGCTAACTTATTACTTACTAGTACCACAGATAATATAATATTAGTACTGTAGACTAAGCAAATAAAAACTTAAGGCTACATTTAAACTCCAGCAGGGTTTTCGGTATCGTTCCAAAAAGCAGCAGCTACTTACCACCGAAATTGTTATTAAACATTAGTAGGGTTGCGATGGAATTATCTTGTTTAAAAGGGAATATACAGGCTATAATAATTAGGATGTTCATCCTTTATGACGGTGGCTAGAGGTAGTAAACAAGGCGGTTATTCTATTGTTTTCAACGTTAAGTTATATACCTTACGCTTCTCTTAATAATGCAACGTTCTCCTATCGTCACTCACATACTGAGTGACCTGGTCACCTGATTTCAGAAACACAGGATTTTTTTAACTCGATATAAAATTGTAGTTTGAATTAACCTCCAAATAAAAAATAAATAAAAATATTGTTGCTAATAGTCATCACGATCACGCCTACTTTCAAATAAAAATAAAACGCATCATAATAAGTTTATTTGTTTACGAATTTAATTGTCAAACTTTTTTATTAAAAGAATTTAGTTTTGCTAACCATATTAATATTTATAAATGGGAATTTATCTTTCTATATCTTACTTTTGCAAGACTAAACTGCTGAAAGGGCCTTAATGTTTGAAGTGAAGATACATTATGTCGCGCACAAAGATGTGCATAGACAATATTTTATTAAAAGTATTTTGTCTTCTTTACTAGTAATACAGTGAAGTTAACAATCACATTAGTTAGCCTTTGTTAATTCTTGTTTTTTATTCTATCAGTTTATGCGAAAATGATTTCCTTGATTCTTGTATTAAATTAATACTAAGGAAAAAGTATTTAAAAATTGATTACGTAAATAACTTCTAAGTTTGTTGTATTCGTTGTCAACGACCACGCCCAGTTCAAATACATTCAGTATTGCAATTTTTATTATACAATATATGTATTTATATCATTTCATTGAATTCAGACTGTTCTACCATTATATAGCTAACTGCAATAAAATTAAAATAGATACTTACATGCAATTAATATTGTAACAATAAATCCAATGACTTTTGTTCGACACATGTTTATTGTACACCAATTGAAATATTAATAAGTAATAACGAACTGTGTACAATTAACACGACTGAATTTCCTCAACGCTTTAAATATACAGTGACGTATGCTGCCAGTCCTCGTACAGACAAAGATAAATAGATAGATAGGGAAATACCTCATCTACGAGTACATACATATAATAAAAATGTAACAAACAGATCTCTGTCTGTACACGTAGTAAAAAGTAGTCTTAGCAAACCTATTTCAGCCACAAAGCAGTTTGCTTTGTGATCTGTGTTTCTTTTTAAAGATAAGGGTAAATGTAATAAAATTAAAGAACAACGTATGAGTTGTATCTCGAGTAGTGTTGCCAGTTCCAATTAATTTTTAATCGGTACATGAGGTCAAAAAATCGGGAGTTGGGTTGCAGATTGGGACAGTAAACAAAAAACAAGAGGTTTTTAAACCTGGGTTTAATTTATTGCGTTTTAAACTACTAGTGCAAGTATAGTATTATATTTTATACCTAAATTAAATATGTATTTAATCTTTCATAACAAGTAATCAGTAACAATCACTTATCTAGTCGGACGAGTCCCTAGATCCTTGAAAATCGGAACGTCCCGCGCAAATTAGGACACCTGGCAATACTAATTACGAGAGTCATATGATAACATTGTGCTGTTCATCAAGTACATATATAGACGACGGTTACCACTTACCATCAGGAGGACCTACAACTTGTGTGCAGTTCCGATTAAATAATTTAAATTGAAGATATATAAGATAAACAATGTTATAAGAGGACTTTAGTAATGGAATAGAAACCATAACAATGATTGCTACACTTTTTGTCTATTTGTCTGAGCGTTTATGTGCGCCAATCCCAGAACGGACTTAATCGATTTGAGAGCCTAACCGACTTATTGAGATAAACTTATTTTGAGTACCATTATTTTGATAAAGTCTCCTAACAATATTATAGATGTTCTCATATATATTTCATCAGACAGCAATCAACTACATCTTATTTATTATTATGTTACAAAAGCATGTTGTACATTTTTTTAAATTGTGACTAAGTAGGTTTTTATTTATAACCATAATAATATAGACTATTTATTAAGAAATGAAGGAATCAAGACAGATTAGTAATATGTCAAAAAATCAAGAAAAAGTATACTAAACTAATTTAATATACTTAAGTACATGGCAAAATTTTCGTATTTGAAATGAATAAATCAATAATTAACTGAAAGCACATCTTAAAGGCAATTCAAATAAGTTATGCAAAATAAGTTACATAAAATATAATGTTGTATAAAGATAAAAATAATGTGTTATATATTCACTTTGATAAAGTTACACAGGTATTCAATTGTAATATTTGTGATTTATTTCCATGTGTTAGAAATAATGAAAAGTTTAGAACCAAAACAACTCAGAAAAATATTATTTTAAAAAATGCAAGCATTGACACTGGTATACATAAAGTTATGAAACAACTTACGAATACTCCAAAGTTACCTGCGAATAAAAATGGTGAATTACTTGATAATAGATATAGCACGAAACCATTAGAGAATACATCTCTAAAGTATATTTCACATCATAAAAATAAGCAAAACTATACGAAACCAAAAACCTTTGACGCAATAGTTAAGACGTATAAGGTAGCAGATACTAAGGATGTTTGGGGTGACAACATCTCTAAAAGATTATTTAAATGTGCATGTATTAAAAACAAGACATTTCAACATCAAATTCCAAGACAAAAATTAAAACGAAAAAGAAAACATCAAATAGCATTTCATAATACAATTACAAACCAAAATAGTGCAGGAGATAATGAAAGTTTTGAGTATAGTGAAAAATTCAAAAAGATGTCTGCTAATGGTTTGAAGAAAAAATATGATAATATGCAAAAGAAAATTTATCCTTATGAAGAACCTAAGAAAAATGTACGTTTTGATAATAAAAAGTCGTCAGTTAATTTGTATCAACATAAGGGTAATAAAAATGTAAAAGTAACTACAATAGAGTCATCTAAAATTGAATACTGTGTCTGTCCTAAAATTTATGAGCATGACTTGGAGACACAGCGTATTGAGAAGGTTAAATCATTTATTGGAAAATTGAAAAATCGTACAGACGATATTAAATTTGAAAAGAAACCAAAGTACACTTTAAAAGATCTTAATTCCGACAAAAGTTATGTAAAAAAATTTAATCGGTCTGAATTTGTTAGTACTAAAAATAATAATAGATCAAAAAATAATGAAATTACTAAGCATTCTGAAAAGAAAGATATTTTTAAAGCAATTCTGCCTCGTGAAGATGCGTATAATAATGACAATCGAAACAAAAATATATCTCGTTTCCTCAGTAGATGCCTACATAAACTGAAATTATGGAAGTTCACTATATATCAAGATGTAGAAGTGCAAAATAAAAGTGATCAAACAAGTGATCCTTTATTCGAAATGCAATTGAATTCACTTAATATGTGTATTTTAAATGACAACGAAATAAATGATAAAGTCAAAAGTCTTGGAAAACAAAAAAGTAAGCCACGCATTTGTCCTCCGCATGGTGTACGTAAGAAGCCTATTTTTAAAACGGAATTTCGTCCTACTATTGTACGTCTAAAAGCTTTAAATGATAAAAGCACTAAGTTTTTGGAAATTCCTCGTAAATACAGGGATATAACCGACAATATAAATCCTTATCAAAAAAATAATATGGCTTTTCGACCTAAATCAATGGAAGAACATAAGCAGCCATTATTTGAAATAAAACTAAATTCTAGCAATATGTGTGTTATAAATTCTAAAGAAATACAAAGAAAGTTGGTTGATGAACAAAAAAGAAATAATTGGCATAGAAATGTTGTCATGGAAGAGTATGAAAAAAATAAAAATCACGCATGTCAGTGTAATAAAATATTTAAACCATATAAGTTTTCAAAAGATACAAATGATAAAATACCACTGTGTACTAAATGTAAACAACAGCAAAGGTCAAAAATGATAAGAGGAAATGTTATGAAATCAAAACTTTCGTGCTTTTGTGCACAAGTCATAAGCAAATCTGAAAACTGGTCACAGTATAATAGAAAAAGGTATAGAAGAGGGTCTAAAAAGTCCCTATTTCATAATAGTTCAAACAGGATGATGTCCTCCCAGTCTACCCATATTCATAAACGAAATGGTTTGAATATAGATATAAATAATAAGACAATTGTTAATAATATGCAACATAACAACGCAAATAAACGTTGTGCATGTTGTGATTACGAAATTGCTAATAAAAGATCTTGGAAATGTACATCTATCTTCAAAAAATCACTCTCTGCATTTTTCAATTATCCAATTTCTTTACATAGATGTGAATGTGATAAAAAAAGAACAAAACAAGAATATTTAAAAATTAAACAGAATCATAAAAAAAATAATAAACGGAGACATAGAAAAAATACTTTAGCAAAAAAACGAAAGCAATGGCAAAAAATTTCTAATAAAGATAAAAAAAAATTTGAAAATGAAATGAGACAATATGACAAAATTAAAAAAAAGCAACAAAAAAAAGACTCTCAAAAGAGAATAAAAGGATCATCCTATGAAGGTAATTGTTTATTTGCTTTTTTGGAAGGTTTAATAAATATGCCAATAAAATTAATAAAATTAGTATTCAGTATAGTATTTACTGTAATTACAAAACCGAGAAGATCTTTAAGGTATATAAGGGACCGGATTAAAGATCCAATGGGTACACATGGAAGAATAAAAATGTGGATTGGTAAGGCTTGGCGCGTTAAACCGTTACGAATAGAAAAAACTTTGTCCGATTCAGAGACAATTAATATTTTGACAGACGCAATAAAAGATTCTGATTTATATCAGACATTCGCGTTTACCGGTAAGTCCCAAAAAGATAAACAGCAGATTGAAATCCAAAAGAAGGAAAGGAAAAGAAGGATAAGATTAAGACAAAACGAAGCTCTTTATAGCTGTCGCCATATGCTATTAACTACACTAAGAAATAAGCCTTGTTTATGTGTGTACTATATATGTCCCAATTTGTACCCACAATTTCTTGGGTTATTGTCATTTATGAGAAGTTTCTTTAATTTGTGCCTATTTTTAGTTGCTATTGCATGTTGGACTCCATGTATTATCTGCAGCGAACTAACTCGTGCATTATGTTGTTGCCTGTTATGTACACACTAAATTATTGATAAATAAATTAATATACTTCGTGAGGATAGTAAAATTAGTTACAGTTTTGGTATCGGTTTTGTCCAAAGTTATTTTATGCTAAGTTAAGCAAAGATATCTATGATGGTTTGAATAGTGGCTGAGCGAGGACAGTCTATGATATAAGTGTTTACTTCCTTACAATAGACAACCCATGTAACTGTTTCCTACTGATGCATACACCATAAGAAATATGTTTTTTTTCAAAATGGAGTTATTCATTGCCATTAATCAATAATAAAAAAAAACTGAATAGAGGTATATCGAAGCTGATTTAAATTTTATTTATCAAGTTTTCTAGCATAAGTCTATAACTACTTTCTTTTTAGAACAGCGAAAAGAGAATATTTATCTTAACTTTAATTAGAACAATATATTAGCAAAACATAAACGTACATAATAGTATTGCTAATATACATGGCGACCAAATTAAAAATGCCAAAAAAAATAGAAAGGCATGAACACTATTTTCACAAAATCTTATTACATTAACACACTGGGGATAAATCCAAGGACAATACTTATAAATACAAATAAATGGTTTTTTCCTTAGAGAAAGCATGAAATATCTGTGATGTTTATATTCTATAACCTTTTCTTCTTTTTGATTGCACTTACATCTTGCTTTGTAGCAACAGGAAACTGGTTTACAACTTGGTCTACTCACATATTTCTTAACTTTTTTTGCATCACACTTGCTATTCATATTTTTATACAATTGCTTTCTAAATTTCTGATTTTCACATGAAAACAATTTATCACACTTTCGTATTTTGACACATGGGCTTGAACATGTGTCGTATTTATTTTGACTATTACATTTGCTTATATGCATATCTTCATCATAAACGTTGCATGTTGGTTTGCTACATGTATAGTTGTAACGTTTTTTATTTATTGCGCAGTTTGGTATTTTCGCCGACTGCATTTTTATTTTGTGTCCATCACCACATTGTTTTCTTATCATACAACAGGAATTCTTACAAACATCTCCATGTAGGTTGCTATTTTTATTTTGGTAAATTATATTTTTGCTGCATATATTTTCTCTATAACACATATTTATATCAGATTGAATATTTTTACATGAGTAACCCGACGTAAGACGTTCTCTTGTAAAAGTTCGGCATGATTTTCGAAAAACATCATCAGGATAAATTTTTAGTTCCTGAGAACTTTTGATTGTTCTCACAGAATTTCTAACTACGTGCTTATGTTTTTTTAATTTAGTCTTGTTTTTTAAATGTGTTGGCGTACAAAATTTATGACAATTACAATTTTTTATCTTGTAGAAATTTTGATTTCTCGTTAATTGTTTTTGTACATCTTGATTATCTGAACAATTTAAATGACTGGTAGTACCTGTCAGAAATTTATTTACATATTCATTATCGGTAATTTCGGCATTACTAACATATGTAATTGTTCCTTTTTCTGAAGTAAGATTGTGAAATGTCTTCCCGGTATTATTATTTTGAATTTGTACGTCTTTTGAACAGATTTGTGGTATATCCTTTTCAGAAAATTTTAACAAATTGTAGTGATGTGGGCTCATGTCGGTTTTCCTTATTTTCCTATTATTTGACATTTGATAGCAGTTGGATCCATAGAATAATGAAATACTAGAGTTATAATTTGTATATTCATTACATATTTGAACTGGATAGCAAAAATATTTATGATAATTATTTCTTAATGATTTTCTTCTAGTTTCTTTTCTGTGATGTTTCTCAATTGCCTTTTCTTGACACTTAATTTTGTACTCACAAAATGAGTTATGCATATCATTGCCCGTCCATGGTATTAGAGACTTAATATGATGTTTAACTTTTTTCCTTAGTTTTAATTTTTTTGCTGTTGCGTAAATTTTGCAACCAAAGGCATCGTACTTGTTATTTGAAGTTTTATTAAATCTTGATTCAGTATGTGATTTCATATTAATTTAGTTATTTCCATATTATATTGAGTTATTTTCAAATACAAACATTTGATCTAATCAATTATGTAGACCATATTTTAATTGGATAAGTCATTAACTATAGTTTAATCTATATATTTCTTTTCGGTTCATTCGACTTCATCTGATTCAAAGAATTTAAAATAACAATTTCAAGTTCTTTTAAATACACTATTAACTATATAAAATATTAATAATTTGCGAAGTTTAGTCCAGGTAAAGGCAACATTTGTAACCTGAAAATGTTGAATAAATGATGAGTTAATTTTGATAAGCTCTTTACTGATATATAGATTAATTATAATATAGTAATCAAATTTTTAATTTTGTAACATAGCTATACATTTCATATAAGAACATTATTATAAGATATTATAGAACGTACCTAATCAACGTAATAATAATTATTTGTGTGGCATCTAGGTCTTTCGTATTATAAAACAGCACATGATTGACAATTTTATAACATAACAACAAAGTATGTGACTAATACTAACTAGAACTAAATAATAATATAAAATAACTTAAACTAAATACTGTCTACACCAGTACATGTCATAAACGTCAGCCGTATTCGATAAAATATATTACGAAGATGGCTAAAAAGGAACATTGCCAGTTGCCAGATATTTTTAATAAGTATTTCGTCCACAGAAACATAAAAATATTATAGATTTTGTTATTACAAAAGATTACAGAGCATCTTTAGTAAATTAGTGCTGATATAATACACGGTAATGATAACTAATTGTACTGTCTTTAATTACAAATAACGGTCTCGTAGTCTAAAAGTTTGGCACACCACTTTACTTCCGATGATGGCAAGTTCAATTCCTCGCATGGTACAAACATTTGTATTCAAAATTATGATTGTTAGTATCGGTCTGGTTATTTTCTTAGTATATTACGCTTCATTTACAAAAAATATCTAAATTATGTATAATTTGTATAAAATATCAGTTGTCATGTCAACCAAAGCTCTGCGTACCTTAGAACTAAATGGCGCTGTTAATTATCCAGGTGTTACTATTATGGCCACAATTATTAAATTACAGTTTCACTCAAAAGTCTATAATGTGTATAGATAATAATAAATATACTCGAATATATACTCGAAATGTGAACCTTTACATTATAGAAAAGGTAAAAAACTGCTGTAATTTTTCTGAATTTTGTATCAGATTAATTCTTGTAATTGTCATAAAGCCTGTCTTAATGTATACATATATAATTATGTGTATTATATATATTATATATTTATTATCTACATTCAGAACTTGGAGGGGATTAACTATTAACCCTGTTTGGCTTAACAGCATATGCTAGTGCACGATTCCATCATAATCCATAGAAAAAATATATAAGCACTAATACTATATACAAATATGATATAGTACCTATCATATCTGATTTTAAGCTAAACCTACATGATCATGACTTGGGTTAGATTTAATTGCCATATACCTACCTAAGAATAACGAGTAACAATTTCTGTCCTAATATTCTCTTTCAATGTAGTGAGTATCATTCCACACGGAGCGGTTCTTTGACACTCTCGGGCTATATAATCCATTACACCTGTTCCAGAGATCCTTGCGTCCAGACGCTCTATACCAGCACATCCGGTCTTCATACCGAACAATTTCCTGTCAGATTCAAACTGAATAGAAGTTACAACGATCTGAGTTGAAGTTCAAATCCCTGGTATAACCAATGATACCTTAGAATAAAGTCATTTTCATCTGACAAGTGAAGTCGTTCGTTTGGCCGTTTGTCTCCATTAGGTTTAAAGTTTCTGTTCACTAGCTCCCATTTTCATCCGGTGAAGCTGTAAAGGCTACCAACAGCCAACAATATTAGGATAGTTAATATTAGGTATATTTGAAATAATTTCATTATGCAATGTATACAGTAAGAAGTGGTTTAATTTTATACATGTTTATATTGTATAATATAAAATAAAAAACATTAAACAATCATTGGAAATAATACAATGTGGTCGTCAAATTAGTGATGGGAAAGCTGGTTAAAGATTCGTACATATCTAAACTCGATAAGTCACCAGTAGTGTCTACGTAATTATTACCATCCATCTTCAAAGTAGACGACGTCATCAGGTCTTGATCTGTATCCGTGTCGTTCCTTGAACACTCTGTGATATCTCCTGGAGTGGGTACGAATCTCGCAGCAACCAAAGGCTTGGCTTTAGCATACCCGAGGCTGTAGAAAATCTTATCAAGAACACCAGTGGCTCTAAATATTAAGAAAACTATAACGATAGCAAGTCCAGACATCAGACAGTCACATGTGCCTCCTCTATTGACCGGACATGGTCCGCCGCCTCCGCACATAAAACATTTGAGTCTCGCAGTTAGTAAGAACACAAAGCAAATGGGTAAAAGGGATATCATTTGGAGCATGAACGATATGAAATTATATATGGTCTGTAGCACCATTCTGATGACGTTCTCGATCATTAAAATTAGGGTCATGAAGACCCGCACCAGCATTTGTACGCCGCATATTCCGGTTTGTAATACAGCGTGAACTGTTCGACACATATTTGTCAGGGAATCTGAAATTATTAAATTTCGCTTAAATTACTTTTAATCATACTCGTAATATAAAATTATTATATTCTGAGTTATAGTCAGTATGAATGCGCACATTATCGAGTTCAAAGTTTTGGCGAAAAAATCAATCATATTATTTTAGTTAAGAACTCGTACCTACAAAAATATAAACCCTATAATTTAACAAAACAGTTTTTATGGTAATTATATGATTGAACTTGTCATAATAATGATAAACAAAACATCATAGCTATTTATTTTATTAAACAGCAATGCCAAACAATCTGACCTCCCACCTGATGGGAAGTGGTATACGTCGTTTATACAGATATCACTTAATATTACGCTTGAGATGCCTTTATAACTAAGGCGTCAAAATACAGTTACATACAAATTAGATAACGAAGATGTTATGGTTATCCATACCAAATAATTTCACTTTTTTATTATATTGCCAATCGGGCGACTTAAACAGGTGAGGCAGAGGTATGTAAAAAATTGATTATACAAAGTTTTATACTAATACGATGTTTAATACGAAAGAAACTGTGGCTATCCAAGCTACATTTCCATGGGCAATAACAATATGATAAACTGCCTGCACTCCACATAACATTATTTATTACATATAATTTACCTGTTTATTCTGTTAAGTCTATTCATTTATATTATTTTAATTAGGTACTGCATAAATGCAAGAATATAAACGTTTAAATAAACTCGAAAATCTTGTTAAGTTGATTGTAATATCATTGGAATAAAAAATACAGACTAAACAAATTTGTCTATGACAAATTTAAAATCGTTATCTTTTAAACGTCTTTATTTACGGCCAGTAGAGTTAATTATATAAGTCGAAGTGTAAAGTAAGTATTAGAGTATTGTTATAATTTATTTATTATGAAAACAAATAAATACTTTATATTGCACTTGTAGAGTATTCATCATCATCATCATCGCAGCCCGGAGAGTATATATAGTATTGTAGAGTATTACCTACATGAATATTGAAAATAATGTGAGCAACGGTTGACTAATTTCTGAAAGAAAATTCTTCGAGCCAACTTAACTCTGTGACTTACCTATAATTTATAATAATTAGCGGGCAATGGTAGTGGTAATGGCACAAGACAGACGACATAAATATAATAGATATAGTAGCGGTATTCAAGAAATTTATATAATAAAATAATAATATTATATACAATAATGAGATATAAATATTTAGCGGCTACGTTGGAGCCGCTGTTATTTACGTTTATTGTGTATTCTGTTCATGTAGCAGCAACACCAGGAGGAGGCATATGAATAGAGTACCAGTCGTGCCTATTTACATATTTAGGTATATTAACGAAGTATTTACAGTAGATACCTACATAAGAAGTATATTTACAAAAGGCGATTCTGAATCGAATAAATATTTCTTGCTCTATCGTAACTAGGCAACGGTATTGCCGCACGATGATAGTAAATTCGCCACAAATATATATTTTATGTATTGAAATAATTATAAATTAAGAAATTTTATATAAAAAATAACTGTCCTTATCAAAGTAATAAATATACCTACATATGTAAATAAACAATGACATATATATAGAATACAATGGTTTCCAAAACGGGGGGGAAAATAAATTATATTATTCATTGCGTTTGTACCACTACCATTTTGTGGTTTATTTAATGTTTCCTCGTCCACTGATCCCTAAACTGCTCAATCTCCATTTAGTCACATATCACGTACTTACAGCTTAACTGGATTATTAAAAAATAGTCTTTAAAATTGTATGTAATAAAGTCGATTTTCCAAAATTTACAATTTTTCAGTTCTTACAGTTTAGTTTTAAGCGTTTGTCATACTATTATTAGACAGATTCTTGTTTCTCATACTATTATTAAACATATTATTAGACATATATGATATACTATGTCTATTCGATGAATGAAACTGTATCACAGTTTTATTATTAGTTATCTTATGTATATTTTGTATACAGTGGGTATGTGTCACGAACATTTGTCGCCAAACAACACTGGCAGCTATATCGGTTTGTGACATAATAATATCTCAGGACAATTCACATCAGTTGTCGACATGGCTATATGTGTGACAATTATTTGGAAGCTATTTCTCTCTTTGAAAATATCCCAGGACAATTCACATATCTAGTCCCGAGCTAAGCAGATCTTGTGTTATGTACTAGACAACTGATATAAATTCATAGATAGATTTTTGTAAATATATACCTACATAATTTATATAGAAAACATATAAATATATGTGGTCTCGCACATGCTAATGGTAACGGAAAATAATAGGGGTCAAAAGTGGCTCCAAATGGTTCGTGTAAAAGTACACACGGTGCTGCTCGCCAGTTCTCTTACCTACTTGAACTTGGCTTCGACACGCTCCCGCGTATCTATAATAGATAAATTTATTAATGTATGTATAATATATGTATAATATAATAATTTTTCATTTTTCTTCAGTGCACTTTTAAGTAAATGTAATTTTCGTAGTAATTCCACGTATTGTTAGGAAAATAATTAAAAAACTTAAAATGTTAAAATATTTAATTGAATGTAACATGCCACACGTTAATAATTTATTAAATAAACTATATAATTATAATAATATCAACATTATAGAACGTTTACAATATATTTGGTGCACAATTTTGCTTGTTGTGTGCTATAGTGTGAGTTGTGTGAATGTCAATTTAGAGCTTGTACGCTTGACGCATCATCAGGTCGAAGTAGCAGTCATTGTCGATTGAAACGCTGATCCCGCTGTAGTAGTTCATGAACTCTTCTAGAGTCACCTGCAAATATTCGAAATTAAATTTATGTTATGAATATTCGTGCAGTTGGTGTTTGTATTCCACGTTTCGAATTACAAATGTAAAGTTACAACGATTGTTTAAAAGAGGAACACGCAAGTTTCTCATTCATCTTGTGATGAGACAGCTTTCCGAGTAATCGGTAGATTAAAAGAAGGATAACTATGATTATTCAAAACTGCGCTACAGTTAAGTTCATTTCAATAAATGATTTCTATACTTGATGGTTTTTAAGCTAAAGACAATTTATAGATTGCCATCTGGACTTGATGGCGATGTATGAATTGTCCTGAGCTAAAAGCTAAACAGCTTGTGTTATTGTTACTAGATAACTGATATATATACTTAAATATATTTTTTGTAAACATTTAATATACATAGGAAACACCCAGAACAATACAAATAATCATACACATGATTATTTGTATTGTTAATTTTTGTATTATGCGAGGAATCAAACAAGCGACCATCGGAAAGCAGTATACTGAACCGCCGAAGTGAGTTAATTGCCGGAGATTGTTATCCAAGATTAGGTGACAATCAAGTAATTTTTATTTTATATACATTTTTATTCAGAAGGCTAACTGTCGACACCGTGACTGCAACATTTGAATACCGGAATATTTGGTTCTATCTTTATAATTTGAACCTAATGGAATGGTGCAATCTCCTGCATTAACAGTTACGTTAGCGTAGTACCAGTGAATATGATATCATGAGAATGAAGTCAATTCAGGTTTAGGTATTATCCAACTATTGATTGTCTAACACAAAAGCAGAAACAGGCCGCTATCTCTTAATATGCATCCTGCGGCTGTACTCTGTTGATGTTGTTGATGATGAGGTATACCTAATTTCATCCAATTTGATGGAGTAACAAACATCCATACATCGATCCGCACAAAAAGACTACGAAAACATTTAAAATGGAAAAGGAAAGGAAATATAAAATAATTTTAAATACATTCAGTAACATACATAATATATTGTGTATTCATAATAATAATATTGTAGTTAATAAATAATAAAGCAACAGGAAAATAATTAATGTCTGTATTTGTCCATAACATGAGCATATCTGTCCAGACAGAGTTATTAAAATATATAATTACAAAAAAAGTAATATTTAACAATACATAAGTTTCAAATACATCAACTACTCGCCGGCCCTTCGTATGACAGTGACTATTATAGGGATCTCCCTAATTGTTTAGAAATAAATCATTCCGACCATATTTCTCGTAAATTGTACCTACGGTTCAGGTACTCTGTACTCATGCGCTGTCAGCATTATTTTCATAGTGCATCGATTCAGTCATTACCAAAATTAGTTCACGTTTGATCAACAAACATACCGCGTGTGCTTATGTACCATTTTACCATTAATTATCACTAGCTGTTCCCGCGACCTCGTCCGCGTGGAATTTTAATTTATTTTTCTAAAATAAAAGTAGCTTAAGTCACTCCATATTACATCAGCTACCTGTCAAAAACAGTCCCGTCAAAATCGGTCCAGCCATTTCAGAGATTAGCTAGAACAAACATACCGACAGACAGACAGACAAAAATTGTAAAAAATGTTATTTTGGTGTATGTACCGTATTATATTCATATGCATGTAGTAAAAAAACAGTTATTTCAATATTACAATGTATAGATTATATGTACAGATAATCGAATAAAGTCTACATATCCTTTTCACTTCTATCTATATATCTTCTATATGACTATCTTATATATATATATAGTACATTAGATTATATGTGCAGTGTAACAAAACCGTATATTTTTTTGGGTCTTTCACCCAAAAAAATTTTATTTACATAAGTATTTTTCAATTTATCCATTACATATTTAGAAAATTAATTAATACCTACTTCAGAATCATAAAGTGTACATTATTAATATAGTTTTCTAATAATATAGCTTTGACGGACGCGGTGGTCTAGCGCTCTAAGACACCCCTTTACTTCCGATGGTCGCAGTTTCGAATCCTCGCACGGTGTAAACATTTGTATTTATGAATACGATTGTTTATATCGGTCTAGGTGTTTTCTATGTATATTTTGTATTTATTTACAAACACAACATATATTGTACCTACACCAAAAACTTTATCACATTTCTAACTTCCGGTGACAACAAACCAAATTACTCCAACACGCGGTAGGCTACTACTCGACTTATGCTACTCGTATTTTATTATTCATTAGTGAAATATACTTTATAATTATTAGTAAAATAGTTATAATTATTAATAAATTATTATTAGAAAAAATATTATTACGGAAATTTATCAATTTAAGTACAATCTTCTCGGGGTAAACCAGTGATGTGTGTACTGTTCTAATTTTGCACTAAATCAAATGAGATTATGATGTCTAAAATGAACAGTTATTTTTAAACCTTCGTGTTTATTACACACTATTTATTACACGTCTAGTGACGTAAATACCTTTAGGCTTATTAATTATTAATATTATAAATGTGAAAGTAAATCTGTCTGTCTGTTTGTCTTGCATTCAAGCCAAAACTACTGAACCGATTTAAATGAGATTTAGTACACAGATAGTCTGGATCCTGATAAAGGACATAGGCTACTTTTTAATCCGAAAAATTTTATTTTTATAATTAGCCTAAATAATTAAATAATAATTTAACTCTATTATAAATTATTATAAATATCACACTTACACTCTTTATTTATAACTCTCACTATAAACTATTCGAAGCGAACGAACTCAGGGGCACAGTTCGTTTACATATAATTATTTGTGTTAAGACCCGGTTACCACCATAAATTAACTAAAGGGTATTATAAAAAGCACTATACAGTCCTCGAATAGTATTAGGAATTTCGGTTACGCAGACACAGTCAAACTTTAATTAGTTTAATTTTTTTTTACATGACAATGTAATTTACTAACCTTGCCGTCAATAGATCCTTCCGATTCAAAGTTCGCCAGGAACTTGTTCAGTATAACATCTGCGGTTTCTTCGCCACTCATGTATCTGAAAATAAGTGATCAATTCATGACTTATGAGTTTAAAACAAAACAAAAAATTACCAGTTCCCAAGTATGGCTGTATTTCTTAAATTAGGATAAGTTTAGTAATATTGTAAATATCTTTATCTTGTAATAGTCAGGTTAGTTTAAATTAGTTTTATGCACAGGTAACATAATATTACATAGTTTTAAGTAACCCGCACTAAGAGGCTTGTTTGTAACCCAGCCATCAGGGGGTTTTCTTTTAATAGATGATAATAGAATAGTGCACCCGCCTGCGCTAACGGTTTATGCTGCCGGTGCACCAGTGGACGATGAGCACGGCATCAGGTCAGTTTGCCCACCGTGATGAAATAACCAAGAATTAACCACGATGGTTTCCTGGTGTTTTCAATGTATATTATGTATGTATTTACAAAAAAATGTATATTTAAATAATTATATCAGTTGGGCACTAGGCCCATAACACAAGTTCTGCTTACCGTGGGTGTTGGGATGTAAATGTTGGAATTCTACCGAAGTAGTACCAAAATGTAGGTGATAAAATGAGTGGACTGTATGTGTGATGTAAATCAAACAATGGATAGCAAATGGTAAATACTTATAATGAAGGTACGTGTACAAACGGTTGTAAGGCAAAAAGTGACAATAAAATTATATAAAAATGTGCAAAGAGTTTGCAACAGTGGGACTAGATGGCGCTGTGCTAATTGTCCACAGTTTTATTATTATTATTATATTGTTAATTACCTTGGATGCGAAGTGACAGAATACACTCCTCTGATGTCGTCTATGGTGATAGTGCCGTCACCTGTCTTGTCCAACTTCTTGAAAGCCTGCTCCACGATGGCCCGGCGAGAATCCGACATTGGTGGCTGAAAATATATTTATATATTCTGTACTCGCTGTCCTCTCGGTTTCACCCGCGTGAAATTTATAGCCTACATGTTATTCTTATGCATAAGCTTCATCAAAGTCCTTATTGTAAAGTTTCATCAAAATTCGTTCAGTAGTTTTTTCGTGAAAGAGTAACAAACATCCGAGAAGGCCTTTGAGGACAAACAAATACTGTATTTCTCGATATTGAGGGTGCTTTTGATCGCCCGACCATTTCTAATGGATTAATCAAAGATTACATTTATTATCACAACATCTACATATACATTCAATACAATTTGTACAAAGCAAAAAACAGAGGGTTCTGTGCAACAACAATATCAGACCGCATCCAAAGAGCACTAAACATCATAGTTAAATAACGAAAATGAATTATTAAATCCTGATAAAACAGTAATTGTTCCGTTTACAAAAAGGAAGAAACTTGACAAACTTGATTATAAAGAAGAATATTAGCTGTCAAGTACCTGGGCGTAACTTTCGACCAAAAACTGACATGGAACACACACATAGACAACATAATATTTTTAAATTATGGCTTTACACAGCAGTGGTGAGAAATGCCTGCGCTATCTGGTGGAGGAAAACCCTCCAATATACAGCCTACAGAGAATTAATAGATGAAAACATTACGCATTATTGGACTTGACGCCCCTTCCTTTATTATTATTACAAAGGAGGATATCTTGGCATGCCATAAAAACTATACTCGATATGAGAATAATATTATTTGTACAATATTACAAAATCGAAATATCTGGAAGAGACGAATGGCAAAATAACCATAGTCATTAGTCTGGTTTGTCCAAAATAGGAGATGATGTAGGATGTGGAAATTTAAAACCCAAAATTACTATATATGATACGCCTCAATCTTTTGACCATTAATGGAAGTAATCCTAAGCCTCAACTACATCAATCAGAACATATACATTTATGGACAGACATAGATAAACGTTCTAAACTTATTAGAAACTGTATCCTGCTACTATGTAAATGAAGTAGGAAACAGACATAATATGTCCCCGGGCATTCAAATATTGAAGGCAATGAGAATGCCGACCATCTGGCAAAGTTAGGGGCAAAAACCGTCCAACTGGGCCCCGAACCCTTCTGTGGTATGCCTCGTTGCCTAATATGGGACATCTCAAATTAATAACCAAACGAGAAGCACTGAATCACTGGCAAGAAATGCCAGGATTAATACATTCAAAAGACCTTATATCGACCAAATACTCCAATCGATTACTGCTATTTATTATTGAACTAGGGCCCTCACAGGACACTGCAAATTGAACAAGCATAGGCCTATGCACGACTAGTATCTGCAGATTCTGCCAAACTGAAGAGGAAACGCCGCTTCACATCTTATGTGGTTGTAGCCCACTCATGCATAAACGAAATATCTCCTTTGGAAAGTTTACACTCTTTCCCGAGGAGATAAAAACGATCGCTCCTAAGAATATCCTTCAATTCTTGTCCCTGACGGGTCTAGGTAGCGAACTCTGAAAAGGGCGAGCACAATAGATCTATGTATCGCGGTGCTACAGGTGCTACACATCTGACAACAGCCCAAACAACCCAAAAAAAAAAAAAAACAAACATCCATCCATACTTACAAACTTTCGCGTTTCTAATATTAATAAGATTACATTATTATCACAACATCTACATATACATTCAATACATGAAGAAAAAACTTTGTATCCCTTATAACGAAAATTACGCGGACGAAGTTAAGATTATAAAGAGAAATAGTGCAGAATGCTAATATTTTTAAATTATGCACAAAAAATATATTAAATTAATAGAAAAACATTACACATGACTATTATTATTACAATCTATGTTAATTGAGAATAATATTATTTGTCTATAGTCTTACTGAATTTAAATTAATTATGATCGAATTTTGACCAAATAGAATTGGTAGATGGAGACATAGATAAACTTTTATTTGCGTTAAAGAATAAACACAAAGTACATTATTAAATAGAAAAAGATGCAAAGTAAATATACAACTACATTGTAAGTTAACAATCTTATTATTAATATTATAAATGCGAAAGTCAGTATAGATGTATGTTAGTTACTCTTTCACGCAAAAACTACTGAACCGGTTTTGATGAAACTTTACAGTAATATAGCTTCTAATACAGTATTTAAATTTAAACCGCGGGCACAGCTCGTATACAATATAAGTGCAAGCAAAGTATGAGTAACGTAGTGCATGTGCATCGCCTATATGCAAAAAGGCACCACCTCAGTGTGTTGTTTGCTCGAGCAACATCCCTGATTTTTAGATATTGTACAGAGACATACGCGATACTGTTGAAAGTAGTGCAAATAAGATTAAAACTGAATCAATACATTTAATTCAATTGTTAATAATGTGTTTTTTTTTCAAATAATATATTTATATTGGAGTTGGTGTTATAAAGAGGGAGGGAGAAATGACAAATGATGCATACCCGTATCTGAATGAGGAATTCATCGAGGCTGATCGAGCCACTGTTGTCAGTGTCGAATTTCTTGAACAACTCCTGCGCATCCTGTAATATCCAAGTTTTCATTTTATTCATCCAATTCATTCACAAATTATGACATTATGTCAGAGTCAAGAGCAAACAAAATTTGTCAGTTATTACTTTCTGAGTTGAAAAGGGCATTTATAATGAAAATATGAGTATTGAAATGTTGTTAGTTGTTGTGAGTTGTGTGTGTGTTGTGTTAGTTGTGTGTGTGTAGTAGCTGTTGAGAAAGCAATCCACACATTTATGAATATGGCAACTTTATTAGTCTATGTTTGATGTAGAATTATGCTCTCTGGTTCCTGTCTGATTTTTGTAATAAGTAAAATATGTCGTCTCTGATAAGTTTTGTAATTTTAAATATAAATAAATACATAAATATTAATAGTGTGTATAAATATAGTAATAATGACCCACTAAATTACTTCAAAATTAATAGTATCAATAACAACATAGGTCTGATTTCATAGAGAGCTCCGGTTTAAGATGGATATTGATATGTTGTTTATATTTGTGTGTATGTAAATACAACAATAAATACACGACAAATAGAATAGAAATAATTTTAAACTTAATATAAGCACTTTTGAATAGTATTTTTTTTTATTCTACCGCTCATTCGAAATGCATATTCATCACAAGACGAATGAGCACATGCTCATGTATTGCTCTTATAAATAAATATTATTCTAATTATATTTACATTAACAAGAATTAGGCATGCGAGAACCAACATAGAGACCGTCAAAAAACATAGAAATCCCTGTTCAATCAGATAACATTGTCAGCGCTATGAATTTTGAATTCTTCAATTTTTTAAGTTATATATTTTCTACATTTGAAAAACATTATTATTATTTATAAATAAAAATCTAATTCAATTTTATAATAAGCTATTGAAAAATTAAACAATGACAGGTTTACTAGTAGACCCAGCAGTCAAATGTATGTGCCCCATGTATAGATGAAATAATATAAGTATATACATATATATACATTATACTATTGCATCTATGTTTGCAGTGGTTATATGATGAGAATGTTTACTTAAAATGTTTGAGTTTGCAATATTCTCTTTAATTTTATATTAAATAGTAACGTTTCCACTTCTATATTTTCTAAAGCAATTCTAATTGATTTGTGTATAAAACTTACGTCATTGCTTAGTTCTAATCCTGTTTCTTTAATGCCGTTTAGGAACTCTTCTTTGTTTAATTGCTTGCTGCCATCGTCGTCCATACGCCGGAAAATCCTAGAAAATGAATAAATTAAAAGAATTAAACGTAAAATAGTAGAAACATACTTAGATAAGATAATATTACAAAGAGCCTTTCTGAAAGTAGATATTGAACGCGCATGTGAACGCCCCTGGTGATTTAAGCGTCAATGGACTACTGAAACATTTACCATGAGATGGGCCAAATACTTGACTTCCACCAGTAATATAAAAAAAAACAAAGCGACGGAACTTTCTAGTTTTATACCTTAAACAGAATCGTAATAAAAATATTTTGCACTCATGGTGTTTATGCTATTGTTCTTAGTGTTCATGTCTATAGCTAACATTTCCCACCGTAGATACAGATATATATAAAATTAGATTTTGTAAGTACAAGTACTATGTGTACTTTTTTACTCTAAATTAGGTAATGTACAGTGTCATTTCAGTACAGAAACTCAGGTACCTCTCAGCATCACCTATTTCAGCTTATTAGGCTGAGAGACAGTGAAATTATAGAACATTAGCTACTCTCCCCGTTTCGTCCGGATGTACATGTATTATATATATAAACCTTCCTCTAGAATCACTCTATCTATTAATAAACAAACCGCTTCAAAATTCGTTGCGTAGTTTTAAAGATTTAGATTTTGGCATACATAGGTACAGACAGCGACAGCGACTTTGTTTTATACTATGTAATGAAGATGAAGAGACAAGACAATCAATCTTTATCTCAAATCTTTCTCAATTAGTTCTCAGGAATGGCAAATCAGGAGTGACATCATCGATGTTACATAATAAAGCTAAGTCTGTAGTGTTGTACATTTATATAAGCGACGATTACCACTTACAATCAGGTGGTGGTCATTAATAAAATCTCTGCTTACCTTGACAGTCCCATAATTCCTGAAGCACCACGAGATAAGCAGAGCAAACGTAATTTCTCCAACGGATCAGTGGTGTTGGCAAGGGCTCTGGAGCTCTTTTGCATGAGCTCCTCCTCCACCCGGGAGGAAGCCGACTGAGGTCTGTGCCATGCTACTGTAAACACGAAAATTGTACGCTGTATTATTGGAAATTGAAAATAAACTGTATTGCAGTGTTAAACTATTATAATTGTATGAAAGTATTGATTAATTGATTGAAGGTTATTGGCCTGGAACTGCTACACGGCCGTTTGACATTATTGTAACAGTCACTTAGTGGTAATTAGACATCCTTTTCCTTTATTCACTCCTCTATATATTTAAGAAATATTTGCCATATAGTACTTTTTTATGGATGATAATGGAATGGTTCACCAGCCTGCGCTAACGGTTTACGCTGGCGGATCACCAGTGGAGGATTATAGGATGATCATGAGGCCAGGTCAGTTAGTCCATCGTGACAAATTCATCAAGAATTTATCACGATGGTTTCCTGGGAGAACCGCGTGAAGGTCAACCTGACATAGTACATTGCTAACAATAAGATCTTCAGGCAACATTACTAACAATCCTGTTTCCTCCCGCTATATAGTACTTAAGTTACATAATATATATTACAATTCATTGGGTACTGCAAATTTTAATACCAAGGCCATTAACTAATGACCCGCCAGGATATATGTACTAATCGTCCAGACGGTTACATAACTTTATTATCATTAATAAAAAAAACTTTGTCATTTATTTACAACCATGGATATATTATCTGATACACTACTGCCACTGAAAATATGTTATGGAAAAACTACAGGTAATTAGTTTTAACACTTGTCTGAACCATAAAATAAATTCCATGTTTTCCACAATATAATGTATCAATGAGTATTTGGGATTATAGCGTCAAATATTAGATACTCGTACTTGTGATCCGTCTCAGTTTCGGACGGATGTATTACAAATCTTCGAATTTCTCAACGTGTTCTATACTACATCACGCATGTGTTATACATATAAACCTTCTTCTTGAATTACTCTATCTATTGTTGAAAACTGAATTCTAAACTGTTGCGTAATTTGAAAGATATAAGCGAATAGACAGTGGCGGCGCGGCGCCTTCATTTTATACTATCTAAAGAACAGACAAGAAATAAAAAGAAAAACTTTTAAATTGCCAATTTCCTGTCTTTAGAAGTTGGTTCAATTAATTACATATTGATGCGTACCTATATATTTATATACTAAACCTTCATCATGCAAATAGCACGCAGTTCAGCGAAACATGATTATCCAATTTCACTCTTTCGCTACGAAACAGTCACGCAATCACGAACCGTATTGTGATATAGTAACAATAAATACCAAATAGTTAGTTCCTTTATTTCTTTACTAGGTATAGTGGTAGGCATGTTACCTGCCTATCGACTTTTGTTAGTAAGCTACACGCTTATATTAATGAATTGACTGAACCTACTTTGTATCCATAAAACTTTTTTGTTTGTAAACCAATTTTATTTTATACAAAATTTTCAGTAAAGCTTATTATAATATGTTAGTGTAAACTGCACCCAAATCTGTGTTGCCGTTTCTGAGATTAGGGTGCTCAAACGCGCAGACAAATTAAACACAAATTCTATGTTGATAAATTTCGATTGTATATAATTCTATATTTATTCAGTTCTATGTTGATAAAGTCCCTAGCAATAATTTCTCATAACTCTTATGTAGATAGAGATCTCAGCGATTTATATATGTGTTCATTATACATACATACATACATATTGTATTATTTAGAAACCTAAGGAATAGTAACCATGAGGCGTTATTCCTATCTATAGATTACCCTTACGTTTTCCTATGAAGTGAGCCGTCAATATTTCGCCAGTCGCATAAAAAACTATCTGGTATTCTGAATATATACTATACGTATAAAAGAATAAATTAATTTTATTTTACCACTCTACTATTGTACGTAGTTACGTAATAAAAACTTTGTTTGGTGGATGATTAAAGAACACAAAAAATACGACCAAATAAGAACCTCCATTTTTTAAGACGGATATTTATTCCTAGATAGTGCATCCATACTTCATACGAAGTGTCGTAGTGTACTGCAGATAAATAATGCAGCAAAATGAACCCATTTCATGCTACACTCGGCACATCATTTTTATATTAGGTACCGACTTACCCGTTGCCATGCCATGCCATGTTGTGTTGAAGCAAATCGATAGTTGCGACAAACAATTAACATTATCGTTTGCTATATCATATTAATACTTGAAGAAACATTATATTTAATGATGGTATAATAGGAAAATGTATGGCCGACAAACTAGGGGGTAAATTGTCAACATGTAATTTCCATTTATTTTCGTGACAAACGTAATTTAACCTTATTCTTTAATGACTTGAAATTTAATACATAACATATTTTTGTGTACAATATACAGAATGTTATTTTCTGAACTCACAAAATATTACATTTAAGTGCAATAAAACATTTCGCTTTACTTTATTTATGGACAAATAAAATTAATGCAAAAGGAATAGAAACTGCTTACTCACTATTGGATTTTGTTTTAGGTTTGCCAAGATACATCTTGGATATTAATACTGTATTTGCACATGTATACTATACATAGACCACGTGTCGTATCACGAATAGTCCCGCATTTTGCTATACGTCTTTAAGCAGTCAGACCGGAACACCAACTGAACAAGAAGAATGAACTGAATGAATGAACTTTTAACTTTGAAAAATGTATGTAACTATTCATTAACATCGGCCTAGTTTCTGGCACAGGAAATGTTATGATTGTTAGTTTACTTGTGGGTAGGGCCCAGCATTGTTTAACCTATTGTATTATGTATAATAGTTTATTAATAAAGATTCAGGTACTTATATCTGAAAGTTATTTTTATAAAAGATAATTGTAAGATATTTTTGTCGTATAGATAAACGGAAAACGGTACGTGTTGTACTGTATATAATTACTTCATAGTTTATATATATATTATTATAAATATGTTACTAATATTTATATCCATTAAAATTTTAAGTTCTATAACCTTATATATAATCTCGTAAGTAAGTCTAAGCAATTGTTAATCAATATGATTAATAAATAATAAGTAGCCAATCACGTTTTCAGGATGAAATTTCAAGGAACGTATGCCATTAGACTGCTACTATTATAGTATTATAGCAAGTTTCACTTGTTCACTCTGTTTAAAAAAAACACATAAGCTCTGACTTCATTTATTTTAGAAAGACCAAACGGCAGACTATTCAACACAGGCATATGCCCTACAATTATATGAGAATTATTGAAACATCTCTCATAATATTGTATTATGTAATCATCAGTAACCATAACAAAAGTATTATGTAGGTAGGTATATAACATGTTTTTACGGTTGTTACAAATGACGTCATATATTGACTGACTTTATTATTACATAAATTTTATAAATATAGAATGAGGCGGAGGGTTGCGCTTGCCAGCATATATTTTTTGAAGCAGGTGGGTGCACTATTCAATCATCGTTCATATAATAAAAGAAGACCCACGGCCTACCACTCGTTACGCTGTTGTTATTACATTTATTTCAGGAGGAGATTTTGCTCAAAGTTATTTGTGCAGAACCTCTCTCTTACATTTGTAAACTGTGTAACGTTTGAAGACTAAAAACAGTCAAATTTAGATAACTAAGGTGCCATTCATATCTCATGTCATGCATGTCTTTAGGCGGCCTCGGTCTAGTGCTAAACGCATACTGCTTTTCTTCCGATAGTCGTGGGTTCGATTCCTCGCGCGGTGCAGAAATTTGTATTCATTGTATTCATGAGTTTGTTTTGATTGATTGTATCGGCCAGGGTGTTTTCTATGTATATTATGTTTTCTAAATATTTATATCAGTTATCTAGCACCCATTACACAGCTCTGCTTACCGTGGGGCTGGATGGCGCTGTGTTAATTATCCAGGGTTATTAATTAAATTTTATTATTTAGCTTTTTAGTCATTAAAATAAAATAAAAACTTGAAATTTATTATACGTACAATGTTATTTTAATTTCTTTAAACTTTAATGCATAAATACAATATATAAATATACATATCGCGAACTCAATTAGTAAGCGGCGCACCAAACTTTACCAAAATATCTACGTGGTATCTTTACGTTTACAAATATGTACATTATACATTCATACATGTCATTAAATTATTTACATACATGTAGTTATGATGTATAATAGATAAAATATAATACATAAGATATAATAGTTAGTAAAATGGACAAAGAAGTACAGCTAAACGAAGAATATGTTTATACCTATCAAATTCCATTAGTGAAATCATAGATTAATGCTTTCAGTAATGGGATTTTGGTATAAATGCACTAATTATCGAAATTTTTGACAAAGAATTGATAAACGATGTACACATGAAGTAAAACGTACATGTACATTCTATAGACAGACATGAATTATGATTTATTTTAGATACTAGTTATAACCCGCGGTTTTCCTCATTTCTTTCTAACACTTATACAAATTCCAAAAATAATTTTCTTTCTGGGTCTTTATGTAAAAATTACTCATACGTATAAATAGTAAGAATCATATTTCATGTCATCAAGAACGACCATGATCACAGGTAAACTGAAGAGCAGCGGGTAGATGGTAAATAATATCTTTTTTATGAGCTGACATATGCGTCTACCTTCACACGTCTTCGTTTGTTACTACCATTTTTGAAAATTATGACATCAATATTATTGCCTTTCCTTCATCCCATTATTTGGGATCGGCCAAGTATCTTCTTCCACCGTTCGCCATCGGCCGGCATATCTAACCTTACTCTAAATTCCCCATTGTAGATTGTTAGTTATAAAATTACGATAATAAATTTCATTCCATGACACCAATATTAATAAAATATGTATAAATTTTTCTCTACATGTAGATCATTATTTTGGTACAAAAATATTATCTTATCTGTGTTACAAAAGCTCGTCATTAATACATTATAGTATCTACTGTACATAACGTACCATACAATGACCAAACAGTATTTTTCTTTCATTAAGGATATTTTTAAAACGCATAAAATATTATCTACAATATTCATCTAATACTGTCTTGTAGAAGAGAATATTTATAAGTTTGTAGCATACTTTATTCTAAAGTCAAATTGGGCTAAAATAACGTTAATGATAGCAAAAAAAAATGATTTTGAATTATTTAAAATGTAGCAGTAATAATTAACATTGATATCTGTCTATACATAAAAAAAATGTAACTAATCTCTCTCTGTTCATAGAAGATATATAAGAAAAACTATTATAAGAGGGCGTTATCAACGTAATAGATCGTAAAACAATTGTTAGAATTTATAGATGTTTTGTCTATGGATTTGTGAGTTATTAATCTCAAAAACGGCCTAATCGATTTAGGTGCGGGTTTCAGTAATATTATGTTTGTTGTATTCCAATCGGTTTGTAAACAAAAAAAATATACCTGTATAAGCTCCCTGCTCGACTAGAAACGAATAAAACGGTAACATTCATATAGCGCCTGTGGAAATCGATTTCGTAATTTTCTACAAGCAATTCAATATTCATAAATTCTAACAGTATAACTAATTATAACGTATACTAGCGCGACGTTGTATTAGAATTTATTCATGTATTCTGTATGTAATACTTTTTCCTAAATGAACACAAATAAGCTTATTTGAAAATCAAAATCAATATATTGTGACAGTCATCACTTCTATTCATCACTAGAATGATGGAAGAGGCGACTGCATAAATATACATCAGGGGAAGGATAATTGAACCGCTATTGTGATAATAGTCTATTTTTCATAGATGACTGCGCTAATGGTATACGTTGACGGGGTACCAGTGCGGGATGATATGATAAACATGAACATGAGTCAGGTCAGATGACCAACAGTGGTGACTTCACTAGAATTACCACGATGTTCTAGAAGACCGCATAACAACCTGATATATTTCTAATGTTATGTTATCTGTGCCAGTAGTAAGCTAGTATTTGACTCTCTGTCATACCATACTCTCTCTCTCTACCATAATCGGTACTATTCACTTCTCTAATAAACTTATTATACATATAAAATGTAACATCCAATTTCTTGCTTATTTATACAAAAAAGATTTATAGTAGATATAGGTAGCAGAGATCAGGATTTAGGTTTAGGAGTTAGGCATTACAACAATACAACTACTATATTTAGAGTTGTATTGATTTTAGTCAACAGTGTCATTACGTTATTAGATAGATTAAAATAATGTTAAATCCCCACAGACTCTACATACATAGTGTACAGTCGGATTAATAAACCGAGATACCTATTAGGTAATTCAGTCTTCTTCTTCTTTCGTTTCAATGTATTTTCCTCAGAATAAAAATGTATTGAAATGACTTTTAATTATTATTTTTTATTTGCTTTAGTGTTTAAAGTGCAAAACTTAGAAAGCAATAAACGAACCATAGGTATATATATTTCTACGCATCTTAATTAACTTAATGTCTTAATACATTAAGTTGAAAGATTTGTGATTCTATCTAATAATCTATTTAAAATATTAATATATTATTTATTGCTAATATTACTGTAAATTTCAAACTTTTAACAATAGCTTTAAGGGGGAAGGGATTATTACTAAGGTTTTCTACAATTTTTACCCTTATATACAAAAACGATACCTAATTTATACTTACGTGACTGTACCTACATGGCACTTTGCATGTTAAACGACCTTAATTTTAATTAACATGTAAGTTTCAATTAGGTAGACTGGATGTAATAAACTAAAAGCGTCTATCCGTAACAACCCCATAAATGTTCCATTGCAGGGTTATATTCTCTCCCCATAAACGGGATATTTGATATGTTCAATAATATCGATGTTTTTATATCGATTCTCAGTCCTCGACAACATCGATATATCAATGGATTCGATATAAAAATAATTTTATTGCAGAAAGTATAACGTTTTGTATGGAGCGAAATGTTTCCAAGGTATCTCCTATTAACCGCCTATAGTTAGTACAAAATAGACATATCTAACATTTTCCTTATTTGAATGCAAATATGCCTACAGATGATTTCCATACATGGTACGTGTAAAGATAAACTAATATGACCCGCATTTCCGTATACCGTATTCTGTATAACTGCATTTTTATATTTTCTTATTAAAATAGTAATTGTTTTATAAATATAAATAAATATAATCTTTATTCAAATAAACTTAGGTAATATAAGCGCATTTGAATAGTCACATTTTTATTCTACATGTATACCACTCATTCGGAATGCAGATTCATCACAAGAAGAACGAGCAAGAAACTTGCTTGTCAGTCTTTTGAAAAATATAAAAATTTGCATTACAGACACATATTTGACCAGCAGTGGACGTCTTCCGGGCTGCGATGATGATGATGATGATGACAGACACATAAAATAATCTTCATCATCCAATAGATAAACAAACAATAGTGAATTGCTAAACAAAAATTATCTTCATAACATAACGTATAAGGTACCGTAAATTTATTATTGCAATTTGCCTCTTTTCCTCAGCTTTTGTTCTACTATTATCATTATAATTTGTAAAAGGTGATATTAGTATCTATAGTGCACCCTATTTATTCTATGCGATTTCTCCTTATTACTAAGAATCCCCTCCCTTCCAACTAAAGACCTTTGACGTTACATTCTGCCCTCGCCTGCTCTAACAGAATAAGATGACATTGCGAATTGATAGACCTATACAAACAATGATACTCATGAATACAAATATTTATATCATGCGAGGAACCGAACCCGCGACGATCAGAAGTAAAGGAGTATACTAAACCGCTAGGCCACCGAGGCCGCCAAATAAGTCATTAGCCCCCATTACTAAAATCTTTCACCCCTATAGACGAAGTTACCTAGATGTCGTAGCATTATCGCATGAATAGTCTACGTTTTGAACAATGACTGATCTAGATATACGATTCATATCAATAACGGGTCAAGAACTGAATAAAGTAACGCTCGACTAGTTTTATATTTGCTTTGTTTAAAACCACACAATCGCGTGTTAAAAGGTATAACGAACAATATGGAGTGAGAACGAATAATGTATGTTATAAAATTTTACATTACTCATATACAAGCATAGAAAAAGTAATTTTAATACGAATATATAATAAAAATAATAATATCTCAGGAAAATTCCACACAGCACTATCTAGTCACAAGCTAAGCAGAGCTTGTAATATGACAACTGGCATAAATACATAGATATTTTTTTATGTAAATACATAGATACATAATAAACAAAGAAAATAATATATATAAGTTTGTGCGTAAGTATGGATGTTTGTTACCGTTTCACGGATATGACATTTTCAGTAATATAGCATATACATAAATAACTTTAAAGATAGATAATTTTTAGATAAAATAATTTATTTATTACCAAATAATACAATGTGCAAATAATACACAAAATAAGAAATAAAAAAATAACATAGAATGTTGGCAATAAGAGCTGCCTCAGCTGTTGCTTATAGATATATGTACATGAGTATAACCTCAATGAGGTGAACAGCGCTGGTTTTCAGGCAGCGCCCATTACTCATTAAAAAGAAAAGACTAACATGTGGGTTTTTAATTATTAACTATATACACATACATATAAATAATCTTTAAGAAAACAAAAAACAAATAAAATAAGGCCTAGGATATATACACAAATATAAATATATATAAAATGTGTTACAATATTCAATGCTCATAAACACCAGTCATTTACAATAACAGTACCAAAGAAAAAAAAAGGAAAAGAAAAAGCTAATCCATGTCACCGCTCATAATTACAGTAATAATATATGCGAGTACATGCCCATATACTTATTATTGGTATATAGGCTATGATACCCGTAGACATATATGTTAATATTCAGTTTCTCAAACACTTAAAAATTTGTTTTTCCAGTATAACTCTTTTCAATTTACATTTAAAACTAAATTGGAAAGAATATTATGTAAAAGATAATGTGTAAATTAGGACACATATTATAATAAATGTCAAGTAAGTGTGATGGAGACGACGATCCGCGGGTCAGTAATTTAGTACACCGCTTTAGATTCAAAATTCGCAGGTTCTATTCCTCGTACGGTACAAACATTTGTATTTATGAGTATGATTATTTGTATTATTCTGGAAGTTTTTAATGTATAATAAGTATGTATATAAAACAAAATGTAATGAAGTATTTCTATCAGTTGTCATGTATCCATAACATCTGCTTAGCTTAGGACTAGATGACGCTGTGTGAATTATCTTTAGTTATTATTACAATATATAAGATATATTTCTAGAACTTACATCCAGTTTCCATGATGTCCAACTTGTCACCTTTGCTGGCCTTCGGCGCGTTGTTGTCGTAGTTGAAGCAGGCTGCAATTAGAAAAATAATATTAATCCTCAACATTACTCCTATGTAATCACTCTTTAGGATAATATAAATTAATTAAATGCATGAATTATTTGTTTGCCGACAAACATTGCGATGCGCCAGAATTTGGGTTGCAAAAACTTTACAAAATAAGCATACATTACATTTAATAATGAAATAAATATAACAAAAAAATCAATATCGATGTCAACACCAGTAGATATAGTATACTCGTATTATTTCATTAATGTCATGAATTTACTAATATTACAAAGTAAAGTAGAATATTTAATTTACTTTTTAGAGTTTGCAACACATTACATAGTTTTACTAATAGGTATGTTATAACAGTATTTTGTGTAAGTAAACAGTAATTTGGAAAACAGTATTTTGTAAAAGTAACTTTCGGTTGAAGGATCAACTGTGATACTTAATGAAATTACAGTTGATGTTCGCGACACTTCGTGTACCTATATAGACAAGGGTTGCTACTTTAATACATAAAAATAATTTAATTTTAATTTTAAATGGACAATAATTGAATGGTACACACGCCTGCGCTAACGGTATACGCTGGCGAGGTACCAGTGAAGGATGATATAGGAGATAGGAGAGCATGAAGTTAAGCCAGTTATGCCATCACTTCACCTCATCAGGAACTAACCACATTGGTTTTCAGGAGGGACCGCGTGGAAATCGCCTAACATAGTAAATTGTTAAAAAAAACCCCAGTGCTACCACTGGGGTTAATATATCCCATTACCAAAAATACCTCTCAATTAAAATACGAACTAGGCAGACTTTAGTCATTGATTGTCCACTGTCGAATAATGTCTTTCTTTCATAAACCTTATTTATAAATAACTGCCTACATATTAAATGTAAAGATTTTCATCTACCCGTCAGAGATACTATAAAATGAAACCAAATTTAATATTACATCTACTCAGATGTAATATTGAATTTGGTTTTGAAGTGTTTTTATTTTTGTACTACCACCCATCCTGGCTGCACGCAGGAATTTCAACCAATTTATACAAAACCTTAACGAAATACGTACCTAAACCTCTTTCTATTGATTGCGAATTATACACCTCGACCTCCTTCTACTAATTGATGAAAACCCCAGGAAAATCCATTCAGTGAACTCTTAGTTTAATGCTAACACTATAACAGATGTGACGGGAGAATTATAATTTTAACAATAAGGCATGTCTTGGCCAGTACATTTAATTATGATATATATATACCTAGCTAAAATTATATGTTTGTTAAACTACAAATTGGTGACTAAGACAATCCCTCCTAGTCACGGTTGAACAAACCTGTGCGTCATTGCCAAGCCTACGCAATCTTTGTTTTTTGCAGACCGATAGAAAATAAACTAGGCGATAACAGTAAAGATATATAATATATATACACACATGAATTAAATTAAATCCTATAATTTTTTTATATTATTTAAATAAGTATAAAGTTATTTAAACATCATACGACTAGCTGCATTTTTTTTACGACTTCATAGATTTTATTTAATTAAATAATGACACCATTACGTAGTACATTGTCAGAACTGAAATAATAATTATTGTACACTTCTAAAGTTTTGTTCGATTTATATATAACAAATATGTACTTAACAACGTTCTTCTTAACTAAATTTATTTATTAACTAATATTATTATTTTTTAACAAGAACTACGAAATTTTTTTACCACTTTATTCCTCTATGTGGAACTTTATACTTTTATAGTGTTTGCAACAACAGTTACAGAACAGATACAGAACAAATACCCCCTAATTAATATGTTTTATATCTTATATGTAATACATGTATAGTGTATATAACACCTAGGTATATATAAAACTGATTTGGGAGCAATTAGTGTGGAATAACTATTATTATAATTAAATATTAGCCATATTGTTTTTGATAAAATAATTTCATATAAGGGATATATAAAATAATTTATTATGTAATATTATGTTATCTGTGGTATTTATTTAATCTCTCTCTACAATATTACTTAATTTTTAGTTATGGATTTTTTTACTCACCAACCCGCTTTTTTTTTTTTTTTTTTTTCTCTTCTTTGGCAAGAGGCTAGTGTTGCCTATTATGCCACTAAAAACAGGAAACGAGACGGGATAATGGAAAGGAACGGGTTAAATTTTGAATATACTCGGAATTAGTGATCATGGGTTTTAAAGTTTAATGTTATTATGGGAAATAAAAGACGCAAGAGATTTATAAATTATAGGATTAGGATGAGCTAATAGGCATACAATGGATGAAGGAAAAGGAATTTCTAATGAGATGAGTGTCTCTATAAATGAAGAACGATCGTAAGAGGAGCAGGAAAACACAATATGATTTAGATCACCCACATCTTCTCCACATTCACAGATATTATTGTCTTTTATACGTAGTTTTGTTAAATGTTCAGGGCTGCAAACATGACCAATTCGCATACGAATCAAAACACTAGTTGATCTTTTATCAAGATGTAATTTGAAAAACCACGGTTTAAGAGCTATAAACGGTTGGACTAAACAGTACTGTTTCCCTTTAATTTTGCTACTTATTGTCCAATCTTGACTCCATGAATCATGAAGACAAGACTTAGACAAGGCAGTCAGATCATGGCAAAAGTTTTTATAAGGAAAAAGATCTCCAGATAATATAGCTTCATTCGCAAGCAAATCTGCTTTTTCGTTGCCCCGAATGCCACAGTGACCCGGAATCCAAACAAAAGATACAATATGTCCTTTGAGACGAATGCTATTCAACATATCTCGGATATCAAAAATTAGAGGATACTGTTTAGATGATTTGAATGGACATTTAATTAGAGCTTGAAGAGCACTTTTAGAGTCCGTAAATATAACAGTTTGCTTAAGATTAAAAATTTTAATATATTCTACTGCTTTAAAAATTCCATAGCATTCACCAGTAAAAACAGAGGTCTCGTGGAAATTTAATTTTCTGAATTATATGAAATTGTGAGTGGTAAATTCCTACACCAACATTTCCTGTATGTGAGTGTTTCGATGCGTCACAATAAATTTGATGATGGCTTTCCCATTTAGAGTTTACTACTTGATTAAACATTGCATTTACATTAGGATGTTCTTTTTCTATGTTAATATCAAAATGAACATCAGGGGTAAAAGTTAAAGATTCATATGCTGAACTAAATAATGGAAGACAGGGAGATCGATGAGTGGGAGCTCGGATGGCAGTAAAAGTTCTGTAACTTTTTACTAAGCAAGGTAGAGATTTATGAGACCAATAGGATGACGAAGAAACAAGATCAGAGAGCGATTGCAATTTAGGGATCAGAGGATGATTAGAAAACTGTAAAATACGAAATAAAAATTTATCAGATAAATACTGACGCCTTAAATACAATGGAGGATCACAACATTCTACTTGCATCGCATTAATGGGACTAGATTTCATGGCGCCCAATATAATCCTTAGAGCTTTAGCTTGAATATTATCCAATTTTTTTAGGGCTGTAGCATTAGCAGGTTCCAAAATAAATGTACCATAATCCATAACACTCCTTATGAGAGCATTATATATTAGTTTTAATTGAAATGGATGGGATCCCCACCACACACCCGTAAGGCATCTTAGAATATTAAGAAGTCGTTCACATTTAGCTGAAACGTATTCACAATGTGGTAAACCAGATAATTTAGAATCGAGAATTATGCCTAAAAATTTTATTTTTGTCTTTACTGGGATACACTGATTATTGTAACAGATATTTATAGGGGGTGGAACTCGCATTCTAGAAAACAGAACAACTGCACTCTTAGCCGCAGGCAATTCAAGACCGTTACAATCCATCCAAAATTTTAATTTTTCTAAAGAAGTGGAAATTAAAGAACACGCTTTTTGAACAGAATGATCAATAAAATACATTAATAAATCATCCGCATATTGAAGTACAACGACTTTCTCACTGTTTTGATTTACATATGACTCTAAGTCGTATGTATAGATGTTATATAAAAGAGGACTGAGTGGTGATCCCTGCGGGAGACCCTTCCATACAACTCGAGACAAAATATTAGAATCAGACAATATAACGCTAATGGATCTTTCCGTCAAAATATTAATAATAAAGTTAGAAAGTATGGGAGGAACATTCAAATCGCAAAGCTTTTTCCATAATATGTTAATATTGACATTGTCATACGCAGAGTTAATATCTAAGAAAACTGAAACTACCGACTGATTTTTAGAGAATGCCAAACGTATATCTGAAACGAACAGACTGATTCCATCTAATGTACTTTTACCCCTTCTAAACCCATACTGACTTTCAGCTAATAGTTTTTTACTTTCGACATACCACTCTAAACGAGTTTTTACTAAATTTTCAGCAATTTTTAAAAGAACTGTGGAAAGAGCTATAGGACGATATGAACTACTGTCATCGGAAGGTTTGTTGGGTTTTTTAACTGGCAATACCGTGTGATGTTTCCATGACGACGGAATATTCCCAGTTAACATTACTGAATTTATGAGATTAAGGTAATACAACATACATTCATCATTAATATTCGCTAAAAATGAATATGGAATGTGGTCATTTCCTGGAGATGAATCTTTCGTATGAGACAGAACGGTTTTAAGTTCCGTAAATGTAAAAGGACTGTCAAGAGCTGAAGAGTTTATATTTTTATTGGTGGAAAGTGGCCGCGTTATGGGATCCATATGAGATACGTAGGGTGGTGCTAAACGATCTAGAAACTCGTTAGCTGTAGTCTCTGATAATGTAAAAAAAGGAGAATCTTGGAAAGCAGATCTGTATCTTTTTATATTACGCCATACAAGGGAAGGATGAGTATGAGGCGAAATAGAAGAACAGAAACGTTTCCATCCTTCTGACTTCTTTTTCTTTAAAAGTTTCCGGGTGGAGGCTAGTAGGGCAGATAGATTGGTGAAGTTTTCTGAACTCATATCATTACAATATAATCTTTCTGCCAGTTTCCTGGATTTAATAGCTGTAGTACATTCATGGTCCCACCAAGGTGGAGAAGGAATTTTATTATTATTATGTTTGTTTACAGGAAAAACTTCATCAGCGACTTGTATCAAAATTTTGCTGAGGGCTTCAGAACAGTCCGATTCATTACCAGAAGTAATAGGAGGGAGAGATGATAATTTATTTTGTACACCAATTTGGAATTTATCCCAATTATTATTATTATTTAACTTATGTTTGTAAAAATAATTTCTTTTTCGAGGATGTTTTTTATGAATTGGTAATGAAATGATAATAGGAAAATGGTCACTCCCATATGCAGATGAAAGGATAGACCATGATAGAGAGGAAGATAAATTGGAAGAACAAATAGAGAGATCTACAGCACTATTTCTTTCAGTGGGAGCAGTAATACGAGTAGGTACTGGGTCATTTAAAACACACAGATTATGGGAATCAAGAAGGCCTAACAATTGCTCACCATGGTAATTAGAATAGGAGCTGCCCCAAGCTTGATGATGGCAATTGAAATCACCCATAATTAAAAAAGGTTTAGGAAGAATTGAAAATAACTCATTTAAATATGCAATAATTGAAGAGGAAGGACGAGGTATATAAAGGGAGACTAAACAAATATCGCTGACAACAGCAGCAACCATAGAAATATTGTTTTTGTCAAAAAGAGGTAAAGAAATAGAAGAAAAATGAGTAGCTTTATTGATGAGTAAGGCAGCCCCACCATACCCATCTGGCCTATCATCTCGAATACAAGAGTATTCTGATAATTTGAAATTAAAATCAGGTTTAAGCCAAGTTTCAGTTAGTGCAATAACAAGTGGTTGTTGATATTTATTGATTAAATGAATTAAATCACTTTTTTTGCTAAGTACACTTCTGCAATTCCATTGGACTACTTGATCCATTATGGAGTAGATTTTTGAATATTTCTATAAATGGGGCAACGTGGGACGGTATTATATTAGAACTTACAAGTAAGTTGATTAATGAAATAATAACTTCTTTAATATTAGATTGACTTTCATTTTTATACTGACTGTTAAGCGCACAGCCATTAGAAGGGGAGGGCATATTAAAATCTTTTATAATATTCTCATGGGCAACTTTATCATACCCAACATAGGATGGATGAGGTGATTTAGGTTTTAAGAATACGGTTTTTTTATAAGATTGTTTAAAAGCAGTATCATTATAAGTTTTTGATTCAGATATATTTTTTAAAGTGCTGAATGATGTTCCATGTGCTGATGGCGTGGAAAGGACTTCAGCAAAAGGCTTTGTAACAGCAGGGTGCAATTTTGAGGCCTCAGCATATGAAATACAATTTTCAGCCATATATAACTTTATTTGTTTTTGTCTATTGAATTCTGGACAAGATTTGCTAGTAGAAAAATGATTTCCTGAACATAAACAGCAAAAAGCATCTTCAACATCACATGTTTCTCCTGTATGATTTTGACCACATTTAAAACAACGTGGCTTTGACCTGCATTGAATTTTAGTGTGACCATAACGACAGCAATTGAAACATTGTATAGTTGGATAAGTGTATAATTCCACTGGTAATGCATTATAACACATGAATATTCTTTTTGGTAGTACCTGACCATCAAATGTGACTACTACTGTCTGAGAAGGTTTCCAAGTGGGAGAGCCATCAACAACAACTTTGTAATTTAGCCGTCTTACTTTAAGTATATTGCCACAACCGATAGGAACAGAAATATTTTGTAATATTTCATCTGGACTCCAATCACTCGGAACACCTCGTACCAGACCCATACGTGTAATATTAAATGTTGGTATAAAAGCCTGTAATTTGTAATCATTTAAACTGTTATGATTAATGAATGTATTAGCATCATGGTAAACTGAGAAAGATAATGCAATTTTATTTCGTCCAATGCGTTTTACACTTCCATTAATAATGTTTTTAAAATACTGTTTTTTGAGGAATTTACCAAATGTCACAGGGTGAAGTGTAGTACCGTCATTTGGAGACTTTTCTTGTCTTACTACATGAACTAAGTATGGGGCATGGTCTGTGGGTTCATACATTTTCCTTGCTACTGGTTCAGAAATATTATTATTTTCATTTGTTTCTTTAGATGTGGATGGATGAGGGGGATCTAAATTTACAGATTGTGGAGTGAAAATCACTTCCGTGAGAGGTTTTTGTATTTCAATGCCATCATTTATGTCATCTATACAGTGGCAATCTGTAATTTTATCTGAAGAATTTTTTCTTCTCCGTTTATTACAACTTTTACAAAATCTTTGTAACCGACTGCGTTTTATCGATCGGTTTGAACAAGACGTATCGGTTTCCATACCCGATTCGCATGAAATTGTAACATAGTTAGAAGCCGGAGGGACAAATCCCCCCGGGTCGGGGGGATCGTCCATAGAAATGAAAAAACGAAAAACTTACCAATAAACAGCTAACTATTTATACTAACTACAATAAACAAACTAAATAATAGATATTAAAGAACTAAATACAGTATCACAATCACTAAATAATGAAAAATATGTATAAAATTTAAATCAAAAGAAAAAACGCGCCCGCCAAGTTTAACGTTTCCCGCCTTTTTTTACCAACCCGCTTGATAAAGTAGACAAATAATAACTACTGAAAGTTTCCCGCCAAAATTAAAATTAGCACCAAGACACAAGTCTATACAGCCAACTGTCACCGTGCCCTCCGGTTACAATAATGTATGTAATTGGACAATAAACTGTCCCACCTCGGTTGAAAAAATCGATTTTCTATAACACGGCAATCAATCACATAGAAACGACATAAAAAATGTATTATTACAACACACTACGATTTATTTATTCTTGCAACAATTATACTTTAGGAAAAACAACATATCTTGTGATTCAGACAGCGTACTGAGTGACCTGTTGCAGAATGTATCGCACAAGTTACGTTACTACATAATTAAGGTAATACGACCTTGGTCTTTATTCTATAGCTATTACTTTATTTCGCAAAAAAAAAACAAATTTGCATAGATACTGATGTGTGATAGCTACTGATAACAAACAGATTTTTTTAGTTATTAATACTCAGGATGTGCCTTAAGACCGCTAGGGTACGAAACAAAAATTGGGTTTGGATTGTAGTTTGTAAACCCAATATTAAGTTGCCCCACTATGAAACTTAGTAATTATTTGCCCAGTGCTCTGATTGAAGCTTACGATAAATTAAAAAAATCTGTCTTCCTGTTGGCCACAGGTATTCTTTACAGCTTCAGCTTATAGAGCGCTGAAAGTAATCTGTTGTCTGACAATATTAGTTTGTTTACGAAACAAAACAGCTATAGTTAGACATTTATTTATATCGGTATGTTCTTTATTTATATGATTTAATTAAAATTAAAAAGAACCTACGTTATTTCCTGTATAATAAAACAATATTCATGACGCAATGGTAGTTAATTATGCTTACTAAAAAATATGATTCAAAGAATATAGGCAAAAAACATCGAATTGAAAATATTATTATAATTATATACAAGAAAATAAATACTTAAATTGAAAGTAACATTTTGTCTTGATCTTAATCTGTATAACCTTTTATCTGATCTCTTATGCCATATTATGTATATACCTACTTACTTTATTATAGTGGCTTTGCATAATTTATCATTTTTGTTTACAATATACATTATAGTTGACGTATTATTTATACTACCTTCTGCTCTCTACATTGTCTGCTTTAGTGACATACCTATATTGAGTTAGCTGATAAGAAATATTTAGTTTTTCATTCTCCACGTCAAATAATACTTGTATGCTAAATTTTATGACATTATGACATAGTGCGATCTAGTTCCAACATAAAAAGAGCTTGTTTGTAGTAGATATGAGTACTGAAGAACTAATAGATATTTTTTAAATACATACATTAAAATTCTTACAACTAATACAAACAATCATATTAATGAATACAGATGATTGTATAGTATGAGGATCGAACCCGCAATCATCTACAGTAAGACGTGTTGTAAACCACTAGATTAGTGAGGTCATCAAAAGGATTATTATTTATAAACTTATATTTCAAAAAAAGATTTTAGTTTTGCATTATACTTTTTGTGTATGCTACAGAATATCTTCATTTATTGCGTATACAGTGTACCGCCTAATTAACACCCTGCCCTTTCCCACACCCCCTCCCTAAAAACTGACATACATTGAAGGCCGATTAAACGTCCATAAAATATGAAACAGGCCATATTGTCCCATCGATCCATGAATGAGGCGGCTGTCAAGGATTTCAGTAAAATACATACATTTTTTATTGACTCCTTTGTGTTGATGGACGTATATTAAATTAGAAATGTTATCGGAGGTTTATAGACTCTACTGCATTACAATAAGTAATTTTGAGTATTTTTTAAACTACCTAGATTTTTCAACTAGAGGCACGCCTATAAAAATTATTTCAAATTCAGATTTGATTCTATAGGTACATTACACTATAATACACGCAAAATGCATTATCAACTGTACATATATGGCGTGCCTACGAGTACATTTTAGAGCACTTAATAAAACCGGGATAATAATGAAAATTAGTCCTACTATATTATGCCTAATGTAGATCTATGAGGTATTATAAACCTTTATATGTAATGATATTAATCAAAGAAGAGGCCTGTTCTGTCAATAATCAACAGTATTGTCAATTATCCAGGACTTATTTTTATTTATATAAATAAATAAGTCCTAGAGAATTTTCGCATCGCCATCTAGTGCCAAGTTAAACAGAGCTTGTGTTATCTAGAGATTTTTTTAAATACACAAATAATATACATAGAATACATTCAGACCAATACAAACAATCATACTCATGAATGTAAATGCTGGAATCACCAAGTATGGCCAATACGCATCGCGCAGAGTACCGGAACCGTCGAATAGGTAAGAACATCGTACTATTTATGTGTTAACTTCCATATTTATTACATATGTAATTTATGTAATAAATCCCATATTTATTACATAAATATCTATGTCCGAATAAATGATATTAAACCAATATCCTTTTTGTATCAATCCCATGAAAGACGTGACCGTTAGCAACACCGCCATAGAGGGGTGAAAGGGAATATTTGTAATGTGGACTAATAACCCCATTGCTAGCAATGTATGGTATTAGGTTGACCTCCATGCGGTTCCCCCTGGAAACCACCGTGGTTAATTTCCAACAAATTGAATGACACTTACCCGCCATTGAGGCGCTGCTCATTCTTCCGCGTGTAAAATCAATTTTGATTTTTTATATGTAGAGAATTAATATAATTAATTATAATATTACACTATATAATACACGATGGATAATAAATAGACACAAAAATTTTTTAAGTTGAATATACTTATGTTTGACTCTAGGGATCTGACAATAACATGTAATTTTTTCTTTTATGATTGTCAATAATAAACGGCAAAAATTCTAAATAAATTGAAATCTTATTACATATTTCAAATATTATTTGAGAAAAATATTAGAATTGTAATGTTTACATTTAAATAATATATTTGAACGCAATAATGAGTAGTTGGTTCATTCGTTATTACGGGTGGACTTAAACATAATTTTATCGTCAGATTTCATTATTCTACCTATGATTGGTTGGAAAGTTTCAAAATTCACTTTTTACAAAATACATTCCGTAAGAAAGTCTATGGTAGGTTTTAAAATAATAGATTAGAAACTCTTCGCTGTAAAACAATACGCTATAAACATCCATAAAACATACGATTTATTTATTAAAAAAATATTAGGGGTCTAACTATAATTGAAATAAGTGACAGTTACTTGCAATAATCGTTGGCTAGAGCTGGCTGATCGATTGAAATAGAAACGTTAACACATAAGTTCACATAACTAACACACACAAAAACAACATTAACCTATTCAACATAGGATAAAAAAAATCTATATTTTTTTACTTGTAATGTTCTACTAAAATAAAAACTACTGGCAACATTTATAAGCAGTTCAAAAGAAACAAAGAGAGAACGATGAATGACATTGACAGCGTCAGAACTGTCTGTAGCGTCTGTGGTTTGGGCTAAATGTCAAAATGACAAATTGGATCAATAATTTTAGAATAGGAGAAATTGAATTGGGAATTCTATTCAATTCTATATTCAGTCTTTGAATAATTTATCCCTAATAATAACTATTATTCTTATAGTGATTACTACCGTGACGTATTATTATTAGTACGTGTACAGAAACCTAGTTGTTATTCTGTATTAATCAATCTTATTATAGTGAATTCGGATTTGAAGGTTATGTTTTGGTAAATTTACATTTATTTATTATTAGTATGAATTAAAATAAATTGTTTTATTCCAGGATATGGTCCGTCTGTATGACCAATTTGATTTAATTCCATACATCCTTATTATATAACAAACATTTAAAGATTTACTAAGTACTTCTTTTGGTAGTGTTATTTGGTTCGTGTACGGTTTATTTTCACTATCTACATAAACTAATTAAACATTTTATATTTCAGATATACGTTAACACAATGGCACCAGGTAAAAAAGGTAAAACTAAAGTACATGGAAAACGTTCTAGCCATCATGTTACCAAGAATTATGCTGAAAGAATGAGTGATTTAAAAATAGAGTCTTCAGACGACAGCAGCTCTTCAGATGGGGAAACATTAAAAATAAGATTCCCTGTAAAAATGTGGGATCTCAATCACTGTGATCCTAAGAAATGTTCTGGTAGGAAACTCCTTCGACACAGACTTATCAGAAACTTGAAACTCGGTCAGACATTCAGAGGGATTGTATTATCGCCCGTTGGTACTCAATGTGTTAGTCCAAATGATGATGTCATTATAAAACAGAATGGAATTGCTGTAATAGATTGCTCATGGGCGAAAATAGATGAAACACCATTTGGGAAGATGAAATCATCACATCCTAGATTATTGCCATTTCTAGTCGCTGGCAACCCTATTAATTATGGTAAACCTTACCAACTTAGTTGTGTGGAAGCTATAGCAGCTGCATTATTTATTACTGGCTATCGGAGAGAAGCAGAATTCTATTTATCAAAGTTTTCCTGGGGCCATTCATTTTTAGAGCTCAACTCTGAAGTTCTTGATTTGTATGCAGCTTGCACGGATAGTAAAAGTGTGATAGAAGCCCAGACAAAGTATCTAGAAAGTGCTGGAGAAGAAAGGGATACTAGACCTTTATGGCCTCCTAGTGAATCTGATTCAGAATCTTGTAGTAGCTGATAAATTTACTGCTCATATTTTAATTACAGTTATGTATTTGATTTATACCACTCTAAGAATGTTGTATGCGATGACTTGCAATATTAATAATTGCAAATGAAAACAATGACTGTACCAAGTATTTTGCCAGCTGTAATAATTTCTACTAAAATACTTAAAAACAACATTATTGCAGTTAATTTAAAAAGCAGTCTATAAATTTAACTCGGGATACTTGAGTTTTCACAGCTAATTTTCCTTAACCTGTTTTAATGATTTTCGAAGATGATGTTCATAACACTGCAATAATTTGTAATAAAAGTAACACAATTATTGAAAATTTTGTATATAATTATTTTTTTTTATAACAAGGGACAAACGAGCAGGCGGCTCACCTGATGGTAAGTGATTACCGCCGCCCATGAGCACCCACAACACCAGGGGCATTGCAAGTATGTTGTCTGCCTTTTAAAAAGGAATAAGCTGTTTTCTTGAAGGTTTCAATATCGTATCGGTTCGGAAATACCATTGCTGGAAGGTGATTCCACAATGTGGTTGTGCGGGGAAAAAAGTTTCTAGAAAACCGTACTGTCGAAGACCGCCATTCATCCAGATGATCAGGATGGTATTTCAGTTTCTGACGGGTGGTACGGTGTTGAAACTCAGCAGCTGGTATTAATCCGGACAATTCCTCAACACTCCCCGTGATATATGTGGTAGAAAATGCACAGAGATGCAATATCTCGCCGCAAAGCCAATGGATCGAGTCTGTCACATAGACGTTGATTACCAATGATTCTGGCTGCTCGGTTCTGAATGCGGTCAAATGGAAGTAGCTGGTATTGTGGTGCTCCCGCCCAGAGATGAGAACAGTATTCCATATGCGGCCGGATCTGCGCCTTACATAATTGCAGGCGATGGGCCGTCGTGAAATACCGTCTCACTCTACTGAGCACACCAAGCTTTTTTGAGGCTATTTTAGCCTTGTCCTCCAAATGACCGCAAAACTGAACGTCACTGGATATATCAATGCCAAGGACCTCGAGATTTGGCTTCACATCAAGGAGAGTGTCTTGAAACTGAGAAAATAAATGTAATAAATGGCAGTTATTTTCATTTATACTAATAAATACTCTTTATTTACTGTTAGTATTTTTAAAGGTTATAGAAAACTATGTCATGGTAACTTGAATTATAGAAATATAAGTTTATAAAAAACAAAAATTCATATTTCACACTATAAAAAGGAATCCCTGGAAAGTGTTGTTCATTTAATATATTCATTACATTTTTTACTACCTTTACCTGTATGTAACTGGAACAACACAATTTTAAACACGAGTTTTTTGAGTGCTTTTATATTTAACTTCATTCTATGAATAAGTGTGTTTGTGAGTTTAAGATATAAACTTTAGATGTTCAACTTTGTGTTCACTGAGCACTGAAACTTGAGAAAAAAAATGCTGGTGATTGGCAGTCCATCCTAGTAAATATAGTTGAAAATATTCATAAGTGCTACTAATATTATAAATGTGAGTTTCTAAAGATGTTTGCATGTTTAGATGTATGTATATTACTTATTTATGACTAAATGGTTGGTAGACTTAAATGAAATTTGTTACAACAATAGGTCATATTTATGTTTACCATATAACAATTTTACCCATAATTTACATATAGAAAATTGTATGATATAACTGGTAAAATGAACCTTATTTCTATACGAAATGAAAATTTGGAATACTTTTCTGTTTTAATGCTGTGGGCAGTAGGTGACGTTTACATCTTCACTAATGAAATAGTTTTTTGGTCATAATAATGACACTATTTTGCCAAAATTCGATTAGTAAATTCATAGCAACACTATAATTGAGACTGGATTAGTACAAATTTATCATATCAATTTTTAACAATACATTTACACCTATACTACATACATAAACCATTACATGTAAGTGTTCTGTGTATTTATATTTAAATGTAATTGTTTAAACTTAACTGTATATATTTGATGAATATGATTGGAAAACAAATAAACTATTGAGATAATAAGTATACTCTTATTTTTTATTTTACCTACTCTTAGCTAAAAGCAAGGAGAAAGAGACAAGACTATCTACACAATCCAGACAAGACTACCTAGGAATATAAGAGGTACATCAGAGAATGTTATGCAATTTGTGACTCGGGCGTAGATTATTAAAATAAGGCTGAAACTTATAAATTATTTTGTCAGCTTATTTGACTGTTTACACTTTACTATGTAAAGTATGTATCTAATGTACTTAACATTAGAGATACATGCTGATTGTTATTATCTTTATATGTATCTGTTTTTCTTGTGTTTAGTAACACTACAAAATATACATTTAAAAATAAAAACATTTCATAATAAAGTTATGTCAAGGGCAGTAATTTTTCTGTTTCAATTACACAGTAATGGATAAGAATCGATGTATATTTTCGTTTCTGTAAATAAATTCAATACAAATGATAATTTATTTTTTAAATTTAGCGCCCTCTAACGAAATTATTTAATAACAGCAAAGCAACGCAATATTACTTGGGTACAAAGTAGATAATGTAGTTCCAAAATATTCAATAGATGGCGCTTTGCCAATTATTACACTTTAAGGTCCGCGACAACAAACGAGACGTCCGTTGCTCCGATATTCATTTCGTTTGTTTAGTTTGCTTTTGCTTTTTGAGTACGAAAGTTGGTTATCAACGCGTACTGTCGCAACTTAAACTCGCGGAATAACTTACTCGTCACTAACTCATGATTGGATGTATAGTGAAAAATTTAGTGTGGTGTGATAAGTGTGTGTATTGTTAAATAAACTAAAGTAGTTCTTATGTGGATTTCAATCTCAGGAAGTTTATAGGTAAGTTTGTTCTTTAAAGTTCGATGCAACCTGTCACGCAGGTGTCTCGCAAGTCAGTAACCTTTCTGATGAATAAATACTATACTACAACCTCCAACTGATAGTTACCAAGCTACCAGCTTTCTATGCATTAATTTGCATAAAGTTTAATCTGAGCTTTTATATTTTTTGCATAAAGTTTGTCACGAGCTTTTTTATTTATTGTTTATTATATGTTTTAAATATTAATTATATTTTATGGTTTAAAAGCGATGTATGTGTAATAAATAAGATACAAAAAGTTTACAAATCTTTCATAGGTACCATTACATAGGTCTATTATAGGCTTTTAAAAGTAATATAGGCAGGTCAAACTTTGTTACACCTACTTACCTGAATACATATGTGTAATATTAATTATATCATACTGTATATTTATTTTATCTCTAATTTTAAAGTGCTAATTACCTACTTATAAAAAGTTACGCTTAGGTTAGTACTTACTGTGCAAATAGAAAGTAGAGAAGTTGAAGAGAACACCAGCACTTATGATTCCGTACTAAATTAAATATCATGATGTGAGTCTCGATCAGATTTCAGATCGACGCGTTACTATATATTCTTAAATATGATTTTTTGAATTACTATCTCTGGTACTTAATTGATAAATAAAAAATGTTTACATAAAAAAAGTAGTTTTTGAGCCTCTCAACTTTGTCCGCGTAAATTGTCGATACTTCCATATAACGTTTCATCTCCCACCTTTCAACCCCTTGTAACCCTTTTTTCGGATTAAAAAGTAGCCTATGTCCGTTCTCAGATTCTAGACTATATTGTGTTTCATTTAAATCGGTTCAGTAGTTTTGGCGTGAAAGCGAGACAGACAGACATACAGACAGAGTTACTTTATAATATTAGTAAGTATAAATGACAGCATTAGTCCCCTGGAATGAAAACATATATATCTGTGCTAACTGTACGTAATAAAATATATATATATATATATATATATATAGGTTTGCACTGTCGATTCCAGTGGACGATTATTAAATGTGCATGCCCATGTTTTTTTTTAAAGGATGATAATGGAATGGTGCACCCGCCTGCGCTAGCGGTTTACGTTAGCGGGGCACCAGTGCAGGATGATAGGATGAACATGAAGTCAGATCAGTTAGCCCAACCTGACAAATTCACCGGGAATGTATCACGATGGTTTCCAGGGGGAACCGCGTGGAGGTCGATCTGATATAGTACATTGATAGCAATGGGATCGTTAGTCCACATTACTAACAATCGCCTTCCCCCTGCATGCCCATGTTGGCAAATGGCAAATTACCACAATGGTTTGCAGTGGGAACCGCGTCGAAGTCAACCTCACATGGTACATTGCTAGCAATGGGGTTAACCCTCATTACTAACAATCCATACCCATTTATGTATGAGTAGTATCACGAGTGTCGCATGATAACGTGATGTTCGTAGCGCTGTTAATAAATATAGGTAATGATTATCTCTTCGTATCAGGTGGGCTATCACAGTTTGCCATTCCAATAAAAAGCACTGTGTCCACGTAATAAAATTTCGATATATGTAATTTTAATGATTTGTTCTATCTCAAATCTGAAACCTTATATTTCCTCTCCCCAAGTACGATAACAATAATTTCAATCGAAATATAGCCGCAAATGTTTACGTTCCGCTCTACTCGGCTTACATTCAATATAAAGGTACTTTTTTTATTTATTACTAGCTGTTCCCGCGACATCGTCCCCCTGGAAAATAACTTTATTTTTTAAAAATAAAAGTAGCCTAAGTTACTCCATATTACATCACCTGCCAAAAAAAGACCCGTCAAAATCGGTCCTGCCATTTCAGAGATTAGCCGGAACAAACAGACCGACTGACAGACAGACAAAAATGATAAAAAATGTTATTTTGGTATATGTACCGTATATATAATCATATGCATATAGTAAAAAACGATTATTTCAATATTACAAACAGACACTCCAATTTATTTATATGTATAGATAATATCAAATTTTTGTAAGTGTCATGCATAAATTTTCAAATATTTTTACTGTCTTGCATTGTTAATACGAATAAGCTTACAAGTAGATCTTTTTTTTGGTGAAAATCGAGTTTTCCAGTTACGTGTACTACTAAAGTAAACTTGTTTAAAGAAAATCTGACGAGTGTGTAACGTTAATATTAATTGCCTTATCCTAAGGACAAAAATTAAGTACATAAAAGAAAAATATATACGGAATCCATTGGCATTATAAATATTGGCGACATGCTAAAGAAGAACTAAAATTAAGTTTTAAATCACATCTCCATTAGTTTGACATTATATCCGTCACAAGTTCATTTTTTTCAAAGATGCGATGACAGATACATATTTATAGAGTTATTGGCAGAAATTATTCGATCGAATTCGAAGATTCCAGTGATTTCGTCTGATCGGCCGAAATTGAAATACAGTGATGTGCGATTTTAGATAGCAATCATGTTTTTAAATAGCCACACGTCAGTGGACACATTTTATGTTAATTTTGGATGTCTTCGTGTCGTTTAATTGTATTCAGTACTATATTTTTGGTAAGAGCCCAATTCTAACAATACTTACTACTAACTAGAATATTTCTGCTATAACTATCTAATAGATTTGCAAGTGAAATCCGAACTACATGCATGGAACTAGGGACAAAGCAGTGATACACTGTTTGTTTCGCAGTGTCTATAGTTCATTGTCCCCCAATGATAATAAATTTACTAAAAGTACTTCTTTAAATTCATAAATTTTCTAAAGGGTT